GTTCTTCTGGTGCTGCTTCGCCAGCTCTTCGGAGAGCTCAGAGTCGCGGGCATTGCGCGACTCCAGCAGAGCCATGTTTGCACGGTTGGAAGATTGAAGGGACTCGATGCGGTCGCGGAGGGTCGTGATTTCGGAGTCGTAGTCGGAACCACGGGACTTGAGGGATTGGAGCTCATTCTCGACCGTTTGCCGTTTCGTCTCTGTGAATCATAGGATCAGCAAGGTGGGAAGATACTAACGAGTGGGGACGGAAGGCAGGCACAAACCTTCCTCCTTGAGCTTCTGGCGAACTTCCTCCACGTCCTTCAAAGCCTTGTCGGCGGTCGCCTTGAAGCTCTGACATTTCGACTCGGCGCTGTGGTTCGCGCTCTCAAGCTCGATGTCGACCTGCAGCTTTTGCGCATACAGTTCATCGTACTCGCGAGCCTTGGAGATGACGGCCTCGAGAAGGCTTGCGACGAGCTCTGGGGTAGGTTCGGTTGTGACGGTCGACACGGTCGACTCAGGCAAGCCGAGGTGGCCAGCTACGTAGCCGACATCCACCGCCGCTGCCATTGTGATTTTTTCTCAGATTCTGCTGCTTGACATCGAACGGAAATCGCGGCGAGGGAGGGATAGAAACGAAAAGTCGAGTGGCGGTGATGGCGTCGCGTGTCGGCACCCCGCCTGTCGAAAGGTGTCTTGCACAGGGGAAGGCTCAAAATAGTGCAATAACAAAGGAAATAAAAGTCGAAGCCGTGTCTTCAGACGGCAATCACCCAAACGCCGCGTTTGGTGATCGAGACGTCGTTGAAGGGGTGATGGGCGACGAAAAGTTAGGGTGGTTGTAAGCGACGACAGGAGACGACAGTCGCAAGATTTTGGCCAGGCGCGACCGATGTTTTCTTGGGTTGGGCGGCCTGAGCACCTGGTCGGGATGCAAGGCTGCTCTGTCCACCTGGAGAAGCTGCATCCAGCAACGGGGTGACAGCGAAGGCGCTTTTTTGGCCAATCAAAGCGCACAGAGCTTGGAGCTGCCTGGCTCACCGACAATCACCCGGATGACTCAGCCACAGCTTTGGCCGTCGGTGGGTCCAATGAAGTCAGAGCTGCTGACCGAGGACCTTGCCGGTGACCGGTGAGACATTCTCGGTGAGGTGGCGTTGATCAGCTGGGGGCAGGACACGATGAACTATTCGTGAGTCCCCTTCTAACCAATCAAACTTGACAAAAGTTGTCTGAAGGCTTTTATGTGACCTCAGAATGAGATTTAGCTATCAAAAGAGTGCACCGGCGCGGTTGTGTTAACAATATGGATTGTTTGTTAATTTATTGTATCATGTCTAAATCAACTATTGCGGTAACAAAATTGCCGGCAGGTCAACCATTAAATCAGCATCCCACATTCTGAATGAACGCCCACATATCTTCCTATCACGCTCAAGTGTTTCATTATCCATGATCTACCAACCTTCACAGCCTAATATCTCGTGACATCTCTCTCAGTAAATCTTTGCCTCCAACCCTCTTGCCCGTGCTAGCTACCGTCTTTGATGGCCGGAATCCAGCTCAGAATACCCCAAAGTCGGCCCCGAGTGCCATCCCATCCCCTGAAGCTCTGCCCTCTGCTGCCCCGGTACCTGATAGCTCGCCTGCTGTGCCCCGAACGCCTGATGAACCGGCTGGCCGTGCGCCTCTACCGGCGTAGTCTGCCCCTGAGGCTGCGCGTAACCGCCACCCTGCAGCTCAGGCGGTAAAGGCAAACTCTGTCCGTACTGGTTCCCGAAGCCTCCATGAGACTGCAGCTCAGGGGGCATACACTGACCGCCGGGCTGCAGCTGTCCGTTGGTATTCGCCGGCATCTCAGGCACTGGGGGCGTATGGCCTTGACCAGGCAGCTCCGCCCCCACCGGCGACTGTCCAAACCCGCCGCCACCGTACGCTGACGCCGGCGAGATGGTATCTGGCCGCGGAGAGCTTACTTGAGAAACGGTCATCGAGGGGCTCTTGGGTGGTAGCTCGGTAAGCATGGTGCCGCCCAGCTCAGGCTTCCCAGATGCGTCCGGCGGCCCGATGGTCGACGCCAGAGGCAGTTTGGTCTTCTTCCTGCGGCGGTAGATGAGGAACGCTACGAGGCCGGCGATGCTGAGCGCTCCGGCAAGCGCGATAACGCCGCCAATGATGATTCCGATACCCGGGCGGCTCGAGCTGGTCCCTGCGCCGCCAGAGGTGCCGTCGGAGCTGGCGGTGCCCGTCGGCTGGGCCCCCGAAGTCCCTGATCCCGTACCCGTCTTCGCGGTGGGGTAAGTTTGAGCAACTGGATTGGTTAGCCCATCAAAAACACAAAAGCGTTGGACATAGGCTCCTACTTGACTCGGCCACCGTCGCGACCACAGCCCCCTTGGCCGCGCTGCAGTAGTAATCCAGCAAACCCAACGCCGACGAGATATCCGCCGACGCGGTCGAGGTACAATACCACTTGACATCCGACGTCAACGTGTTGCTAACCATGGCCGTCACGCCGTCCTTCAGACACATACACGAGGCCAGCGCCTTCGGGCCGCTCGGGCAGAGGTCCCTCGAGATGGAGTACATCGCGTCCGACATGCCCGACTGCGCGCACGGGACCAGCGAGCTGTACTGCGAGAGCGCGGTGATGTAGTACGTCATGTCGCCGGGCGGCGGCGTCGGCGTCGGGAAGGCGGTGGTGCCCTTGTTCATGGCGCAGTAGGCGTCGTAGAAGTCGCCGGCGGACGTGACGTCGGCCGCGTTGGAGCACGAGTACCGCACGAGCGACGCGATGGAGCGGCTCACGCGCGCCGAGTTGTCGTTCTTTGCGCAGATGCAGGGCGCCATCAGGCTGGCTGGCTCGGGGCACAGGGACGTCTGAAGATGGATGTTAGTTACGTCTGCATCCACGACACCTTCACTGAGACGGAGCTTACCATCGAGCTGATGGCGTATGATACACCAGACTGGGCGCACGGCGCCATGTTGGAGAAGGCGGGGACGTCAGTCGCATATTGGGTAACAATGTTCGTTGTCGGTGTCGCGAAGGTGATTAACGAGTTGGGATTGCAGTACTGGCTGATCACGGCGGCGACACTGGTCTGGTCGTCTGAAGCCGATGAGCCGCAGCTGTAGCTGACGGTCTTGGAGATGGAGGAGGTGATGGCGGCCAGGTTGTTGTTCTTCGTGCAGATACATGATTGCAGATCTGTTGGAGCTTCACCGCAGGCCGAGTATGTCTGGGAGAAGATGTTGTATGAGATGGCCGTCTGGGCGCATGGTGCCTACTACTGTCAGCTTCCGGAGTTCGAGGGCATCTCCAGTTGGACTGAGGGAACTGATGCGAACCAAATCTTACCAGTAACGTGTAGATGGACAGGTCCGTCACATAGACAATGTTGGCAGCCGCTGCCACACTGCTGATGTACAGAGACAACAGAGAGGGTATCAATATCCGAGCCATTTTCAAAAATCAAAGAACCATGCAAAAGGGCCGAAAGAATGGAACGACGGAGACGCCGGGACAATAGTGACAGAGAGGGCCCTCAAAGAGAATGTCTAAGAGAAGAGAACGCAGCAATCCCCTCTCCTGGGGAAGAGGAAGATGAGCGCGGGGAAGGCATAAAGCTCGAATTCGCATCAAGCCACATCCTATTCCGCACCCCCTGGACAAGTTAGTTCCGCATCGCGGAGTGGCAGATTTGGTGGTTTGACGGGCGATCACTTCATGAGGCACACTTTACCCCTGTCACGATAGCGCCAAAGCAGCCCGCGCCCCCCTGCCAGCTGAAAGGCAGCCAAGGGCGACCTCTACGTGATCTGCTCCCGCGAATGATGGAGTCAGGTTGAACAATTCTGCCTGGGACCAACTCCACTCGCGGCACCAGAGCGACTTTACTCATCTGGGGATGAAGAACCGAGGTGGTTCGGCAACACGGAGCATGCTGGAGCATCTGGGGACTGGCAGTCTGGCACCCATCATCCCAAGCGAACGTCTCGCAACCACACCGTCGACCGTTGGGGATAGGAGACACGATAACGGCGTCTCCACGCGATTTTCAGCTGAAGCGGCATGGCGTCGCGCAATCAAAGACGAGCCTTGCTGGCCAGAGAGCGGCTAGCGTTGGCACACATGGCTATGCGGTTTGGAGAGTCTGTCAGGCTGCGTCAAGCAGGATGCACTTGATGATTCCGATACCGCAGTTGGCGGTATCCTTTCGGCACAACTCCGACAACTCCTCCAAGTTGACTCACAAAACCTAGGTACGGATACGCTTCTTGCGCTTGCTGTGGAGTGCTTGTTCACGTTGACGGTTGACGATGATGGGTCGCGCGAAATTGAGTCGGGCGCCAGCGAACGCCACAAACAGGGACCTGCAGCAGTTCAAACGTGAGCGCCCGAGGCCATTGGTCAAGCCAGGACGAAGAGCCCGATAAAAATGCGTCCGGTTGCCTTTGGCGTGCAGCGTCAAATTGCTGGCAGGGCGACTTAGCGTGAGGTTGAAAGAAGCAGTGCTCCATCTGCGATGCGGCCTGCCTCCGTGCCTGGATGGACTTTGAGTGCTGACAGGGGCCCGAAAGAAACATGGATTGGAGGAGGGATTCAGAGACATGGAGCCGGCGATGGAACGGATTACCCAAGCACCGTGGATGACATAAGCGGACGACGAGGACTCGGCCGAGCGGAGCGGATCATTAGCACGTCCACACTGCCACGCCTTAGGTAATCAGATGGGCCAGACTGCTTAGGTAAGGTAATCTCAATCAAGCGCATGAAGAGAGACGCCACGCAAATCTCGCCTTGCGTTAAGCATGGCACCTCTTGGGCCAGCCCCTTCGATGCTGCACAGAATACCGATATCGCCCAGGTGATCTTCCAAAGTTTATCTTGTGGAATCTACGCCCTGTGGTATCATTCAATCTTGTCGACTACTTCTCCAGCTCTAACTTTTCGCCGCCATCACAAGCCTCCCCGGTTCTTATCTTGCTTCTCATCCCGCCTGATGATGCCTTCAAAGTTGCTCGGTATCTTCAGGCATTACGCCGTATATCTGCCTCCATAACCACCCGCCATATCGGCAAAAGAACTCGTCAATCGCAAAGATAAGCGCCTCGAGATGCTGTCCCTTTTTGGGCCCCTCGCGCCAACCACAGGACTGGCCGGCGGCGTACAAGCGCACGTCGGGCATCTGACTGGATTCAGCTCAACGAGGGATGTAGGAACGTCGCTATTGCTACTGTCCTGCTCAGACATCGAAATGTCTCCTGAAGCCGACTCGATCTGGTTGGCGGCGAAAGCCAACCTTGGCATTACTGGCCTCCGGACATCGTCCTCCAGTTGGACGGAGCTTTCTCTCTTCCTCTTGTGGGCATCAGTCACCTTGGAGAGATCACCCGGTGACTTCTCTATCAAGGCCATCTCTTTCTCTGCGGCCTCTTTCTCCCGGGCGGCTTTCTCCAGGGCGTCTTTCTCAAGTACTTGTTTGGCCAGCTTCTGCCAGAGGCCCATGCCGATTGCGTCGTGAATGACGGGTGCTTTGATCAGCTTGAGGCACTCCCGCCACCCCTCTTTCTGTTCCAGACGACCAATATCCATCATTTTGTCCATTGTGACATCGCAAGTGATCTTGACCTGGCCGTTCTCGCACTCAGTCTCCCAGTTTTCCGTGACGAACTTTTTGATAAACCCCACGGCCTCTTGGACGGATTCGCGTCGTGCCTGGTCGGCTTCGACCGCTATTCTTACCAGTCCATCGAGCTGTTGTTCTTTGAGCTGCAGTGTTTTGAGCTCCAGTGTTTCGAGCTCCAGTGTTTCGAGCTCCAGGACCTTCTGATTGTGAATATCGTCTTTGAGGTCATGACTGCTGATACTTGACCCCTTGCTAGATGCCTCTCCCGAGGAATCTGGCGTTGCAGTAGAGGTATTTTGCGTTGTCTTCTCGGAGGAGGTTATGTTCTTTACGTTGGCCTTGGTGACAGTGTCAGACGAGTCGAGGGAAGACACACTAGTAGCGCCTTCGCTGGTGGTGGATCTGATGGAGGTGGAGTCGCTAGATTCGCTGCTGATGGAATCGTTGGATCTTCGGGTTTCTCGATATTGATGTTGGGTCTCGCTGGCCGAGGCATCGAGCACTTCCCCAGTCGTCTGGATGTTGTCAGGGGAAAAACAGCCCCCGGCTACATCAAGTGCTTTGGCCGCTGTGATCGCCGCAACTGCTTGCTTCACGAAGGGTGTCTGGAGAGTGGCCATTTTGAGATGGGAACAGAGAATCTGGTAGAAATGCTTGGCGAGGAGGCGAGGAGTGCTGTTGGAGCCACCGCTGTCTGATCAACTCATTGAAAATCCAGTGATTGAGGGAGGACTCGAGGCTTTAAGAAGTTTCAGTTGTTCACGTCGGGACCGGCGATGTTGTCAATTTGGGGAAACGACAAGAAAATTCAAAAAAAGACTTTCAGACTTTGCAGTCCGTAGATAGTAGGTTCAATGACGCAACGGGCGGGGTCTCGAACAAGTCTACCGTAGCGACAAGGCGTTCCGCATTCGTCAAGTGTCAACACAAACCACATATATCCGAACTGGTCTGCAGCTACCACTGGTGAATTTTCCACTGCTCGTTTTCAGGGTCTTCGGCCTCAAGGAAGATGAGTGATGTTTCTGCCTGTACGGACACCACACATTCTACTCAAACGCTTGCGTTCTGAGGAAAATGGTCTGTAGTTTTTCGAGTATCAGCGCAGATACTGTCGCCTTATCAGCCCTGAACTTGGGGGAGGCCGTAAAATCGATAAAACTGCACATGACGATTTAACATCTGATAATCTGGCGCCTTGAAATCATAACTTTGTCAATCGTATATCCGACCAATAGGCGTCGAATGCCGAAGGCAATCCAGATGTTTAAGGTTGACGGGCCTCGACGGGCCTCATCAGGGTACAATTCGTACGGCTGGGCGTTCCGTCCCGTCCGTTCTTCCACCGGCGCTGCGGATCATGGGGTGATGGGAGTGTGGCGCGGAGACCCAGGCTCTCGGCCGCTAAGCTTCCACAATAATCTCGGTGGGGGTCGGTCAACGCTCGGTCAAGGTTCGGTCAGCTGCGACTTCACCTCCTCATCACCAGATCGCAATCTGTCGCCGAGACAACACAGGGCACACCGTATGCGAGCCAACCACCGCTTTCATTTTGGGCGAAAGAAATGGGTTTCTTGCAGATCTCTCAAACAATATAGGCAGCCTTTATTGTGAGCTCGCAAGTGTTCTTTGATCTCTTTGAAGTATGAAGCAGAGCTGCCTGAGCCTTCCGCCTGTCAGCTCTCTAGATAATTTCCATTGACGTACCTTAGAGTGCTGAGGTCCTGTCAATAGCGCAGATGATGTGCAAATGCAGCCCAAAGCTGCTTGAAAGCCTCTTAAAGAAGCCCTGGGGCTTGCAATGTCGAAGCCCAGAGGGTGCAAGGTACTTGCAGTTCACACCAGCTACCCTGAACAATCCCATTGTTGAAGTTTGCAGGTGAAAGAAAGAAGCGTCGCATACTTCTTTCTACTCCACGGATGTTTGAAATCAACAATGGACCTCCTTGAAAGGCGTTGGTTCCTGATGCTGGCTACCTTTGGTTGCGATATGTGCCATTGTTGGCCTTCGTCATCGCCCATATAACTACGTAAATTCCCTGGTAGAGTTGAACATGCCAATGGAGAGGGCTGTAATCGTCAATCGAAACTTGAAATTCCTACAGACTTGTGTACCTATCTGAAGTTATCTGGCGCTGGAGTCCGGACCCAGCCTCACGTCTTACAAACGGCGACGAAGTCCCCCTTTGGACCCAAATCAGAACCCTTTCGCAGACCAGAGCACTTTTGGAACTTCAATACCACTGTATCTCTTGTAAAGCGAGCTGGTGAAACACTGGTAAATATTTCTTGTTGCACTCTGCCACCCGCTGTCTTCGCACCTCCCCCCCAAACGTGGCAGGCGCGCCCTCCCAGGCACACGCGCCTTCCCACCCGACCTCGACCTGCCTTGACCTGCCTCGCCTCCCACTACCTACCTGCCTTTGCCATCCCACCCAAGAAAAAAAAAAAAACAGTCTCAACTTCTTCCACTCTCCAGAAATCCCAACTCTTCACGGAATTCTTCCAATTGTCACTTTCAACACCTCACACACGCATTTTACCACCCCCATCATCAACTACCTCACTTTTATCAACTCTCCATCGCTTGTACACATTCATATCACCCAGAGAACCGTCCAAAATGGGCGAGGGAATGATTCTCGACCCATGGCCCATGGTCACCAAGGGCTTCCTCGGCCTCTCCGTGGTCATGTGGCTCGTCACAGCTATTCCCTACACCTACGACTTCCTCTCAGCCCTCGTCGTCGACTACTTCTGGGAGATCCTCATGGTCTTTCTGCTTTTGCACATCATCCCTTCCCTCGCCTTTTTCTTCGTTCAAGTTCTGAACCCCGTTCTCCGTCGCCTCACCCCGTCCCTGTCCTGTTCGCCCGAGACAGCTGCCAACATCCAACAGGCAGCGTACAACTACAGCATGCTCGCCATAATTCCTCTTTTCAAGAGCTTTATCGATGGCTTGTTCAAGACACAGAAAGCTTTGGCCTCGGGTCTCGTCACCATCACGGATTACCACACGGTTTTGGGCAAACTTTGCGCCTCCTCCATCATCATCCAGGACATCTTTCGCGCCCTTGGCGGCAAGAAGCCCGTCGATATTCTGGATGAAAGCGACCGGGACAACTACAAGAAGCGCATCGATGAGTTGACAGAAAACTACCGCGAGATGAGAACCGAAAGAAACCAGTGGGTTAGCAAAAGCGAGAAGTGGGAATCCAACTGTAAGGCCTTGGAAGCAAAACTGAACGAAGAGTGCGGTCGTAAAGGCGTGCTGGAGTCGCTTCAGACCAACGAAAGGAACGAGTGGGACACGCGTGAAGATTTGCTATTCGGAGAGCTTGACAGACTTCAGAAGAAGGTCGATAACAAAGTCAATTCTTGGAAGGTCCAGAAGACCATTCTGAATTTAGAGAACAAGATCGCCGAACAACAGAAAGAACTCGAACAATACAAGCCCGAGTCGAACGCCATCCAGACGATCAAAGCCCAGCTTCAAGACAAGGGAAACCAGATCAAGGCTTTGGAGAAACAGGTCGAAAGTCAACAGAGACTCCACGAGTGGAACACCAAGTTTATCACCAAGTATGAAGGTCAGGTGCGCGATCTGCAGGATAAGCTCAGAGACGAGGCCAAGAGGCTTGGTCTCAAGGTTCGTGAGCATTGGTCAGAAGCTGAAATGTGGAACAAGAGTCACGACAAGCAAGCAAAGAAAGTCGAATCCTTGAAGAAGGAGGTTGAGAAGCTTGAGGGAATGGTCGGCAAGGACCAAAAAGCCGAAAACGACAACATGGCAGCAAGCAACAGACTGCTGAGAGAAACGAACAAAAACCTGCGGAAAATCATCAAACCTCTGAACATCCCTGCGGAGCTTCTCGATGTCATCCACAAGCCCGAAACCCCGAAGTTGGTCGAGGCAACACTGGCAAAGCGCACCGAGGACGAGTACGCAAGAAGGATGAACCTTGAGAAAGATCTTCTACAAGACCAACTTCGAGCCGACAGGGAGGAATTTGAAAAGGAGAAGAATGAGGCGCGCGTGGAATACTACGATTGGAAGAGAGACAGGGCGAGCACCGAGCAGGATTTATCTGCCAAGTTGCAAGAGCTCGGTGAGCAGAATAACACGCTTGCGGCTCGCGAGAACAATGCACAGAAAACAATTGCCGCCAAGGACGCAGAGATAAACAAACTAAAACAATACGCCGCATATGATGATAAGAAGGTCGCAACAGTCCGAGACTTGTACAGCAAGAAGAGCCAGGAGCTTGAAGCGAAGAACCAGGAGCTTGAGGAGCTGGAGAAGGCTCGCACCAACGTCGGTGCCGGCATCAACCAACAAGTTCAACAGTTGTCGGCGGCTTTGTCGCAGGAAAAGCAGAAGAACGCCAAGCTTGAAAGCGACCTTGCTCAAGACCGGCAAGCGATTGAAAATGAGAAGCGCCATGTTCAGCAAGACCGGGAAGCGATTGAGAATGAGAAGCGCCAGGTCCAGGAAGACCGAGAGAAGCTCGAGAAGGCCACGGCAGCGGCGGAGCAAGACTTCAACAATACGAAGCAAGACATCGCCCAGCGTGAGCAGAAAGTTCTTCAAATGCAGGCAGAAGTGCAGGCTCAGGCGGACCAACTGGGCAAGTCGGCCACTCAGAACCAGTCACTCGCAGATGTGGAGGGCCGCGAACAGCAGCTCGCGCAGTGGACTGAAAGATTGCACCAGCAGGAAGCCCAGAATACTGCCGATCACCAACAAATTACCCAACATCAGCAAGAGATTACTCAAAAGCAACAAGAGATTACCCAACAGCAACAGGAGATTGTCCAAGAGAGGCAGGCCATGTCAGAGCAAGTACAACAACAAGTACTACAACAAGTGGAACAACTGGTACAGCAGCAGATGCAGCAGCTCGAGGAACAGCTTGAAGAGCGGCAACAAGCCCTCGCCAACGAGAGAGAGGAGTTTGATAACGAGCGAGAGAGATTGCGAAAGGGTTACCAAGTCGCCAATGACAAGCTCAACGAGGAGAAGAGACAACTGCAGAACGGCGGACACGACTCATCGGAAATGAACAAGAAGATGGCCGAGATGATCAAGAGTCACGCCAAGCAGTACGAGGAGATGGAACGTCTCTTGCATGCCAAGACCATGAAGGAGGCGAACTTCATGAAGGAGCGCAAGAAGCTGGAGGGGGACATGGCGAGAACCCAACGGGATTGTGACAGACTCCGAGCTGAGAACCGGCACCTGAGAGGCAAGACAGCTGGCGATGCGGCCTCTAAGACAGGCTCAAGCAGCAGTAATACCGCTCAGAAGCCATCGCAACCATCTAACAACTGGGCTGTTCCCGCGACGATTGCTCTCCCAGGCCCTGCCACCCCCAACGCTTCGAGCAGCAACACGACTGCCCAGGAACCTTCGGAGCCGCCCAGGAACTGGATCGTTCCCGCAAACAATGCTATTCCCGGAACAGTCGCTGCCAACCCTGGTGGTGAGGCCGCGACAGCTCAAGCGTCATCGGGCAGAAAGTCATCTTTCGGTTCCCTTTTTGGATCATCTCCCGCCCAAGAACCTGCGCCCTCTCCCGCGCCGGACGCGACTGGGGATGTGTCGATGGAGAATGCTGAACCGCAGAATGAAACGATGGCAGACCTCTTTGGCGAAGAATTCGAGAAGGAGGTAGACCGCGAGCTGGATGCAATGAAGGGAGAGGAGGAGCAGAAGAAGTGGAAGAAGATGATCGAGACGGAAACCCTGAAGAGAGAAGAGGCGTGCAAGAAGATGCTCCAAAGTAGCACGTTCACCCTCAACGTCCCCATTAACACATCCACAGGGCAAGCGACCACAGAAAGGCAGCACACTTCGTTCTTCCAGAATCTTCCACCTCCTCCGGACCGAAAGATTGCGCAGCCTCGGGGCCAAACATCTGCAAAGCAAGAGACCGAAGAGACGCAGCCCAGCCCATTCTTCGCAGCTTTCCCGGAAAGAAAGATTGCGAAGCCTCGTCGCCGAATCACTCAGGAGCCTGCCCCGCCACCGCCAGCGCCTCCTACTCCGAAATTCGGGAACAAGAAGGTCCGCCACCCTCGTCATGCGAAAAAGGCTCCCAAGCAGCTCCCTAACGGCGAAGCACCGAAGGGCCCCAGCTAGGAACCGGGGTCCTCGTCCGTCAAGACGGATCAGCCTATGGAAGGGGTGGAGGAGCCCAGCGAGCCGCAGACTACTGCCGCCGAGTCCGCGCGCCCCAAGACCGCTCGCAAGCAGCCGGTCACCAGCAACCCGGATCGACCCAAGACCGCGCGGAAGGCGCCAGTCAAGAGACCAACGCAGTGGAATCTCGACGTCGAAATTGAAGACGGTGAACCGCCCCTCCTCATGGTCTACCATGCCAACGAGACTCCCGAAGAATGCGCGAGGAAGTTCCTGGACGACAACGAGCTGCCCCTCGCGTTTCTCGAACAGCTAATGAACTTCATTAAGAAAAACGTCAACCACGAGGAGCCCGAGCCCGAGCCCGTCCCGAAGGACAGGAAGATCAAGACCCCTCGCCGCCGCATGGCTGACCGCAATTTCATGGACAAAGAGTCCCTTACCCCCGACCGCGAACCGTGGGTTCGATCCGATCCCGTCGCGCAGGCTTCAAACCAAGCGCCTGCGACTCCCCGCCACCCCCCGCCCAAGAGAGCTGTAACACAAGAGGACGCTGGGGCATACCTCCACCGACTGCGAGAGCTTGCGGCCGGAGGAGCATACACCGTTCGTCCAACCTTCCAATCACGCTCCCCGAAGCCGTTCACCGACCCGTTCCCCAAGGAGGGCGACCCGGAGTTTGGAAAGCATCCCGACGCGGATTACCTGCCCCCGGGCAACGACGACACGGAAGACGAAGACTCCGATCAGGAGATGCAAGAAGAAGACTCGCACGCAGAGTCAGAGTTCAACATGAACTGGTACAGCAATATGAATAACCCAAATGCCAATGATGAAGATGGCGATACCCAAGAGGCTCACAGCCCGGATGCCCACGGCCCAGATCTCTTTGGCCCTAACGGAATAGATTTCGACGCAGCAAAGGACTTCGACATTGACGATGAAGGGATGTTCCTATACAAATACAAATAGGGTACACGAGCGAGGGGATGATATGTTGGATTACGACACTGAGATTGGTTTGCGACGTTTGTTTAGTTTTGATGACTTTTTTCTTGCTTTTCGCCGATGGTAGGCACAGGTTTTGTTTGCAATGTTTCTGCCCGAGGAAAGGGCTTGGTCTAGGTCAGAGATGGTCAACTACAATTGGCGTGGAAGGTTAGGAAGGATAGGGATCCAGACTAAATGAATAACATGATGCTTCGATACATCGTGCCTGTGATCGTGGGTGGTGACATGACGTGTGAAGCTGCTGAGACGTTGACAACTTCAGCATCCGCATCGTAGATTCTCAAGACGACCAAAGCAAACAAAAATGTGCATCAAATGCTCCCAGAGTTCCATTCATCCATTACCTAAAAGTCCTCGATATCAAGCCCATCAACCCTGCCCAGGAAATCCCCGCCTCCGCCCCTCAACAGCTCATCCACATCCACACCACCCGCCGTCAAATACTTCTCGCTCACGCCCGCATTCACCCTCTTGGCCAAAAGCTCCCTCAGCTGCGCCCTCATCGCCCCCATCTCCGCCTTGGTCAGCCCCTGGTTCTCCTTCAGCTTCTTCTTCCGCTGGCTGCCACGGCCGCCCCAGCTGCCCGCCTTCTCGAGCTCCTCCGAGTCGTACTCGACGCCCAGCTCCTCCGCCGCGGCGCGCGCCCAGTCGTCCTCCTTGCTGCCCTTCTCCTTGGCCAGCGTCGCGTCCGCCAGCTTCTTGGCCAGGTCCACGCGCGGCTTGAGCTTGGAAGCGACGCGCCGGTCGATGTCGATCGTGCGCATGAGGTACTTCTTCTTGCTCGCCTGCTCGGCGTGCACCTTGGCGGCTAGGCGGCGCGTCGGCACGACTTCCTCCGGCCCGCAGAGGATGATGCTCAGACCGGTGCGCTCTGCGCGCGCCGTACGTCCGGAGCGGTGGACGTACATGTCTGCTGCGCGGGGGACGTGGTAGTGCACGACTTGGTCGATGCCGGGGATGTCGAGACCTCGTGCGGCGACGTCGGTGGCGATGAGGACGGATGTGGTGCCGTCCTTCGTGGCTGTGAAACGCTCGACGGAGCGGAGACGCGCCTTTTGTGGCATCTGGGAGTGTAGAGCTAGCGCGTTGAGGTTGAGGTTCTGCAGGAAGGGCGTGAGGCGGCGGACGGCGGAGATGGAGTTTGTGAAGACGAGGGTGCGGCGGTTCGGGTTCAAAAGGAGGACTGTGTAGAGGTAGAGATCCTTCTCCATGGCGCCGCACTCGATGAGGCCTTCCTTGAGGCCGGCGGCCATTTGCGCGACGGGGTTGACGTCGATGAGCTTGGGCTTTTCTTCGCGGAAGTTGAGGCGCTTGAGGAGGTATTCCATCGACTCCTCCTCCGACATCAGGCCCCATTTGCCCTTGCCTGCGAGCTTTTGTTGCAGGCCCTTGTGGAAGGTGGCGGAGAAGACGAGGGTTTGGCGCGGGGTGAGGTTTTGTTTGTCTTCGTCCTCGTCGATGGCCTCGCGGTCAAGGGCGTCGAGGATCTCGCCTGCCTCCTTGAAGTGGCCTTCGCTGAGCAGCCTGTCGGCCTCGTCAACCACGAGGTAGCGGATCTTCTTGAAGCCGGACAGGAGTTCGGTGCTGGAGCTGATGACCTCCCAGAGACGGCCGGGTGTACCAATGACGATGTCGGCCTTGGCGAGCTGGCGCTGTTGCTTGAAGACGGACAGACCACCAGTGACTGAGCAGACGAACGGGGCGTTGGTGAGGCCTGCGCAGAGGTTCTTGATGTGGTTTGTGATTTGGTGCGCGAGTTCTCTCGTCGGGGAGAGAATCAGGGCGGTAGGGGCGTGCTCGGTGTCCTTCTCGCCGTCCTTGGCGTCGAACTTCTCGATCCAGTCCTCGACGATGGGGATCGAGAACGCGAGCGTCTTACCGGAACCAGTGGACGCCTTTCCGATGACGTCGTGGCCGGCGAGAATCTCGGGTATAGAGGATTTCTGGATCTTTGACGGCTTTGTGAACTTGAGCTTCGCGATGGCGGACACCATTGCTGGGGAGAGGCCCAGGTCGATCCATTGGCTCATGTCGAGATCTTCTTCGGCTTCCTCTGCGGCCTCGAGAGCAGTGAAGACGTTGCTCTCAAGCTTGGCATCTTCGGGCTTGGGCTGTGTCTTTTTCTGCTTCTTCTGCTTCTTCTCCTTCTTCTGTGGGCCTTCGGGGGCATCGGCTTTCGGTTCGGCGGCGGGCTCGTCTGTCGAGTCGGCGGGTTTCTTGCTATCCTTTGCTTTTTGCTCCTTCTTGGCCTTCTCTTTCTTGGCTTTCTTTGTCTCCTTTTGTACTTCCTCCTTATCGGCGGCCGGGGCATGGGCAGGCTCAGAGTCGCTGAAGCCTTCGAACTCGTCTTGGTCCATCTCGTCGGCGGTGGGAAGAGCAGTAACCTTTGGGGTGGTCAGCCATGGTTGGGGTCGCTTCCAGGGGGACGAATACTCACAAACTCGACCTGGTCGCCCTTCTTGACGATATCAACGCCTTCAATCACCTCCAAACCGTAGAAACCCTCCGCATCGTCGAACATCTCGGGGACGTCGACCTTCTTCCATGGCAGCTTGCTGACGGCGACACTGCGCTTCTTGGGGGCGGTCTTGACGATGCCGGACTTTTGGCGCTTCTGGGGTGCCTGGCTAGCATTGGAAGGCTGCTGCTTTCTCTTCTGCTTCTTGAGTTGGTCCATGGCGGCAGCGGTTGTGGTGGTGGTTGTCCTCGTCGATGGATGTCCGGGCTGAAAATGCCCCGCGGAAATTCTGCAGCAAATTTCCAGCAGCACTCGCGCTCAGCGACTGGCGCCAAAGCTCAGTGCTTCCGCCAGAAAATTTTAGCGGACCCGGAACATACTTCGCCCGAGCAGGCCCCCTGGGTGGAGCTGCATAACGCACCGACCACAGCTTAATTCAGCCCTACGGCCGCCGTCACCGCTGCAGCAAATTTTTTGCCGCTGGAATTGGACCCCTCCAAAAATCTACCCCTCCATCTCGTTGTGTCTGCCGATTGAAGGATCCCCCACCAGATCGTACACCAGCCACGTCAACACCAACACCTCATCACGATGGGTAAATCTTCGAAGGACAAGCGTGATGCGTACTACCGCCTCGCCAAGGAGCAAGGCTGGCGTGCACGCAGTGCATTCAAGCTGCTGCAGCTGGACGAAGGTGACTCACTTTACCCCTCCATGCATGAAGTTCGCGTGCTGATGCCCTTGCAGAGTTTGACCTGTTCGCCAATGTGACGAGAGTCGTTGACCTGTGTGCCGCCCCTGGGAGTTGGTCCCAAGTTCTGTCTCGTGTCCTCATCAAGGGCGAGAAGTTTGGCCGTTCGGCTTGGCAGGATCGCGAGGCCAAGTTCCGCCAGGAGATGCTCGGCGTCTTCCCGTCTGCCCCTGAGTCCGAGGTACCTGAGAAGGCTGAGACCGATGCTCAAGAGCCTCAGCCCAGGAAAGACGTCAAGATTGTGTCCATCGATCTCCAGCCCATCAGCCCTCTGCCTGGCATCATCACCCTGCGCGCAGATATTACCCACCCGGCTACCGTTCCCCTACTCCTGAAGGCTCTCGACTCCGACTACGATGCTACCACCAAGAGCAAGCAGGCCTCCAGCCCCGTCGACCTCGTCATCAGCGACGGCGCCCCCGACGTCACTGGCCTTCACGACCTCGACATCTACGTGCAGTCCCAGCTCCTCTTCGCCGCGCTCAACCTCGCCCTCTGCGTGCTGAAGCCCGGCGGCAAGTTCGTCGCCAAGATCTTCCGCGGCCGCAATGTCGACCTCCTCTACGCGCAGCTCAAGATCTTCTTCGAGACGGTCATTGTGGCCAAGCCCAGGTCCTCCCGCGCGAGCAGTGTCGAAGCCTTTATCGTCTGCATCAACTTCCAGCCCCCCGCCGGCTTCCAAGCCAGCCTGGAGAACCCGCTGGGCGTGGGTCACAAGCTGCCTGAGATGGTCGAGGAGAGAAGTGCCCAGCTTCCCATTGTCGCTGATGCGCTTATGCAGAACCCTCTCACCGGCACCTGGGACACCGCCCTCACAGCTTCTGCGACCAAAGGCGAAAGCGAGATTGTCGAGGTCGAAGCCTACGATGAGACGGACGAGACCACCGACCACGAGAAGCACATCAGATGGATTGCACCCTTCATCGCATGCGGCGACCTTTCAGCATTCGACTCAGATGCTTCCTATCAACTGCCCGAAGACCACGTTTCTCTCGACCCTGTCCAGCCTCCTACTGCACCCCCCTACAAGCGTGCCATCGAACTGAGAAAGGCCGCCGGCGGAGCCTACGGCAAGACTTCCGTCAAGGTGTAAAACACAAAACCACGATAAACCACCCCGCTGGCCTTAATAGTCGTCCTCATCCGACGGCCCATCCGGCATCGCGGGCCCGCGCTTCTCCAGCAGATACAGCTTCCCGTCATGCGACGCCCCCCATTCCGTCGTCCCCAGCGTCTTCTCATACAACTTGCTCGCCTGCGGCGACGACGTCAAGAGGAGGAATCGCCGCAGGTCGGGCCACTCGTTCAGGACCTCGTTCAAGCACTCCATCAACCACGGCGCGAGGCCCTTGCCCTGATGCGCCTGCAGCACGTACACGTCGGACAGATACGCCAAGCTCACGTAATCCGTGACAACCCTCGCGAGGCCTACCAACTCTGGCCCCTTCTTCCCTGCGCGACGTGAGCATTCATTCGCAGGACAACGACTGTGCGAACGAACCTGCAATCTCGGAGGTGGACTGGGGAAGCTTGTACACGCCCAGACACAGCGAATTATCAATCATCCGCCGCAACACGCCCTCATCCACGCGCTTCGCCCACCACAGCAACTCCGAGTCGAAGGCGTCATTGATGGCATCCAGCTGGAGGAGCGAACGATCGGTGGAGATGAGGTAGTCGTCCTTGTACCACTGCTTCGTGGGCATCTGGTTCGGCATCGTGTCTGGTACTGTGAGATTTCTTCTTTGCTGCCCAGGGCGATGTTCAGTGGCGCAAGGGAGGACAGAGATGTAGTTGGAAAATGCCTGAAACCTTGTCGGCGCAGTGCCCGGTCCGTAGACGCACGCAAAACTCTAGACGAGGCTTAAATAAACGCCAGAAAGACAACGGGAGGATCGAGCGTTGTGTCCGAAAACGTCATTTCTCGCCGCCCGGGTTGGGGTCTGTGAGGTTCACATCCTGCCGGGGTGAACTCTATGCTTGTGTCTCCTCTTTCGCCGGGCATTCTTGCTATACCGCTCTTGGTAAGGTTGGTCCGGATGGGGAGATTCGGTCCCGTGCCGATCGTCGCCACGCGGGGGAATGTGGGGTCGAGCTCCGGGCATCCTCACGATAATTACTCGACCACGAAGCATACGTACTGGAAGGAGACCGCATCTTTGGTGTACAACTTTCCAGCTTATGGGCTGGAATCAATAAGGCTACCCAGCAGGCAGCCATTTCGAAGATGGTTGCTGCCTTAGGCCCCACCACAGAAGGTGAAGCTGCGGTACCCTCATGGGCAACGTCCGTTTCTGAATCTGTCACCAACAAGCATCCGGCCAGATGGTCGAGGGGTGGTTGTGCGATGACTAGCTGGCATTGACGTTCTGTGGTGAGTCAGCGTACGCACCGTTCGATCCTCGATAGCGCCACTGTTGGACCATTCTTTTTTTTGTTTTTGGTCTCAAACGTCGGATGGTTTTATTTTTCCTTTGTCCACTCGGTCGTTTCGACGGACAACAACAGTAGAGACAATCATGATGATGGAGACGACGGACGAAGACAGTGGATACAGAAAACCTCACCAGGAAGAAAAGAATTCTAATTACAGACTGACTTGATCGCATAACATGAAATTTCCCTCCTCGTTCTACGCGTTGTCGTCTTGTGTAGAGTGCGCTGCCCGGCTGCCTGTTCTCTGTCGAGTTTGACTGACACACACGACACGACGCTGTCTTTTTAAACAATGAAGGAAGGAGCTGGAACACTGCAACCTCCTTCAAATTTTCCTTCCGCCTTCTTGCCTGAATCTCTTCCAGGTTGAGCTTCTCAACCGCATACCAGAACAAAGACTCGCATCAACCAGAAGCAGCTCGCTTTTGCTCACCAGCCTTGCTTTCAGCTTGTTTCAATCGAAAGAAATGTAAGTTTGTTCCCATCCAATTTTCACACCATGCTTGCTGACCTTACCCGGACCAGAGCCTCGACCTCCGTCCCACCATGGAGCAAGTCCATCGCATACTTGCTGAGCTCTCAGGAGCTTCGCGAGACCTAGCCTTGCGCCGCGCCCTAGAGGAGAAAGCACGCGACCATCTCATCCGTCTACTTATGCACGAAGATTACGACGGCGTTCCTACGTGGTACACTTGCGACGTTACGATGGTGTTGGGTCTGGATACCACACTCGACGGGGAGATCCTTAAGGGCCAAGATGAGGTCATTCAGCACTTTACCACCCTCCAGGAGCAAACCGATATCGTCGTTGTCCCCGTCCTTGTTGTCGCCGACCGCGGCCGAATAACCGCATACACCGAGACGTATTACAGGTGGCTGGGCAAGGACGACAAGGAAGACGGCGAAATGTTCGTCGAGGGGCCTGTCGAAGCGCCCTTTGTGGGCTGGCCGGCGGTCGTTTTCGGCGATGTTCTCAAGGTACGCGAGGTGGTCGTGTTTGACCTCAACGCGGAGATGAAGGTCAAGCGTGTGGAATGGCGCCAGTTGGGCATGGAGCACCTTGGAGAAGCCAGCGTCGACGCTCTTGCATTGCAAAGTGAGAAGCTCAAGGTTCGTATTCAAGGGGATGTATGATGGATTGCCAACTGAGGCCGGACTGGAAGGAACCTGTCATGAATTGCATGGGATTGAGGTACACGCTTGCTGCCTCAAAAAGAGCAGAAATGGCATACGGAGAGTGGATGGCTTATACGGAAATACCCTGCAAACGTCTGCTCATTATACTTAATAACCTGCCACCCGGGTGGACTTCCAAGTCGGGGGAAATATCACAACCCTTGAGGACATCCTTGACGGCTTGACCCTGGAGCAAGTCCACCCTGAAAACCTGTTCTCTCCGGTGCATCATCTCCGTTCAAAACTTAGGCCTCCTCAAAACCAGCTGCGAACCTCGGAACAGAGGCATTTGTCCTTCGTCCAGTTTCATGGTACTGTAACACACTCGACCACAGCTTCATCGAGACACACCAATCAACCAAAAACATAAACCATAGCTTCCTCCTGCCCCCAAGCGCATCATGAGCTCAAGAAACCAACATGACCGCTTTCAAGTCTTCGCGGACGAACTGACCGGCGACTCACGCGACCGCCCCCTGCGATACGAGATCGAAAACAAAATCAGCATCTTCTTCGACGACATCAACGAGAAACGCTGGACGAGCGTCAAGAGCTACTTCAACGATGACGCCCGAGTCATCTTTGGCTTCAGAAGTCCGAACCAAATCATCGACAAAGATGTTGATCTCGTGATCGAGCGGATCAGGGAGAAGGCCGACGGCATGCGGCGCGTCACGGTGCCTACGTTGGTGCTCGTGGACCGAGGGCGGGTGACTTGCTTCCTGACCAACTTGTGGATCGAGATCGACGAAAGAGAAGACGACGCGACGCTGGATCTCGTCGAGGCAGACGCGCTGTTTGGAGAAATGCACGAGGTGGCTATCATCGACCTGGACGACGAGTACAAATTCAAGCGTGTGGAGTTCCGGACTACGACTCGGCAGGAGACAAGACAAAGGGGGACTGTGGAAGATTTCGATTACTTGGTGCAGAAAACAAAAAGGAGCGAGTATTATGTGGTCGAGTCCGACGAATAATTAGAACGCGCTTGAAAATTCTTTTGTTTTCGTGGAGGCGCAGAACTTGAACAGAACCCCTGCTCACATCACTTGTGTTCAACTCACCTCGACGTCTCCACAGAAACATTCCATCTCTTGCCTCATCAGAGGCCGCTCTTGCCTTTTGCAATACCCCGTGTCATCACTACCAGAGAAACTGCTCTTCGCCATCAAAAGCCATCTCTGACGTTGTCGTTTTTACCGTCCTCCTGAAGTTCTGCTTCGTCGTTTTCGCCATCTTCGATCGTCGTCATCGCCAACACCACGATTTTCATTTTCTGCAGCCAAAGTCCCCAGAAACCCGGCAAAATCGTCGCACATCATGTCGATCGAATACAACCGCACCCAATTTGACGAGTATGCCGCAGAGCTCGCTGGCCCGTCCCGAGACCGCCCTATGCGCTTGGCCATCGAGCAAATGGTACGAAGATTCTTCCACGAGTCCGACCACAAGAGATGGGCCAAAGTCATGGAGTTTTTCACCAACTTTCCCACTGTCATCAGTCACCTAGGCCAGCCCGGGAGCATATTTCGCGGAAGGGCTGCAGCAATCGATTGCCTCAAGGTGGGGGCCGAGGCCTTTGAACGAACTGTCCTCCACACCATCGTGGTGGACCGGGGTCGTGTGACTTGTCACATCATTAACTTCCACATGGATGCCAGCGAGGACGACGAGTTCCACGAAATTGACCACATAGTAGTCGTGGACCTTGACAAAACCAACCGGATCGAGCGTCTCGAGTACCGCGATACCACTCGCCGTATCAAGAAGCACAAGGGAGGGCAACAGGTCCTCGGTGCTCTTGTGAGCGAGGCCGAACAGGACGCCATCGCCGTTGACTACTCGGCTTGAAAGGAAAAGCCACAGAACAAGATCGAGGTAGGTGCCATCGTTGACACATTTTGCTTCTTGCCGGGAGAGCACTTCTAATGCGTTGCCAGATTTGAGCAGAAGGCTGTCGCTGTCTCTTTTGCCTTTCGTTCTCGACGCTTTCCATTCTCCTCGCTTTTCGTTCTCGCCGCCTGTCGTGCTCATCACCGTCACTGTTGACTGCGTCATGCCATAACCGTCACGGCACCTGAAGATTGCCGACTACATGGACAACAACGCTGGGAAAACGCACATAACATCCGGAGGACATTTTCAGTGGGTAGGGAGTCATTGAGATAGATAGCTATTATGAATTTGGAGACGCCTTCCCCTTGAGCAATTGCATCTGCGTGTGAATATCCTCGATCATTTGTATCCTACCTCAATACTAACACCAGATGTTGGACGTATGCGGTTTGACCCACGGAAGTTTAAAAAGCTTGCTTTGCCGCCCAAGGCAGAATTCCAGGCATGCCTTCCAGGTGCGCAATCAGACCAACTCCACGCGAGATACTTTGACCTCTCTGGCCACATTTGACATCTATCTGCTATGATTGGAAGAATAAAATCACCCGCCAAAGTTCTCAAGCACCCAAAGCGGTGGATTCGCGTGCCACCCCTCTCCCCGCGCTCCCCTCCCCCCAAAGTTCTGTCGCAAAACACCACCTAGTCTCCATTCCCAAAACAACAAGACTGACTCGGTAATGGTGAAAGGGATCGAAAAAGACGGAATAACGCTCTCAAGTCTCGAAAGACCCATAACGCGCCGTAAATACACGGATACGGATTCAACCACTTCCTCAGGTGAGACATCCTCCTCTCTGAAAATTCCGCGACTCAAACCCTAACTCGTCATAGAAACCATGGACACACCCGGAACTCCCTCGAGCGAAAGCATGGGAAACGCGGCAAGCCACATCCCCGTCTTCGCGCCCCGTTCGTGGGATGCGAACAGTAGCAGTTCCGAACCTCCCGAGCCCGCGTCCCGCGAGGACTTCGATCGCCTCGAGAAGGAAGTCTCCAGCCGCTCCTACGATATCGCCATGCAAAACATCCACGAGACCGCTATGCGAGACTTTATTAGAGCCATCAGCAACTGCCAGTGGTCTTCTGTGAAGGACTGGCTTGCGGACGATGTCGAGTTCGTCCAGGTTCCGCTCCGTCTGGGCGGCATCTGTCACGGCGCCAAAGAAGTCGTTAGCCATTTCACCGAGATGCAAGACAACGGACCTGTTTATTTTTTGGTCGACTACATGATTGTAGACCAGGGCTACATCACGTCCATCGTTGAGATGCGCCAGGACATCCCTGACGAAAATCTCTGTACCGAGCAAATTATTGCCTGGATCATCAGCCTCGACGATGACAATAAGATAATCCGCATGGAACACAGAGATATCGGAGCGAAGAAGTACCGCCCCTTGAACCCACCTAGTAGGTGGTCCGGGGGCTACTACTCAGAATTCCGGAGTTAAGTCTGGTCTTCTGGTGGAGGACGAGCAAGCTGCAGGGAACGACCTTCTTGTCCATGATAGTCCATTATGGATGTCTCAGTTGCTACGTTGTTCACAATGGAGGCCCTTCAACATTAATAAGACCTTATCTGAAAAGAGACATTTTCAGCAATTCCGAAAAGATTTTCAACGTCAAGATAACGCATGGAAAAGAAAATGTTTTGTGAACTTGAAGTTATCCTGCAAAGAGTGTGCTAGGCAGTCAGAAGCAGCAGTAGTAATCTTGAATCTTTTCATGGGAAGGTGATTTCGTAATTTCCTTTTGATTTTAAAACACAGTTAGTGTTCTTGATGGATGATGTCTGTGTACATGAACGATTGTCTTGCTCTAGTCTCAAGCTTCCTGTCTGATCAAAGTGCTATTTCTCGCCCCGTCATGATATCAAATTCTCCCGCCCATGTCCTTGCACTGTGAGCCTATCCTTCAATTCGATTGCTCCTGGACGCATGGTCCTGCCACATTCGTTGCACGCTCAGAAGGATTGGTAGATGCGCCTGCTCTTCGAGTCCTCCAACATCTTGTCAAGCTCGTCCATGTGGAACTTCGTCTCCCGAATGATGCGTTGCTCGACGCGCCGGAACCTGCAGCTGCTGTCGAGATCGAGAATGAAGACATGCGTGGTCTTTGTGAATCCGAGACTGTCCTTGGAGCGCAGGAAAACTTCGACGTGGCAGGTGATGCGGCCGCGGTCGATGAGGATGATGATGGGCACGGCCGTTCGATGCAGACGATCCAATTTCTGAAAGGCCACCGCAATGCCATTGTGACCGGTGAGGCTGCCCTCGGGGCGCGCGAATCCCTCCGTATGGCGCAGCATGTCGATGTTCTCGACGTACCACTCGTTGAAGCCATTGGGGTGATAGTCGGCCCAGTCGGAGAGGTAGTTGAGCGTGTGCTTGTAAGCCTCCTGTCGGAACTTGGAATCTTGGGTTGCGATGGTGATGTTCACACTACCCCTGAGGGTGATCAAGTCTCTGACGGACTTCCGAATGTCGGTGGCCGATATCTGGTGCTCTTGTTGTGACATCTTCGGTGATGAGTTTGTTGGGAAGCTTTTCGTGCCAGACGAATGGATAGTGTGATTTGCGAGATGCGGTCTGAATGAAAAAGTTGTTGCAAGTTGAGATGTTTGGTGAGAGATCTTGAAGGATTGAAGAAGAGGGAGTTCAGACTTTATAGACGCCAGGCGAAGGCAATCCAACGCCGGGCATCTCACCCTGGAGGACAGTGAATTTGAGTAGATGGGATGAAGATTGACATGCGAAGGAGAAGCCTACTGTAGGTCCAATCGGCAAAGCACCACGGCCTAAGCGGCAGATATCCTCCTCGAGGCGCATCGCTTCCTGCTATTGGCCCTGCTAGAGTTTTATTCACCTCAAACTCACCTTGGGCTATGAGCCCCATAATTGCTCCTGCTCCTGCTTCTCCGGATCCGCTGGACTGACGGTGTCGCTCCTTCCTCCACGCTCCCAATCTCAAGAATATTCACCGCAGAGGTTTCAACAACAACACCCACCACACTGAAGCCGATCCAGAGATCGACTCAAAATGGCTGTTCCTGACGACGAGGAGAGCTTCCGCCGACTTCTGGAATAAATGGCAGGCGACTCCCGAGATTTCAGTATTCGGAAGACACTGGATCAAAGAGTCCGCGCCTACTTCCAGAGCCATGACGCTGGACGCATTGACGAGATGAAGCGTTGGTACGCCGACGACGTCATTCAAATCTTCAGTGTCCAGGTGCTCGGAAAAATATGGAAGGGCAAGGAAGAGGTCATCGCCAGTCATGAGAAAGCTTTAGCAGACCGAAAGAGACGCGGATGGACTATTGTCACTGTTCCCACCTGGGTCATTGTTGACCGAGGAAGAATCACCTGCCGCATCGAGCGATTCTACTCCGAACAGACATGCAAAGGGATCATCAAGTACACGTTTCTCGCGGTATTTGATCTGGACTCAACCGGACACGTGAAGAGGATTGAGTACAGAAAGATCAACGACTCTACCAAGGACAAACCCATTGAAGAGCTTGTTCGCGAGGCGGACGCAAAGCAGGAAGACATGCAGGCCATTCTTGAGTTCTGAGTCGTCATCTCCACATTCGGTAGGATGCTCCAATTGTCTCCTTAGATGGCACCGTGGTCGCTTTCCCCGACCCGTGCTGACTTACTTCATGTGGATAGCCTTAGCACGGAAAGGGGACAATGTTGAGTAAAACGACGAAGATGGACGAGACGACGGAAAAGGCATCGATGATACTGGCGAGGGCAAAAGATAAGGATGGGAAAGACAAGCGCCGGAAACGACGGTGTTCCTTTGGTGGTTTCCGCAGGGAAGCAACAAACATCTGTCGGATGGAAAAAAGGGAGATCGTTTTGAGCAGGACAGACATCATTGTGGCACGAATGCTGCAAACATAAAAGACAGAATCGAAAGCTTTGAAAATACACTCCCTGCGCCCCTTGTTTGTGTTCCGTACTCTATTTGTAGTGCTTCAACTTGAACCATCCCCTACCAAGTACGGTGTAAACGATGGGGGCGAAGATGACCGACTGAAGGTATATAAAGCACCGGTGACCAACGGGATTTCTCACTGAAATGCAGATTCAGCAGCGACAATCACAATCAGTCAGCCTTCGACATTTCTAATCTACCCCAACGATTAAGGCGTACCCATCGACCTATCGCCATGGATCTCTCGATTGTCTCGAAGCATTATTTCGACCAACCTCAAGATTTGACACGCCTCCTCAACGAGCTTTCAACCAAATCTCGCGATATCAGCATCCGTCCACTTCTCGAGAGGATGGCGAAAAGTCTGCTGCAACTTCTAGAGATGAATCCTATCTCATTCGACGAACTTCGCTCATTTTGGTTGGACTCCGACGCGACTATGATCTTTGACAGCGATCCTGGCTGTCCGATCGAGGACGGTTGGAGAACTTATCTTGGCAAAAAGGAAATCCAGGACTTCTTCATTAAGCGTGATGAAATGGCCAAACATCGGCTCGAAACCACACACCTCGAGTTCATTCTAGTCGTTGCAGACCGAGGTCGCATCACTTGTTTCTACAAGCGCCACAGGAAGAAGCAACACGGATTGGATCAGGAAACTGACCTTATCCTTGTGATTATGGATCTCAACGCGTCCAACAATATTGAGCGCCTGCAGTACCGTTATCTGGAGGAGAGCGACTATGCCGTCAAGTACAAGTGGGAAAGGTCATCAGAATCGATGAAGAAGCATGGCTTGATTATTCCGAAGCGGGAAGAATGAATGGGACAAGGAACCTGGCAATTTGGGCAGGCAAGACTTGGAGATTAGTGGACAGCTCTTTTGTGGAAGCCGGTACAGATCAGGGCGCCTAATTTGAAAATTGAAAGAAGTTGGCGAGAGCTTGCTATGCTTTATTTACACATCCATTGTGACCAAATGACTTGTATCAAAAGGCAGATAATGGAAACAGCAAAAACGATGGGGACGAGGAAGACGGAGGAGATACGAAGGGAAGGGAGGAGGGGGTAAAGAGAATGCGGGTGAAGATTTATTCCAGCCAAAGGGTAAGATCTAGACCTGAAAACACTTCGTATAGGAAGGCGCGAAAAGTCTGCGTGGAGCTCACGCCTTCCTGCATTGGTCTTCTTAGCTATCCATGGATCCTTCCACCTTTCCTCTCACCGTCGGTCCAACAACCCACACCTCCACTCAACATCACCAGCATACTGTGAAGCAACGATTGAGCCCCAAACTCAATCAAAGGTGCGAATCGATTTTTCCGAGTCCAAAGGAATTACGGTGCCATACTAACTACCTTACTCATAGCATCCGCAATGAACATCCCAGACCACGTGGTGTTCTCTCGCCGCCTCGCTGAGCTGACTGGCGAATCTCGCGATCGCAACCTGCGGCCATTTATCGAGGGACAAGCCAAAAAACTCATTGATGATCTGTTTTGGGGTGAAAAAGATCTTGCGTCTGAGTGGTTCGACGCCAGCATCAGCTTGGTGATCAACCTCGAACAAAACCCAGGCGTGGTTTTCCTTGGCAAAGACGAGGCGATGGGGTACTTCAAGAATCACGACGACAAAAAGGACATGGAGCAGAAGTGGTACGACTGGAACATCGTTCTCGTTACCGCTGACCGTGGTCGTGTCACTTCCTACGCCGAGAAACTCTCCGTAGAATTCAACGAGAACGGCGCGGTCAGCCCGATAGATAAAGAGGTCATACTCATTACAATGGACCTCAACGATTCCAACAAGATCCAACGCATGGAGTACCGTGTTCTTCGCAGGGACAAAATCGCGAACCATATGCCCTGGGAGGAAGCTGTCGCAAAACTGATTACCAAGTCTGTCGTTATCGACTACAACATCTGAAATGCAGAGCCAGTGAGAACCAGAGAGGGCAAAGGGGACGAGGAAGGATGATGAGGAAGAGTGATGAGGAAGGACAAGAAAAGCAGTCGAGATTGGCAGGTGGATATCGCATGGAAGAGAGAAGACATCACCAAAATGGATTCAACGGAATACTGAAACAGCCACCCGACTTCGCCATTAAAGCCCATCACTTCCCGAATGCAAACTTGAAGACATTCCCCGGATCAACCTTCTCCTTCAACCTCTTCACAGTCTCCCAGTGATCCCCATAAACCACCTCCATCGCAAACTGCCCCTTCGGCAGCAGCGAGTAGTACCCCCCTTCAATCACCCCATCCAACTTCACCAGCGCATCCCTGTATTCGTCCGCCCACTCCTTGGCTTCGTGGCTCTTCTCCTTCGTAACAGTAAGCCCGACGATCTCCAGCAGGTTGTGCTCCTCGCGCCACCTGAAAACGCCAGGTAGATGGTCATCCCGAGAAGCCTTGCCGCGAAGCTGGTGCATACTCAGCAACGCGCCGTCTCCAGGAAGCTTCGTCGCAAACTCGGCGTACAAGTCCGCCATGCCCTCCGAGAGGGCAAGCGTCTTGGTGCTCACGCCGTAGGAGCTGCCGGGGATTGTCGTCGGAGACGTCAACGCTGTTACCTGCGCAGTCATCGCAGAGGGGCTCGTCGGCGCGACCATCTTCATTGCCACGGGAGCAAGCTTGCAGATCCTTTCGAGCCAGGTGTCAGAATCGTCCGACGCAGGACCGTTCCAGGTGAAAGTGGAGGCGAATGTCTTTCCCATTCCTGGTACCTCGACAACGGCGGGCTGAATGCAGAGTTCGTCTGGCAGGCTCTTTTCCTTGAGAAGCTTCGCCCAGTTTGTCCAGAATGTCTTGATGGTACCTCTGAAGTCGGTTGCGTCGAACATGATGAGACCGCCTTGGACCTGCAGACATGTTAGTACCCTCTCCATCCTAATTGCGAGAAGCTCTTACCTCGGTCTTTGGGTAGACCTTGATCTCAATCTCAACAATAACCCCCAAAGCCGGCCCCGCACCTCGGATGCCAACCAACAGCTCCTCGTCGGCATCGATCAGCTCTCCGCTTGCGAGCACAACTTTAGCTCCGAGAATCTGATCAACTCCCATACCCAAGCTGGCAGTGAAGAACGAGTATCCTCCCAGCGTAGCCCATCCGACGTAGCCAACGCTTCCAACCGTGCCGGTCGGCGTCATCAAGCCTTCCTTCTCCAGCGCAGCTTGCAGATCACCATTCAATACGCCACCTCCAAGTCGTGCGGACTTCTTGTCGGGAGAGACGTTGACATACTTGATGTCACGCATGTCGATCTGCAGAATACCGTCGACGGTTGAGCGGGCTGACATGTCATGCCCACCCGAACGGATGACAAAGGGCGTCGACGTCTTGCTGCAGTAGGATACCAGAGCAGCGACATCTTCATCGGATTGAGGGCGAGCGATGAGCCGCGGGATGGCGGGGGTAGAAACAAAGGTCTGGCGGAGGGAGTGGAAAGTCTCATCGGAAGGGGAGTAGGTCTTGATTGAGGGGTGCTTCTCGAGGAAGTCTTCCAGGGTAGTGAGGGAGCCCATGATGTTCGAGAACTGTCGGCGGTTTGTCGATTGTTTGTTAGCGAAGATCCCAGAGACAATGAAAATTGGGAAGCATTCAGACGTTATTGAAATAAATCTGACAGCCAGCTTTATGGCTTGAAAGCCTGCCGTCAGCTCCGAGGCCAACTCTTTGTCATACAAGAACGCCCATCAGCTTGCCAGACTCTTGCTGCGACCCGTTGGCGCTGCTGATTGGCGCCGAAAAGATCTTTCGCTTCTGCGGGGAGCTAGAGACAGGGGGACTGAAACAATTATTTCCCCCGTTGGGAGAAGAGCGGTATCTTGCAGCCTGGACTTGTAAGCACTAGCAGAAAGGGGTGTGAAGTTGGATGCAGGGCCGGCAACGTCCGGAGATGGCGCCGGTACCCAGACTTGTGTTTCCCTTCTTCGGAAAGGATGGACATGCGGGGGAACGACACATGTAAGATGCGCAGGACAGTAAGTATGAATCATCAGTAATTCTCTGAGGATGGCTATCGTGCTAAGAGGAGCTCTGTAGGTCAAATAGTACAGCGAAACAAACAAATCCCAAGTTTGCAAACCTCCCTTGCGTCCACCCGTTATTCTTCTTTCAAGCAATTCCGTCGCCCAGTTGCAGAGGGTTGTAGTCTAGCCGGCGGTCTTGATTAGCGGATCATGCGTTCGATCCAGCGGGTGACAGGAATCTCCATGGAAAGCTCATGCTCCTGGGGCATCGCGGCGCAATAGTCGCGGAGCCCGAAGGTAAGCTCGCCAATGCAGCACATGTCGTGGCCGGAAGGGGACTGAACCCAGATCTCCATGTACCACTGTTCGTTCTTGAAGGTACGCTCCTCAGTGCAGGTGCAGCCCGTGAGGGAGTGCGGCATCTTGTCTTGGCGATCGAAGTCGTCGACGAAGTTCTCCCATCGGCCGTGGAGCTCTTCCCGGACACCGCTGAAGTCCTCAGGAAGACTCATCATGGTGCTGCCGAGAACGTCAGCTATTACAGGTTGGTCCTGAAGTGCGTCGGTTGTAAAGGTCTGGCGCGGCATGGGCGGGCAGCTGTGTAAGCCGTGCATCTCGCAGAACATATCGCCGAGCAGCCAGAACTTGTCTCTTGGGAGGAACATGGTGGCACTCAACGAGTGGACAGGTACGTTGCTGACGGTGTTGTAGTAAAAGTCACCGGCGTTGTCAAGATGCTCGAAGTACGACTTGTGCTCCGGGCCCCGGAAGTACTTGAGGTTGCCAATCTCGATGGGGGCGTCGACGGTGCACTGGTTGTAGTCCGCAGCAAGACGGGTGGTGTAGGCATCGGCAACCGTGTTTGGTTCGCACTGCTGAGGGTCAGCCTCTTGGGGAACACCGGGGTGAACGCCGCCCTTGATCATCTGGCTGGTGTTGCAGCCTCGGTATTCGAAGAAGCTATCGTCAAATTCGTCAAAGCGGGCGTTGATGGTAGGAGTGCCGAGCTTGCCGTCGTGGCCAAGGATCCAGCTGATATCAGCCTGGGGCTGGACCATCTCGGGGTGTTCGTCCATGAAGGACTTGGTGCTCTGGAAAAGGGACTCGGGCTCCGAGGTGTCTTCGAACATGACTTCGTTGACTCCGTAGGCGATATCGCGATCTCTCATCAAGCGAAAGACGTCAACGTTGATGTCGCACATGAACTGGGTCTGCAAAACAGTCCTGTCAGCCCAACCAACACCGGGGAGGGGAAGGCGACTTGACTTACTCCAGGTTCAACCATCCAGAACCAGTCATAGGCATCAAGGCGCTTCTCGCGAGCGAAGAGACCAGCAGACCAGCGTCGCTTGTGATGGGTGGTCCAGACGTCAGCTTTATTGGCGCCCACTGCCTAAGCGTGCGCCAAGCCAGCCTCGAAGCGACCAGAGTCAACCCAGGCAGGGATGGACCAGTGCTGCTTGGGAATGACATTATAGGTGACAGTGCCGCCGGTCGCGTTCGAAGTAGCCTCCTTGAACTTCTCGCTGAGCTCCTCGTGGCTGAAAAAGACCCAGTCGTAGCGATACTTGCCGTTGAAACGGTACTCTAGTTGTCCAACAGAGTCGACCATCTGCTCAAGTTGGTTCTCAGAGACAAGGGCAACAAAGGCGGCGCGTGGAGAGGCATCCCAAAGTTGAAGGCCTGCCGAAAGAGCGAAAGGGAGGTCGAAGAGCGTTATGGCAGCAAGGAGGAGGAAGAAGGTAGGGAGGGAAACGAAAGATTTGGTCCGGAGCGCCATCTCGCCTGATTAACGAGAGATCAGTCGAGAAGGCGCGCGTGGTGATTGGGGTGAAAGAAAGAAATCAGATAGGTGCTTTTCGTTGATCTGAGACAGTTCTTTGATGGATGTGGTCAAGGTGAAGGGTTGTTGTTGGGGTGAAGTTTTGATCTGAGGTGGTGTGGAGGAGAAGAGATGGTTGAGTTGGGAAATCACGAACGAAGAACAACCAGCCGACCTCAAACGACGCTAGCGTCTCGCTTAACTCTCGAAGAGTGCACAAGAGGAAGCAACGACCTGTTGTCAGGCAGCTCACACGTGACTTGGTGATCCAGACCATTCACCGAGATCCTTAGGCGCCTTAGGCGCCCAACCGCCTGGAACTTGGGCGAAAGCCTGGGGAATGAACGTGACCGTATTGAAAAATACGTCACCTCTGGCGGTTAAGCGAAAGTCAAGGACACTTCGGAAAAGCATCACTGAGACCTTGATCCCATGACCTCAGGGGTCCAAGCAGCTTCCAGGATATCAGCCAAAGTGAGAAGCCGTTTTCAGGACATGACTAGACCTTTTGAAAAATTTGAGAACCAATTAATCAACTTTGATACTATGAGAAAATGATGTTATTCTATTTAATGCCTTCCTGCCCTTAGGAGTGTCGTGATAGTACTCATCTACCGTGGTGCATCTTCTTCAATATTTCTACAGGGCATGAGATACGTCAGAATTCCTCATAAATATGTCATATGTCTTTGTTGCGAATGTAATGCCATTTCTGCATTTTTTTGTTGTCATTCGGAATGAAAGGATTTGAACAAGGGCCTCCAAAGCCAACCCTTCTTTGGAATAAAATACTCAAGTGCCCGCCCAAGGATTCAGCCCATCCATGTCATTTATGCCTTTGCTACAACTCCATTTCCCAATTCTCCCCGGTACTCTGGATATGCTCACCCCAGGTCCGATGCTCCTCTGTTCCCAATATCTTAAAGCCCGTCTTGGCATACATCCTCCTTGCTCCTACCATGTTGCTATCCGTTCTCAACCCGACACGTTCATAGCCGACCTCTCTCGCAAAGTCTATGCAGAGCTTCATCAATCGCGTTCCCAGGCCTAGACCTCGAGCGCTCTTCTCGACGAGAAAACACCTCAACTTCGCTCGACCCGGCGTGTCGCGATCTTTCATGAGAATGATGCAGCCCAGGAACTGGCCATCCCTTTCCGCAATCCAGCAACGCTCTGATGTAGGGTCGAAAGTTGTGATGAACTCGGACGTGATTCTGCCGACCAAGGCTTCGAAAGGTGACCCGTAATCGAACTCGTTAGCGTAGATTGTTCCATGGCGGTAGGTGATGAACCCCATGTCGCCCGGACGGTGGTTTCGTATGGTGACCCCGTTTGGGGTGCCGTTGACAGGTTCGCTTTCCGACTTCATTGTTGTTGACTGATGATTGCAGTTGGCGATAATATTGACCGTTACTTCTGGTCGGAATAATTGGGTTTGCCTTGTCAGTTGAACTGAATCTTTTGGAGGGAATTAGGAAGTCTTATCAATGAGGTGGTGTTGTTGTCTCCACCCTTGCAACCATGAATGGCTATCAGTGCGGGGAATGTCGTCCGCGTCTTTCAAGGGCGCAGACAGCCACTAAATCGGCAGCTAGGCATACTGCATGCCAATCTAGGTTTCAGGGGACTTCTGCAGGAATTGATCCAGATGGCGCTAGAAACACAAAGATGACTGGTCCAAATACACCGCCTTCGTCACTAAAATCTGACATCCTGTCACATAGACGTGTAGCCCGTGTGTTCCAGCTACGCGACTGCAGGTAGACTGGCCTCGTTGTAACATCGATCACATGGATCTCCTGCGGTTCGAGAACTTGATTCATTGCTTCATTTCATTTACACCCCTTCACTAGAATTCTTCTCATCCTTTCGTGATTCAATCATGACGACGAAAAACACCGCTGCCGTCGATCCAAACACGAACAGGGCCGTGATGGTGTTAAACCAGCCCACGCCAATACTGTTAATGGCCGGAAGGCAGACAGCCGTGCCAACGGCCGCGATTGCATAGCGGAAGAAGTAATTGCCAGCTTGTTCAAGTCAGTCACTTTCATCTCAGGCTATGGGTGGAGGAAACTCACCGATCACCTCTGCGCTTCGTCCCTTAAAGACATCGAGACAGTACGTGTTGATGCTAGGAAAGCAAATGGTTTGCGCGAAACCTTGCACGAACATGCAAATCACCGGCAACGGGATGCCGCCCTTCTCCTTCTCGATTGCCCACCCGTAGATCAGAATCGCGCATGGGATGACGATGCCCATGGCCACGAAGGAGCTGCGCAGCCGATCTTCAGGAAGACGGTGGCCACGACGCTTAATCCAGAGCTTCACTGTATGGTCTGCATAGCGGCCACCGAAGTATGTGCCGGTGAAGAAGCCGATTCCTGGTGCGAGAAAGAAGAGACCGGACTGCAGAGGGGTAGTCAGGTGAAAGCGCGGGTTGATGACGTATCGGATGGGTGTCAGGAGTGACTGCATATTCCACACCAGTGACGAGGCGGCGATTCCCTGCGAGATCGTGATTAGAGACTGAAACCCCATGGCATCAAAGACTTACCGCCACCAGGAGTTTCGGAATACGGAACAATGCAAGGACGCGGAAAGGGTTGGTCCAATCCCAAACCTTCCCAGCCTTGGTCTTGAAGTCGAGCCCTTCCAACTCCTTCGATCTCATCTTATGACTTGTTTCGGGCAGGGCAAGTACCGCAAGAATGGTCGTGAGTCCTCCCAAGCCCGATTGAAACCAGAACAAAACCCGCCAGCTATGGAACGTGACGATGACACCGCCGATGAAGGGACCGAAGGATTGGCCGATCAAGGTGCCGTTTAGGAACCATGCCAGGGCAGTCCCTCTCTCCGTGGGCTTGTAAATGTCACTGATGCAACTTGAGCCTAGCACGAGGTAAGCTGTGCCCGTGAAGGCTGACAGTAACCGGAAAATGAAGAAGGCGGCCAGATTAGGAGCCAATGCCGTTCCCACGGAGAACCCAAAGAACCCAGCGGCAGACAGAATGCATGGCTAGTCAAGTTAGCCAATGCTTCTCGACAACTCTTTGCCCAGCTACCTACTTACCCATTTTCGTCCATACACCTGACTCACAGGTCCCCAAAACAGGGTGCTGATACCCATAAACACCGTGTAGATGGCATTGCTAACGTTGATGATGCTTCCGGTAGTGTTGAACTCGCCCGCAATTTCGGGAATCGCCGCCAAGAGCAGCAGAGTGGACACCGTTGACGAGATTCCACCACAAGCCACCACAGCCGTGACAAGTCTCTTTCGGTTCGGCGAAAACTTGGCATAGATCGCTTCCGTGTCTTGGCGGCTCAATTGCGCATCGTCCTCAGTTGGCGCAGGCACAATTGTCGCGCTCTTCTCCGCGTTCGATGTCGTCAGTCGCAAGTCGTGGCGGTCAGGCTCCACATCCACCGACTCCGACTTTGAGTCGTCTTCATGTTGGTTTTGCGACATGTTCCGGGCTTGTCTTCGCGGGACAAGCAATGGAGGTTCTTTACGTCATCCACGTAGGATTTGTGGAAAGATGGTACGATTGAGCTGTTTTGCGACGAGTTGGCAACTTGTCAAGATGCACGTTCAAGTTTTTCAAACACCAGCGCCGGCACTTCTCACCGGGCAGGAACATCGGGCAGAAAGATCTTCGGCAGCATTATCCGGCAGCAGTTTGCCTAGGTTAAGCAGGTCAAACATCGGATATGCCCCATTCTCCCCATGCTTACCATTCCGACGTCGGTGACTGGATTCAAGATCGCCATTAAAGCCCCTGCTGTCTCGTCCAAAACTCGCTGGAACAAGAAGCTCATTGTCCCCGGCTGGGCGTTCTTCCCCGCGTGTGGGGGTTCATCCCGGTCCCAGGGCAGTTCGTCGGACATCTTCCGAGAGACTGGCCAGGCATTTAGCGAGTCGCGTTCTTAGTGTTGTGGCAGGCTTGGTGGGTTCAGTCTCGCTCCGGCTCCGAGATCGGCCGGGGACAAGGGAAGCCGCTCGGTCGCCGAATTTCACCAGAGATGGGTCTTCCGGAATGGAAACTTTGGCCGGCCTCGGCTCCGGGACGCCGGTTAGTCAAGACGGACTGGAAATTGTTGCGATGGTTGGAAGGCCGTGTCTGGGGGTTGCTGGCCGAAGGCTATTTACGGCGTTCTGGCCGAGCAGGGACTGCCCATGATGATATTCAATAAGTGACAACTTCAGAATCTGTAATCTGGGTCAGAACTCTGGTAAAGCAGCTGCTTGCAACACAATGAATGCTTGAACATCTCCTTGGCCGGTAATATATACTTCTTTCGACGAGGGAGGTTAAAATGACGCCCGGCTCATCGTAGGTTTGGGTGTGAGCCTATGACTCGGTGCAATTATGCCCCGCATACCGGATATCACGCCGGCTCATGTGGGGTGAAGACCGAGCAAGATGACTCTTCTGTGAGACCATCGCATCGGACGAACTATTATCCTATCTAGTACTAACAGATGACATTGTGCAGCACCTGCCAAATGCATCTCTCCAAGCACTTACACAACTCGGTCAGCAATGGACAAGCGCGGTCCAGCCAATGACAACAACGCACGCGATGTCGGCGACTTCACCGCCGCGCTCGAGTTTGACCTGCTCAAAGCGCAGTTGACCAATTCCTCTCAAGTCAATTACCCGGAACCTATTCGAGACGACTCTTTTCTACAAGACTTACAAAATCTGGATGCAGGTGAGTTGCTGCGCAATGCAGGACTTTCATCTCACCAGCAAGATGAGTCTCTCTTTGACCCGGCCGTAACCGGAGGGTCCGGCCTCACCAACACCCAAACGGCGATGCCAAGCACAAGCACGACTTTCGACGATGCAGAAATGTTCATGTTTTCGGAGGCGATCGGTGACGGACAGTCTACAAGACACTTGCTCGACACCGGGGCAACAATGCTTGGTGTAGACGGGAACCCAGCTTCAGAGATAACCACGCCGCCCAAAATCGGGACTCGGTTCTCTTCAAAGTCTCTCCGGATTTTGAAAGCATGGCTCTCGAACAACAACCACCACCCATACCCTTCAACCGCCGATATGGAGATGCTAGAGCGGCAGACCGGTCTTAGCAGACAACAGATCACCAATTGGCTCGCTAACACTCGGAGACGTAACCGATTCAAGGTTCCTCCCAAACGGCCGCCATCCCCCGCCATCACTTCAGCCACCTCGAAACCCATCAACATTGGTGGAAGCAGTGTTCCTCAAGGATTTGACGAGATGAACCCTCTTCAACGATGGCAAGTCTCGCCGCCTGAGCACGAGCCCGCATTGGCATCTGCCATTGCGCATGCTGTGTATGACCTACCACCTGGACCCGACACTCCAGCAGATCGATCCTTGACCGACAGCGCTCCTACAAGGTCTCTCTATAATGCTTCTTCCGCAAGCAGCGCAGGCACGTCGCATTCCAGCAGGAGCTCAGTCAACTCCGCATACTCCTACAACTCTCGAGCATCATTGCGTTCAGATCCACTAGCAAAAGCTGCGATCAAGCGAAGAAGGCGACGAGGTGCTGTGGCGCGACCAGAACGAAAAGGTCCCAGCAATCTTTGGCAGACTATGAACATGTATCAATGCACGTTCTGTACCGAGACCTTCAAGACAAAGCACAATTGGCAACGTCACGAGAAGTCATTGCACTTGTCTCTGGAGCGGTGGGAATGTTCACCAACAGGGCCAACCGTCGCCGATGCGAGTGGTCAGCTCGTTTGCGTCTTCTGTGGTGATGCCAACCCGGACAAAGAACACCTAGAGAAACACAACTACTCAGTCTGTAAAGAGAGATTGCCCGAAGACCGAACCTTCTACCGAAAGGATCATCTACAGCAGCATCTCAAGCTGGTGCACGATGCCAAGTTCCTTAGATGGCCCATGGGGGATTGGAAGCACGAGAATGAGATGATCAGATCTCGCTGCGGTTTCTGCGCTTTGGTAATGGGATCATGGATTGACAGAATCGATCACATCGCCGAGCACTTCAAGGATGGAAAGACGATGGAGGAATGGCATGGAGATTGGGGCTTCGATGACCATATCCTCAAAATGGTTGAGAACTCAATGGCGCCATGTTAGTGTCCCCCTCACACATTTTGTGTGCCATGACTGACCTTCATTATCCAGATATGATCCATATGGAACGGTATTCACCATGGCCCTTCACTACCAAACAAGGCGTTCCAGAGACACCACCCAGCGCTTTTGAGTTGATCAAGACGGAAATCAACCACTTCGCCACAGACTACCAAAACACGAATGGCCGAATGCCTACAAACGCCGAGCTTTTATACGAAAGTTGCTGCATTATTTTCGGCTCGGAGCCTACCTCTCTCGCGAAGAAGCCAGTAACTCCAGCAAGCTCTTGGCTGCGAGACTTGCTCATGTCGTCGGATATCATCGTCAAGCAAGCTCGAGTTCGACCGCTGAAGACAGCCAGGAGGTCTCGCATCACATATCTCTGCATCAATGGAAAAGCCGACATCTTTGACCAATGTGCCTTAGAAGAACAACTCCAAAGCTACGTGGACATATCGAAGCTCATCGAGCCCGAAGTCTCCGACTCGGATCTCCAACGCGAGGCGTGCAGCATTGTCCAGCAAGTTGATGCTGCATCAAGTTGCTGGACAATGCCATCGTCGCCCAAGCCGTCCGAGACTTTTTCTACATTCTTATACGGCCTGATCAATGAGTCAACGCACTGGCTGGCACCTTTCCGTCAACGAATGCAGCTTCCTCCTTCAGAATCTGCCGATTCCCCTACCTTGGACATCGGAAACCAGCATTTCCTGAGCGCTGCCCTTACAGAACCTACTGGCCAGTCCAGCGCCATGGACACAGGAAGCTCAAGCCCTGAAGCTGACGTCGTCGGTGGCAGCGCTACTGGCAATACTGCATCGGGTGCCGATGCCGAAATGCCGGGACTCAACACGCGCACCACATTCTTCGTGAACGAAGAGAACTGCTATCGGCGTCTTGCCCTGAGTCTAGTCCGATTCGTCAAGATCACGACGTCGCCGCGCAATCCGAACAGACATATTCCCTCTGACGCCGAACTTCAACATCAGGCGCGGTGGATCTCGTTTGAAGAGTGAGTCAAAACATACTATTCAATACGCAAAATTGATGGAAACATGCTAATGGTCCCAGCGATGATCCTTGGAATCAGACTCCTGCCGATAACCCAGACTGGCTCCGCGAATTCAAGCGCGAAATGGGTATTCTGCAAGAAGATGGCAATCCGACAGCTGCATGACTTGATCACCTTAAAATTTCAACGCGATTATTTTTACGAGTTTTGATAGGAAGCATGAGTTATGAGTCCATGATGGAGCGGGAGTTGTCTCTGCTGCCGTCTGGCTTTCCACTCGGCGATCGCTGAATTGCGAGTTGCCAAAATTGCGATATCGGAGAAGATTTAGTCAGCCAACATCCGTAATTGTTAGGAGGTGTTTCTTTGTCTGCGCCGCCTGTTGTGTGCGCCCTTCATGTTAGACCCAATCGCGTCAGTCGTAAGGCGTAGGGAGAAATCGACATGATTATTATGGGTCCTGTGTTCGTGCGCCTTCACGGTCATGCAACGATCCACCATGATGGCTCGCCCTAGGGCGTGAAACTAAAAACATATACACGCCGCTGCGCCCGATGTACCTTTGCAGGCTTGCGGCGAATCATCACGGAAGAGACCAATATGGTATGTTTGTTCCGGATATCATTCAAACCTTGATGAACCCTGCATCACGTTCAACACCCTGACTGCGCGGATACCCTCGGCTTCCATCACTACGCTGTATTTGAGCATCGGCCATCTCGAAATCTTCAAGACAGACAACACTGTTTCAGCATTCCTTCTCGCGAACTTACAGCATGCGAATCGGTTTCCTTGGCCTCGGGGTCATGGGCACCCCTATGGCCCTGAACCTCACCCGCAAATTCGCCGTCACAGTCTGGAATCGAACGGCTTCCAAGTATCCCCCGCTCACACAAGCCGGTGCCAAGATTGGCGAGACACCGACGAAAGTGGTTGAACAATCCGACGTCATCTTCGCCATGCTCTTCGACGACGCAGCCTTGACATCAATATTCAATGATGACTTCCGAGGCGCACTTCGTGGCAAAACACTCATCAACACGGCCTCCATACCAGTGGATACCAGCAAACATGTTGCGGAGCAAGTCCAAAAGGCGGGCGGCAACTTCATTGAGATGCCGGTGAGCGGGAGCAAGATCCCGGCGGAGCAGGGCCGACTTGTGGGGCTTTTAGCCGGGGATCCAAAAGTCGCGGAGCAGATGCGGCCGTATGTGGAGCCCCTCACCGCCGCAGCCATCTACTGTGGCCCGATCGGCTTCGGCCTGAAGACCAAGTACGCCGTCAATCTGTATCTCAACAACATGACTGCTGCACTTGCAGAGTCCTTCAGTCTGGCGAAGGCACAGGGGCTAAACCTGGAAGCGTTCGGCCAAGTCATCGATGCCGGACCAATGGCTTCCGCATACACCAAGGTCAAGATCGCCAAGCTTTTGAACAATGACTGGGCTCCGCAGGCGGCGGTGAAGGACTGCTATAACAGTACTCAGATGATTGTGAAAGCAGCGGAGGATGCCAACGTCAGAACACCATACGCCGAGCTGTGCCGAGAGGTGTACAAGGAGGCCACAGAGGCTGGTCTCAATGAGGAGGATATGATTGCGGTCTACAAGCTCTTCCAAAATCCTAGATAATACATCATTTGAGAAATATTGTCACGGAGTAGATGGAATTTCTTTGACACCAATCTGGGCCTTAGAGTGCAGGTGTTTCTTGTCCTTATTTCGTGTGACGATGAGACACGGCGAGTGCACATCGCAAGGGATAGAAGACAGGGCCGCGCAACCGATGACTCGGGAATGAAGAGGTTCTAGTTGGTCGAGAAAGTACTACGAGACTGTGGCTGACATTGAGACGAGGGTTTCGCAGGAGCTGACCTGAGACAGCAATCACGAGAGGAACCTAGGCGCTGAATCGCAGGCAGTCACCAATCGGAGGACAGATAATTGCGAATTCTCCAATTAACCAAAATGAGAATAATTGTATTGACAGTCATGGTCAGCTTTACCAGCCGGCCTAGACCGCAGCATGAAGTCCGCTCAAAAAAACCATCTTTTCCGAGCGCATCGGCCCATCTTCGCGCCAAGCAAACCATCCCCTTTTACGCATCCTTCCGTTCAATTCTACCATCTCTCACACTACCCACAGATTAGGAATGGCGAAAAAGCCAGATACAGCGCTTTTAAAAGAGTACAGGCACAAGCCCCTGTCAACCAAGACATGTACTCGCATCATTGAAGTCTTCCCAGCTACCCACAGTACCGACATATTGAGGTGCCGACTGCTCGAGGTTGAGCTTGAGGAGGCGAAAGGCTCTTACGAGGCCGTTTCTTATGTTTGGGGACAGCCCAAATTTTGCTGCCAAATTGTGGTAATCGACAATGAAGACGCCAAGAATGCCGAGATCGAATACAGCCTTCCCATCACTCAAAATCTAAGCGAAGTCCTCTGCCGATTTCGGCACACGGAAAATTTTCAGGGTACCGTCAATGATCGGGTCAATTCGGATTCTGCATCCACAGTCCCAAGGAGGTTATGGGCTGATGGTGTTTGCATCGATCAAGGTAGTGTCGAAGAAAAGAGCCATCATATCGCCATGATGACCGCCATATACACCAAGGCCAAGGGTGTACTCGTTTGGCTGGGCCACGACAAGAAAGGAGAAGAGGCATTGCGTTCTCTCACCTCGGATGCAGACATACGCGATGGAAATGACCCTCCTTGCATCCAAAACGCTTTGCATCTCCCATGGTTCAGTCGCCGCTGGGTAGTACAAGAGGCGGTACTCAACGGGAATACAGACGTCTACTGTGGAGCAGTCTCGAAACACTTCTATGATGTTGGTCGGAATGCCCTGCAACTTATGCACTCCCAGAATGCATTGACACTTGGTCCAAGGCTCTTGAAACGAGCGGAGGGACTCGATGCCGTGTTCAACCTATTCTTCTACAAGCATTTCGCCACATATTCATATTACGAGATGGAATTTACCAGTCTCATGCTCGCATTCGACGAATAGAGTGCCAGAACCCTCGAGACCGTATTTTCACATTGGCAACTATAGCAAAAGACATGACCGTGAGAAACGTAACGGTGGAGTGGGTTCATCAGGCTTTGGCCACCGAACAGTCGGGGGATCCAACGAAAGATCTTCGGACTTGGCGCTCCCACGAGACGTACGTTAACTATGAGGCGACAACAGCTGACATCTACATACTTTTCGCCTACACCCTAGCCATTAATGGCAAACTTGGATGGATGCTTGGCCAAGCTGCTGCTCGGCTGTCAGCTTCCACTGAAGGATCCGCGTCTCATCCAGATTTGGATTTGCTGCCCCGATGGGTGCCGAACTGGACTGTCAAGTACCACCGCCACGCGTTCTGGCTTGAAGGCAACGATGTCCGCTGGGGACCCTGGGTCAATCTCGGTAGCGCGATTGGACCGCCTTTGGTTCACTGCGCCCTTGCTAGATTTCCTACCTCGTCAGGGGCATATGCCTATCAAATTCGCACCCGATTAGGTCGCATTTTCCGGAGTCAAACTGCCGGCACTGCGGTGGAAGATTCATTTGAATCTGCAGAAGAAGACCGAGTGTGTCCCTTTGTGGTCGCATGGAAAAGCGAAAATTTCCCTTCTCATCAGTCATCACCAGCGGACGTGGTTCAGTGGATAAGACGGACTTTTCAGTCTATCTGGGAGGTAGGACTCTCCAGCATGAATACCAAGCTCCATGGAGATGACGTCAAAGAACGACTTGCCGGTCGTTACTGTTACGTCCTCGTGGCCGGTGCATATATGTACAGCGACAAGCGTCTTTCCAGCAACCTCAAGAGCGCTGCAGCAGAGCTGGCAGAATTGGCACAAAAAATACCGACAATGGCAACTTTATCTCATGAGCAAAGTCCCCGAAGCATGCTTGACATGCTCGTTCATCCGAGTCAATTTTCGGATGATGCCGAAAAGAAGAAGGATGAACTACTTGCACCCGTCATCGTCAAACTTCTCAAGGAGATCATTTTCGACAATCCAGATATCGCCGTTCCAGGCTGGAAATGCGTCTTTCAAATGGTTTCTATGGCAATGGAGCATCGCTGTGTTCTCACCTGCGACGTAGATAATCCGCCTGCGGATGCTTTGCCATTCGATATCGTTGGAATCGGACCTGACCACATCGAGCTTGGCGACCGAGTCTTTTCCCTTCCTCTCAGGAGAAAGCACTTCCGTGATGGAGAACAATTTGAGCACCCCATTACGAAAGAATTCTTTCAAGATGTAGCGTATGCGCCCTTGGCATTCCAAAACGTCTGGGCAGCGACATACCTCGCGCGCCCTATGGGTGGAGTCCATGTCGTCCGCTCCCAACCTGTCGAGGACGGGGCTGAGGCGGAGCATCCCAAGGTTTTCCAATTTGTCGGAGATTGCTTTCTGTCAACAGTGAGATGGCTTTCACCAAGTCGTGGGCTTATGCCAAAGGCCTGGCTGTCTTACGAGACGGAGGACAGCGATGAAGCTGCATGTCAAAAGGAGTTTGGGGACCGATACTCAGATTTTGATGAGGATGGTGAGATATATCTTTGCTAAGTAAAAGAGTGCTTGCTGCTGGTATGTATAGATAGGGGCTAAGAGAATCATCAACAATTGATTGTTCAAGGATTTGAAATTACGCTCTTCCTAACTCCGGTGCCGCCTTGAACCCCACTCCAAACGCCAGTTACCAATAACCAATTTCGATATCATTACTTGCGCTCAAGATGTTAGGACATCTTGCGTCTACACCCACAGAGAAACTATCAGCAACCGTGCCATCATGGTCTCCAAACTGGCAACTCCGCATCTTGCAGCCTCGCTGTCGGTTGCTCGTCCGCCTCCATGGCAATTTGAATGGGCAGTACCAGGCTGATATCAGTCCCACCAGCGGTCAGACTAATTCGCAAGGCGTACGTTCTTGATATCAGGCATGAGTGAAAGGTCGGCGGGAAAACGTATTTCTCAGTGGGTAGGCTGAACTCAGCGCGCAGAGTCGTTGAGTAAGGCGTCGGTGGTGCTGAGTCCCAGCTTTCTTCCTTCGCTTCTGTTGTATCTTGACTATCTGGAAGCGCCTTGCGTTTCCAAGACTCGTATTCCAGAGTCTCCCACAATACTCGCGTTGAAATATTGAAAGGCTCCCGGAGGGAGCCCATGTTGGGTAAGCCTTTCATGACCTTTGTCGAATACCAGGTTTGCGCAACAATTTTGACCGACTGCAAAACCACCTCCGGCGGAGCAGCGCTTGTAACAGACGGTTCAAAGATCAGGTTCGCTTGGAAAAAGGAGCCGCAAGCGCTGCGTCCATCCCGGCTCAAGTGAATTGTAGGTGGCTGTGTCGCTGCTGCAGTGATACGGCCCAACGGCCCCGAGAACAAGGCCTTTGAAATATTCCTTGATTCGATAAGACGATATTGCGAGTCCCATGCGTTGACACTTAGTGGCGGCTCCTCCGGCGATGCTGCAAGTAGGTTGATCTCGTATTGAGCCTCTGAGAGAACCTCAGACGGCTTGGCGCACTGCGGATTAGACTCGCACACAATTCTTGCTTTGATATGGTACCGAATGCCCAAAAGCTTGGGAGCCATGTCGTACTTGTCCCAACTTGTCAGACTGGAAGGAAGTCGCAGGTGATAATCGCGTATCGACGTTGACTCGACGTCGTGTTGACACGCAGCCTCTGTCAGTTGGCTGGGAATGATGAATCGAAACGGTATCTTGTATGTTTCTCCGGCTTTGAATATCCTTGAATTGGGGTACGCCGATTCTGCCACCGGCATATCGACTTTCAAGAGAATCTGTGATGTCTGCCTGGAAGAGTATGTGTCGTCGATGCGAACAGTTGCCTTTCCCTGGAGGCTGATCTGGACTGAGCTGAATTCTGTGTCGTGACGTGAATTGATTGAGACATGGCCTGATACCGTGGTACCGCAAGTGTAGACCTTCGATGTGTAGTGGTTGTCGACATTGATGTCCATAATCGTCGCTTTTGTACTTGTTACAGCCAAAGTTGATATGCGTTTCGTAAGCTTCTTCATTGTGTGACCGGCACACAGACCGCAAGTCAATTTGGGAATCGATGAGCCCAATCTTTGGCCGTACCGGTGATCCGGTCGGCAGCTTAACTGTGAGACGGCCATGCCAAGTCTTCACCCTTTAAGCAAGACGTTCGATGGCTCCGTGAATGTGGGAAATGAATCCCGATGTATTAACAATCGAAGCGATTTGTCTTGAAACTCAGTCCAGCATTTGAAAGCATTTGAGTCCTGGAGCAATCCGTCGTAGTCTTAGTATTAAAACTTCCGCGCAGACATCAACTCCCGAGAGGCCAAAACCGAAGACGATGCCGCTTGCAGGGGTCGGAGTGTTACCGACTGGTGGACTTCGCGTGCGAACAACTTACTCACACTCACACCATCGGAAACCAGCATTCTCAGTGGCCCGGCCTCATGTTCGACAATCCGGTGTGAGTCAAAGTTAAGTTAATCATTCTGGTAAGTCTCTTACATGTGCCAGACAGCGCCTTACGACGCCCGTTGGCATTGGACGCCCTTGCCGACCACCATGTCATCTTCGCCCTACGCTAGCCGAGAAATGATTTGTCGAACCCACCGGGCTCCGTAACAGCCATTGCGATATCGGTTTTGCAAGGAATACTTGCCTGTAATGTGATCGGTGTGCTGCTGAACCCGCCGTGCGAACATGGGGCTCCAAGCCGAAGCAAACCGCATCGTGGGCCTGTTCCCATAAATGCTTCAAATTTTTGACTCCTCAAAACTTCCATGTCGACCAGCTCCCTTGCTAAATCGTGCCGCGCCTTTCACGCTCTCCGAGCTAATGACCTTGATCCCCGCATCAAATTCCCTGCTCAGAGCATCTTCGAAAGAAGACGCATTGTACGCAGCATAATAGCAACTCGCCCGGTCTGTGTTCATGCAGGCCTGCGGGAACGCCAAGAGCTGGTTTGCGATCTTCGTAGCTTCTTCCAAGGCCTTCCCTTTGGGCACAACTCGGTTCGCAAGACCCATCTGCAGTGCTTCCTGCGCACCTACAGCTCTGCCGGTGAGGATCATGTCCAGAGCCCGGCCCAGCCCCACGATAGCCTGCAACCGGACCGTGCCGCCGTCAATAAGCGGCACGCCGAACCGGCGACAGAACACACCGAACACGGCGTCCTCTTCGGCAACTCGCATGTCGCCGAGGAGTGAGAGTTCTAGCCCACCCGCAACCGCGTGACCTGACACGGCGCTGATGACGGGCTTCTTGATTTGCATACGCGACGGACCGATGGGGCCGATATTTCGCCCATCTACGCGATGGGATTCGTCGATGATGGGTCCCTTGTAGCTCTTCCCTTCGGGGTTGTGGTAAGTTGCGACTTCGTGAAGGTCAAAGCCCGCGCAGAACGAGCCGTTTGAGCCATTGAAGACGCACACTTTCTGCGTGTCGTCTTTCTCGAACGCGAGGAATGCATCCGTGAGCTTGCGACCGGTTGCACCGTCGATTGCGTTGCGTCGGTGAGGGCGGTTGATCGTTATTGTCGTAATGCCCTCCGGCGTCTTGGAGACGAGCACTGATTGAGGTTCGGTGTCTGCCATACTGAACGGCGGATTCGAATCAGATCTTAAATCAATTACATAGGTGCCGAATATCGATGATGTAGAAGATAAATCTCGAAGGCCGTGGGTAAATATAACAAACTTTCAACCGAGGCACCGTCTTCCACCCAATTTCCCCGCGTTTAGAACCCCTCAGTGAGGCTTGCGCCCGAAATGTCAGCTAATGTGACATCTGTCTCGCCCACACCAATATCATTGGCAGCCTGATATCCCCATGTTTTACACCGGTGTGAACATGGTTTGACTGTATCGGTGAACGGTGAAAGCACGCCTTGCGGCGTCAAGCATCTCGATAGCCACACAGTCTATCATACCCCGTCCTTCAGGGAATTTACGTAAGTTGGAGCCAGTTCGACGCAGAATGCTTGATGGGCGGAGATCCTGATCCAGGTTTCGTGATGATTGCAGGCTCGGAACTTCGTCTCCTCGGTTGTTACGAGCGTCGGGAGTGAGTGGGTCTTGTGGTGCGACCTCGGCAATTGTGCTCGGAAGTTACTTAGCACGGCCGGGCCACTCCTTCAGCTGGAGAGCTAACCTACGATACTAATTGGACTTCTCCTGAACGGTTAAATCGTGAGCCATGTACGATGTGATCGCTGTTAAAAACCATCATTGATAAGGCCAGGAAATCACCGAATTTCTAAGCAGCGGTCAAGGAACTATTTCGCACCCGGCCTGCCCGCATTTGCACCCGGATTCAAGCCCGAACTCAGTCTATCTCGGGTTGAGGGTTTGGGCTAGTATGTAGGTTGCTCGGGGTAAAGGACGGACCTGAGAGTACTCACAGAAACCTAGGCATTCGAGCGCTAAGAGTTCATTAGTACCACAGTGTGAACGTCGAGGACTTGTTATTCATCATCGTCATCCTGGAAAATATTGAGCCACTACCGTAGCTCGTTGATGCCTTGCTGCACTGTGTCATTCCACAACAGCTGCAATGATCTGAGTGACATTCAACACCCTCAATGGTTTGGTATTCAGTAGTTCAAGAATCAAATATTTTTTAAACAACACTAGTGTTGTTGTGACAGTATTACAAGTGATAAAATAACAATAACGTCGTGGCAAATTCGGGAAGGGCTATCGCCTGGACACGACGTGGACTTCAAGTTATGCCAATCCCAAAATATTCTCCAATCAAGGAAGAGCAATTGACCTCAGTGTCGAACACGGACTACACTGGGTTGCTGTGGGACACCTCCGATACAACATGGTCCCAAATTCGTATCTCAGCCCTTCAGGCTGGCCAAAATCTCCTTGCTCTTCGCATAGTCAGAGGTGCCATGCTCGGGGTCCGCATCGACGGCGGTTGTCTTGCAAAGAGTGCCGGCGTTGTGCTTTCCATTCGGACCATCGACACCGGCAAAGTCTCTCTTGTCATTCGCCTTCAGCATATTCTCGGCAGCCTCGGGCAGCCATCCATTGATGAAGTCGCCGTGGGTGCAGTACGAAGATCCGCAAGCCAGCTCCAACGGCGCAGGACCGTCCCAGCCATCAGGCAGGGCGGTACGCAGGTCATACCGGATGCTGAATCTGAGCTGCGGCATCCTCTTCATGCCGAGGGGGCAGCGGTTCTCGGGGCGGAAGGTCTTGGTCCAGTGTTGGACTCCAGAGTAGGTCGATTCGAGGGTGGTCTCATTGACGCAGTCGTGGAAGAGGAGAATCGTCTGGAGATGGGCGGGACAGGTTTTAGAAGGAAATTCTGCGGCATCCTTGCCGTCAGTCGTGCCCTGGCCGCCGTGGTCGCAGAACCACTGGATGCCTGCGAGGTTCTCTACGCCATCCTGGGAGGTGGCGGAAGAGTTGCCAACGACGGCTTTGTAGTTCTGAGGAATGGCGACCTCGGCCTTGTCGATGCTGACGTAGTAGGCGCTGAAGCGGAAAAGGGGAGCCGGGAACGTGCCGGTAGAGTTCTTGTAGAAAAGAGTTGGAACCCCTTTGCAAGTCAGCCACCTGGAAACAGCATGCGCAGACGTAGAGGCTGAAGCGAAAACATGGAATGGATAAACTTGAGAGACTGGCTTACAGTAGGAAGAGTAATCGTTGGGGTTCTCGGCAGTGGAGCAACCGGCCTGAAGTTCCTTCGAGGTTGTGGTGTTGGCAGTCACAGCATCGGATCCAAAGAATGTGTGCATGTGGGAGGCATATTGGCCCGGGATGACGACGGGGTCAATATTCTTCAACATGAATCGGCCAACATTGGTGACCGTGTAAGCGCTGACTGCGCTTGCGCAGAGAAGAACGTTGAAAATGCCCATGGTCAATAATGATCAAAAGTTTTGAAAGTGATGGTTTCAGTGAATGAACGATGATTTGGAAGGTGCTAGATTTGAAGTCGAAGTTGAACAAAGGAGTGTGAAGGCAAAAAACAGCCGGAGAAAAGAACGACGTGACACCACTGAACGAGAACAGATGTTGTCTGCAGAACTAGAAGTCTATCTGCAAACGTCAAGCTTTATAAGGAGATTCAAGCCATAGGCTTCTTCAACTCCTTAACAGCCAACCATCGTCGGCTGGAGTAGTCCGGTCTGTTGGGAATGGACTCGTTATCAACAACTGCAGGGATGTCGTACCACTTTGCCGGGATAGGAAGCGCCAAGCACGCAGACACCCATTAAGGATTCCAGAAATCGATCTTAGCGTGTTTGTCGGCCATCGTAAAAACTAGGGATCTCTGGTGAAACTGAAGAGTACATGCAGATGGTAAGCGCTGCATCTCCCTTCAATTTTAAGTGAGCGGGCGCTAACGGGGGCCCTTCCGGTGAATGCAGCACGTCATATCCACCGCGCGATCCACCCGTTTGCCTGTGTTGGGAAGAGTATCCGTATCCGTAGAGCAAACTTGTTCTGTGCACCAGATCCAGACGAAATTCCATGATAATGGCCATACTGTTTCCATGAAGATCACGGACCATTGCTGCGATTTGGATCCCAACGGATTCCAGGGTTGCGCGTGATCACTGTTCTTGCCCACATCTCGAATAGCATTTGCATCCTCTTTGGCTGAACGTCTCCTGGTACGCCAGCTAACAAGCCCATGTCTCTCATGACCAGTCTTGTGTCATTCTCAGTTGTAAATCCGGAGTCAAAATGTTGCCGTATTGGTCATCGTACCACTCTCACGACGATCTATGGGTCGTCGGCACTCGACTTCGTCTAATAATGCCTGCAGACGAGACCTCAGCAAACTCAACCTCGTCTACGACGATTACATCGCAGGCCGACTTGCCGTATGCCCTCAAAAGGAGAAAATCCATCTAGAGGTCTTAATAAACGCCAAACACCGGCGCTAAATAAGATTATTCGCCTGCCGGCCCCCATGCCATGCCACGCAAACTGACAAGCCCGCTATGGGGTAAAAACGTCCCGCAGTTTCGGCGTCGTGAGCGAACCCGAGGGACATACCCCGGCCACCGTTAGGGAAGACGACAGCGAGGCCGAAAGCGTCAAAAACGACTGCCGATCGCTGAGGCTCACCGGAACACCCACCCTGTTCGTCTGAAATTGGGGGGAGATCTGCTATGCCATGTGGCTAGGACGAGCGGAGCTGTCCGCGTTGGGGGCCTGATGGAACCCTGGGCTGCTTTGACATGGTGGCCTCGGTGTAAAGATGTGGCGGTTGAGCTTTTTCTTCGCCCGTCTCAGTCTTTTGCATTGTCTCTTGTTGCATGCTCTTCCATTCTGGAAGACCTTGATCGTCACGAAGTGCCGACATGAAGTTGCTTGATATGGAGAAATTTCAGCTGCAGTTGCAACTTGCAAGACTCGGCCGAATGGGCCAGATGCGAGTGGTGGAATGCACGACTACGGGGCCCGGAACGGAATGATTGTGAACTCATGATGCGAATCTGGATGTGTTTTGTTGCATTGAGTATCGTTTTGGGCGTGTGTCCCCCAAGAGACTGTCGTCATGAAGATGCCGAAGAAGGAGGTCTGAAGAAAAGAACCGATCTCATTGATATGGTAGAATTTCATGTTGAAGTTGATGAGTATAAGAACTGAATGTAAGCCTGGTATGCCATCCTGTGAAGTCAGACAGCACATCCGCTCAAGTCGACAAAGCATACATCACCGCATTCACAATGAAGTCCTCAACTCTTCTCCTCGCCCTTGCCGCCTCCCTCATTTCAGGCACACCCACACCTCGTGCCGCAAAGGACCCATACTTCTTCCTCATCGGCGACTCCACCGTTGCTGTGAACGGCGGCTGGGGCAACGGCTTCCTCTCCTACCTCAAATCGCCCGCTGAGGGTGAGAACAGAGGCAAGTCCGGCTCGACGACCGTCTCTTGGAAGTCCAACGGACGCTGGGACTCGCTCCTGCAGGGCATCAACGACACCAAGGCCGACTATGAGCCTATCGTCACTGTCCAATTCGGACACAATGATCAGAAGGTCATGGAGCTGGATGAGTTCCGGGCGAACTTGATTGACATCGCCGCTGAGCTCAAGAGTGCTGGAGCTACGCCAGTGAGTGTTCCTCTCACCCTGCCTGATGTAATGCGATGGATGACCCTTGACTGACGAAAACAGATTTTCATCACTTCGCTCACTCGCCGAACCTTTGAGGATGGCGAGGTGGTGCAGAACCTGCACGACTGGCGCGGCAAGACAATTGCCGCGGCGAAGGAGAGCAAAATCAAGTGGCTCGACTTGAACATGAAGAGCACCAACTACGTCAACGCCATTGGAGAGGAGAACTCAACCGCCTATAACCTCGGTGGCTCTGATCGCACCCATTTGAGCCTGGCGGGTGAGAAGGTGTTTGGAAGGATGGTCGTGGACTTGCTACTCGAGAAGAGGACTGATCTTGCGGGATACTTTGAGGCGGACGAAGATATTACTGAGGCTATTGCCAACGGAGAGTTTACGGATGGTGGGTTGTGAAGAACCGCTATTCTGGTAGCGAACAATATGTGTCTCAGATTGAGCATGAGGGTGTGGCGGCAGGTTGAGTAAGGGTGCCTTTGTTTCTTGCACATACCTCTTGAAGTTCGGTGTTCTGTAAATAGGTTGATGAGGGAAAAATAATATCAACTCGATGTCTCGCGAGCGTAACGCAAGTGACAGGTGAGCAGATTGGACAGGCCCAATAGTGTGTTCGCTTAAGAAAATTCAAAGTCAGGTTGCCAGAAACGAGCAACTATTGCCGGTACCCGAGTCTATGGTTCGGGATCGTGCGGTGTGGGACAGGACCCGAGCATCACGATATTGACGTCCCGATTGGGAAGGTCGTCAATGATCTGCGGAAGGATGTCGCGATAGAGAATCAGCGAAATGAGGAGGCTGGCGGTGTAACCCCGCAGGATGTGGTGACAAAACAAACACCGCAGCCGGTTGGCTCTTCGTCTCCTTGCAAGCTGGGTGCGTCACTTCATCAGCCATGTTGCGCAGCTTTCTCTCACTCGGCTTCGTGGCCCTCGCTGTCGCGTCGCCTCTCAACCCAAAGATCGGCATTTCAGCGCGACACGCCAACTTGACCTGGGAGATTCTCCCAACAGGAAGCAAGCAGCAGTTTCGAGGGCTGTCGCCGGTCTCGGACAAGACCGCTTGGGTCTCTGGTACGAATGGCACCGTCCTGCTCACCACAGATGGCGGCGCCTCATGGTCATCGGTCGGGCCTTCACTCGCGCCGGAAGATGCAGAGCTTCAGTTCCGCGACGTGCAAGCCTTCTCCGCTGAGAAAGCCGTCATCCTATCCATCGGGGAAGGGGCGGATTCACGCGTGTACATTACCGATGACGGAGGCGCGTCCTGGACTCAATCGTTTGCGAATCAAGAGGCTGCGGCATTTTTCAACTGCGTCGACTTCGAGGATGAGAAGAGAGGCCTTGCGGTTAGCGATCCTGTCGATGGCAAGTTCCGAATAATTGAGACGGTTGATGGAGGAAAGTCCTGGGAGATTGTCGATTCCAGCGGCATGGCACCTGCGTTGGAAGGCGAGTTCGGCTTTGCTGCCAGCGGGACCTGCATCTCAACGGCAGCGGGACGGTGGTATCTTGCTTCTGGCGGTGTTGACCCTGGCAGGGTCTTTCGAAGTGCTGGTGGACACAACTGGGACGTCTCGGGAAGCGCCATTGCGGGTGGCGCATCGGCTGGCGTCTTTTCGGTGCAGTTCAAGGACGAGCTCAGCGGCATCGCGGTCGGAGGGGACTTTAACGTTGCCAACGGCTCCGCATACACCTCGTCATGGTCGGAAGACGCAGGCGCAACGTGGACGGCGTCGGAGGCGTTTCCGGGCGGATACCGGTCGGGCTTATCATGGGCTCCGGGTCTTTGCAATGTCGCTGTTGCGGTCGGACCATCCGGATCAGATGTGACAGTTGATGGCGGGCGGACGTGGAAGACGTTTGATACAGGGTCGTTTGACAGTGTCGAATGTCTTTCTGGGCGCATCTGCTGGGCGTCTGGATCTAGCGGAAGAGTCGGAAAACTTTGGTTGAAATGAGAAGGGGGATTCGGGGTAGATAAGCTTTGAGAAGTTAGTGTGACATATTGCCCCTGAAAATCAGTCGATTGAGAACATGAACGAGTCAACGTGAGATAATGAGCGTAAGCAGCTCTCAAATATCATGTTTCCTCGTATCATGGAACACGATCGACGGTGCTGTCCACTCTGCCCCTCGATGCATAGCCAGTTCAGTGGGAAAGATTGGACACCCAAGAAGCAGATCTAGCCGAATACGGCAAGGTTCGAGACACCAAAAGCAGTAAACCTCCCCCAGACTTTGGACATCTCTAACAGTTCGACATATGACTCGGGTGATGAAGTGTTAAGAACTCCGGATCCGAGAACGATGACAGACACGGCACGTACCTGAAACAGGTCACAGCGTGCTTCGCTAAACCTCCAACTCCCAATCACCAGTTGCATTCAGGACCGGGGTTCCCCTCCAGGGAGGGCAGCTCGTCTTTAGCGCGGACGGGAATGCAAGCTTGAGTCCTTGACAGCGCCAGAGCGTCATTGACCTGAAGCAAAGAAACATTACCAATTGGCGACTCCTGATCGGTAGCGGCTGCTTGCTAAACTCCGACGATGCAACTTAACCTCCACCAACCCTTCCCTCCCTCTCTGGATTTCAGATGATCATGTCCAAGACGTCTTGAGAAACAGAAGCGACAACAACAACGACGACAAGCTGCCGAGAGGAAGCAGACCGACCGACTGCCCACCATGGCGGGAAGCCTTCACGCCTACATCACCGACTCCCTGACGCCCGGGCGCGTCTTCGGATCCCTCTTCTTTGTCTTCGTCACGCTGCTGATTCTCGACCACACATGGAAGCCTACGTACCCTGAAAACATCCCGGTCGTTGGCCACGGGAAGGGAACTGTCGCGCGGATCAAGAACTTCTACTACTACATCTTTCGGTACAGAGACTGGGTGATTGAGGGGTACCAGAAGGTATGTCACAGGCCATCTGGCCATGCGACAAAGGAAATGCTGACAGCAAGCATAGTACAACAAGCAGAACCGCGCATTCATCGTACCCGCCGCTGCGAGCAGGGCTCCCGACATCGTCCTCCCCCGATCCCTTACGAAATGGTTGCTCGAGCATCCCGATTCGATCGTCTCCGCCCATGAAGCGCACAATGACGTACTATACAGCGACTACAACTTCCTAGGCAAGGTCTACGCGGACGACGTCTGGCATACGCGCGTGATTCATAAGAGTCTGGCGCGTCATCTCAGCACTCTTGTCCCGGGCATCGAAGAGGAGGTTGCTGTTGCTGTCGACGAGGCATTCGGTACTGACACTGATAACTGGAAGACACTTAGCCTGTGGGATGCCTGGTTGACCATTGTCCCGCCCGTTACGAACAGAATGCTGGTCGGCGACACGATATGCCGAAACAAGGAGTTCTGCAAGGCCATGGTTTCGTTCGTAGACCAGGTTATCCTGAACTGCTTTGCCATGCACATGATCCCCCAGATCATGCTCCCTGTTATTGGGCCCTTGATCGCCCTCCCCAACTGGTGGCTCTGGCGCAAGGCGGCGAAGCATAGTCTGCCCGTCATTAGGAAGCGACTACACGATATGCAAAAGAAGGAGGCGGGCGATCCGGAATATGACAGCTGGGCTGCACCGGAGGACTTCATCACATGGGACATTCGCATGGCCAAGGCGGAGAAGAACTACTTCGAGCTGGACCCCTACGTTATCTCGAAGCGCTTGTTGCCGATCCAGTTTGCGGCGATTCACACGACAGTCATCACCGGCCACAGTATCGTGCTCGACTTGTTAGCATCCGACCCTGCGAAGGGTTACATCGAGGGCATCCGAGAGGAGGCAGCTAGGGTTTTGAAAGAAGAGGGCGGGCAATGGACGAAGAATGGATTGTCAAGACTGTACCGACTAGACAGCGCTATCCGCGAAAGTCAGCGACTGAGCAACTTTAGCTGCACCCTGATGGAGCGCAAGGTTGTGGCAAAGGAGGGCATCACGAACGAGCAAGAGGGCTGGCACCTGCCCAAAGGCACGTTCCTCACCGTCAACCTCGAGGGGCTGCATCACGATGACGAGCTCACGTCGAATGCTTTGGAATACGACGCCTTCAGGACGAGTCGAGAGAGGGAGGCATATGAGGCCAAACCGCAAGAGGAAAGAAATCTGGAAGAGGGACTAAGGTTGAAGAATCTAGGCATGGTTACGACCAGTGACGCCCATTTGGCTTTTGGCCATGGAAGGCATGCGTGGTAAGTTGGTTCCGCTATCCTCGCCGCAAACCCCGAAGACTAACCCCCTACAGTCCTGGTCGTTTTTTCGTCGCGCATGAGCTGAAGATGGTTGTCGCCAATCTGCTGCTGAATTACGAGCTGAAGACACTGTCTGAGAGACCGAAACCGCAATGGATCGGCGTGACGGTTGTGCCGCCCGTTGAAGCAAAGATTGAGATCAAGAGGAGGAAAGGCACGGTCTAATATGAACAACCATGGTCACGATTTATGATAGGAATCGGCGTCAGGGAGGACTGGATACATGTATGGGCAACTACTTTTACAGATACTGAGCCACAACTAATGTTATGGGAGCTCTTATATTACTGAAATGAGTGTATCGCTTCCAGACCCGTCCACCGGCCTCTAAGCTGAGCTACGCGGCACCCACGAATACACTACAGTCCGTTGCGTTGACAGCGTCCACCCCGCAGTTTTTAGCCCGAAAAAGGCAAAAAAAGGGGCTTTTTACCAAAAAACTACCAAATTACCCTAAACTTCGTTCACTAATACCTCTATGCGTACGTAATGCGCGTAAATAAAAAATATATCAATTGATAGCCCTCAGTTAGGTGATTATAATGATATCTTTTTTATTCTCGCGTATTACGTACGCATAGAGTTATTTAAGTATGAAGTTAAGGCTGATTTTGAGGGGTTTTTTAAGCGGACAGTTCAACGCAACGCGCCGGGGGTTTCGTTTTTTCTTTTCAGCGTTGCGTAAGTGTCTGCTAACCTAGAAACCCCCTTAAAACCCCCTAAACTTCACACTTTAATAACTCTATGCGTACGCAATGCGCGTAAATAAAAAATATATCAATCGATAGCCCCCGACTAGGTGATTATAATGATATCTTTTTTATTTACGCGCATTACGTACGCATAGAGTTATTAAAGTGTGAAGTTTAGGGGGTTTTAAGGGGTTTCTAGGCTAGCGGAAAATTTCCCTTCCGGGTCAAACTTGGGGGCGGACGCTGTCAACGCAACGGACTGTAAATGTTCTGTCTTGGAGAATTGCCCCTTCTTGGCCAATCCGACCTTGACCTCTGGAGCGGCCTGAAATGTCACCTGGCCGACATGGGATTCCAAACTTGAAGAACCCTCTCTCTTTTTCCTGTTCTTCCGTGCTCATAAACATTGAACAAGGCCCGTCCTCACGATCCCGCCGGGTTCCTTTCTGCTGATATTATGTAAATTATGGAAAAGGCAATAACCAGGTCTAAAATGACCCACGCATATTTCTCTGTGCTGATTGCATCATCTCTGGAAATGCGGTTCAACCTGAAGGAAGCAACGCAATTCATATGCCCCCGGTATATCCCAAAACAGATACCTAGCGATGATACTGATGAAGGAATCATGATGCTAGTATTATAGGAAATTCGTAACGTGACAAATAATCAATTTAAAATAACCGAACGGCGACGTTGAACTGTTTTCGATTTCGCTACTCTACCTAAGTGGTGGCAACTTCTGCTAGAACAAAAAGGTCTGATTGTAAGACTCAGTTTCGACTTTGCCCACCGGAGCTAGCGGAATCCCTTGTCGGTCCATCTTTGCCAGCCTTTTCTGCGTCTCGAGAACCCGATTTGTAATCATAGCCTTGGCCGCTTGCGCTTATTTTGGTGCATCCAAGATCTTCAATGGTATATGATGGCTGGGAAGAAGGCGGTCGAGTTGCTCGTAGGGGCTTTTTCTCGGCGTCTATTGTTGCACTGTGCTCCTCCGCATACCCAAAGTTGTGGTGGCCGCCAGTAGTTCTACGCGGCAAATCGAGGTTGTTAGTTGGTTCTCTGACTAAGGTACCTTACATACAGGTAAGGATACATTTCCGATCTTACGAGTAATAATTTGTTTACATCATAGTTTGTGACTTCGTCCCGACTGAAAATGAAGGTAATCTTCGATTGTTGCTTCTTGTACTGCGAAAAGGTACTCCTTTTGTCTTGTGCGATTCAGTATTTCACAACAATTTATACAACGCAGCATCAGCGTAGCAAATTACAATATGGCGTGAGTCAGCCCAGTACAATCTTCACACCGAAGAGATTTTACGTGTTGGAAAATGATTGGAGGTGGGTTGCGAGCTATCAAGTGGTTGGAAGCGGTGAAACTTCCCTCATGCAAGTAATACGCAAGGGTGACCGCACCAGAAGGCTGACCAGAGACAAGGCACAACAAGCTAACGTAAGTTGCTCAAAGTGTCTCTTAGAGGACGTGTCGCACAAACTCGTGTGCTGTTACAAGTGGCGAAGTGGACTGAAACTTTATGAAGATGGAGGCCGCCTCGCGCCGCGTTGTAGATGTCAGTTAGCTGAGCCAATGCGCCGCACCGCCACACCAAGGAGCCAAGCTCACAAAGGCCTTACCATATGACGCATATGACGTAAATGCAGTAGGCCATACTCTTAGCACACATGTGTACGGAAAAGCCTGATAGGCAACAGTGAAGGGGCGGACGCCCTACACAGTCTGCCTACCTATTTAACACTCTATTTCCACTAAGCTTCCGCGAGGTTGATGTGCGCATGTTTGTTGGAATTGACCATTGTCTGTTTAGGAAACTCCAATCAGGCATCATATGCCGTTGTTGATGCCGTTTGAGTTTTCGATGAACACTGGAACAGAGCCATCAGGTTATGGGAGTCTTACTTACAGTTCCTCTTCAAGACCAACAATGAATACAACCCCTAATCAAGATGAAATCAACGAGGAACCGTGGAAATACATTGGTTATAAAGGATACTCGGACTTGATTACATCGGAAAACAATTTACTTCTTTTCCGACGGTTTGATGCTCTCAATGTGCGAGTCACTTTAGCGCTGCAAGACGAAATATCGCTGCTCGAAGAGGAACTCAGCAACCTCGAGGGTCGCATGCAGATGAAAACTGCCCCGGATTTCCATAACGGCACACTACAAGGCGACATACCTGAGCGTTCATCTTTGATGAAACGCATCTCTGATAAGCTCAGGGCCTACAGTTTGTAATCGCCAGAGTAATTCTAATCAGTGTCACTGACACTTCTAGATGATTTCATCATCCAACAAGCTGCTCTTGGGAGTTTCTCAAAGGCCCCGGAAGAAGATAAGGTATACCTCGAAAATTGGCATTCAAACCATGACCAGCTCGCAATAGAGCCCGATGAGCAGGCGTACTTGAAACGTGCAGACCTTGTGTCCATAAGGTTCACAACAAATACACCTCTGCGGAAAGCTCTTCATAAAACACTCAGGTTGGGAATATCGGCAATAATGAGAGACAAGAATGTCGAAACGCCCACTTACGATGCTGAAGCGGTGTCGCACATATCCGATAAAAGGATGGACGCATCTGTGTCAGCGATGATCCTTGCCATCGGAGTCGTGATGCTCTTGACTCCTATATGGATACTCCAGGCCATGAATGATCTCAAAGAAAGACTTGGGATCATTACAGCTTTTATCTTCATTTTTCTTCTGTTATTATCACTGGTAATGGTGGCAAAACCATTTGAAGCTCTTGGAGCAACTGCAGCGTAAGTTATCCCGAATTTCGAGTGTATACCCGCCGGCCTAACATCAGTCTACGCATAGTTACGCAGCTGTTCTGATGGTCTTCACACAATTAAGTTCATGAAATCAGTTGGATAGCTTTTATGTCGACCGGGAACTTCTATCAATCTAATGGGGCTCACTTACTGAGAACAATACAGCAAAGTATTCGTGTCAGTACACGTTTCTTGGAAGCTGATGAGCGCCTTCATCATACCACGATGTTAAGTCGCTACCAAAGAAAGACTCGCAGACTTCATTTCGGTGCTGTTTGCTGTGATAACAGAGTCCCTTGCATTGTGATACTTGACGATCGCCAACAGTACACCATGAAATGCCTTCCGGTCTTGGGATGTAAACTCGGTAAAGTCCGCCGGATGCCCATTCTCTGTGGCAACGACCTTGCCCGGCCCAGATGTGACGGACCCTGATATCCTGTCATTTACCAAGGGCACCACATTGCCGTCAGAGTCCACGACCTCGACCGTAACAAATGAAACGTCCTCGCCGTCCACCGCAATTTTGTCATGGTCCGCAACCAGACGAAGTCTAAAGGTTTTACCCGTAGTTGTAACCATATTGTGTACCCATTGCTTGTCACACTCATACGCAACAGCTTGTACCATACTAGCGATGTTTTTGTGACATTCTCGCGAAGCTGACCAGTCCTTTAATAGTATGAGTTCGGATGGAAAGGAACAAATTCAAAATCAAGTGCTGGAGTGAATCAGGAGGTAACGGGGGTTGGCAGGTACTGACTACCATCAAGACTAGGCAAAAGCATCTGTTAAACTATTTGAATACGTCATCCAAGGCTAAGGAGTCTCCTCGATCTCCCTCTTTCATTCGAACTCAAAAGTCATGTCATCTAGCCCGGCGTCCGTCACCGTAATAGAGAAAATTGACTTCCCAGCCTCGCTTGCCAATCTCTGGGCGACACCACCGAATGGACAGCCCATCAGTGTATCCCATCCTGTCTCTCCCTCAGTGACTCTAACAGTGTCAGAGGAGCCTGCATTGCGCTGACTACGAACGCTGGCAATTGCATCTTTCGTAGGCTGGTTGACAATCCAAGAGAATTCGACAGTGACCATCTCCCCCGGCTCCAAGCCGTCGTCCTTCCAGAGTGCCATCATGATCTCGTTGAGATGTAACCGGTTTGGCGTGCTGTCGTAAGCGTTCCACGCCGATTTGGCTGTAATCTTGTAGTCGAAAGAGTCTACAACGACTCGAACGAGAGCTTTCTTCCCATTTTCATAGCCGTTTGTAAAGACTGATTTAGCTAATGCAGAGTCCTGTATGGTGTACGCCGTATTTCCCTATGGTAGGAAGCATTTGATTAGAATCAGACGAATTCGAGGATCAGGGGCTCCAACATACGAGAATCTAGAGAATCGCAAGGTCAGTAAGCGTTCAAGACCGAATTATAAGTGCCGTATAGAAAAATGAGCGAGGGTTAACTCACTGCGCTATAAGTAGATTCTAAGAGCAAGCCAACTGTGAGCCATAGGCTGGGCACAAAGTTGAGACGCATTGCGACTAACTAGCACTGAATTCAAAGCACAGATCAGTGGCTAAGTTGTGTAGACGGGTCTATGGATGAAAAATACATGCAGGATTGTCTCCAGCTGCTGTATTTAAAGACGTCTACTTCACAATGATCATTGACAACTCGTCTAAAATTAGAACACCAACCTTTGTCCTCAGTCTCCAAAGATCCTTGGCCATCTTGCAAGATTATTAAACATGCAGCCCCTGGATGAATCATCTAGACCTCGCTTCCCAATCATCGACTTGGCCAAGCATTTTGAGCCTCCTGTAATATAGATGCATCACTTGAATTAAGGCTTGAACCTTACTTGACAGGCGAGGCCGAAAAATAAGAAAATGAACCATAGTGAGCTTCCCAGATGGTGAGATTCTTTAATATCTGACTCGCTCTGAGCATTTGCATAATAATTCAAAGCGGATCAAAAGAGGACCCTATGTGTGCATGAGTCGACGGTAGAAGAAGCATATTTAATGAATGAACGTGTCCCACCAGGTTATCCCTTCCGGAAATTGCCATGTTTCAACACCTTGTGCCAATGAATTGTACTCTTGTAATAAGGTCAAAGTAGTCCTACCTATTGCCCGGAGTGTTCGGGGTATAACGTTGTCCGAAGCGCTCGGCCAGACATTCCTGTTCAGACGATCTAGATTCAATCAGATTGATTGTCCAGCTCAGACAGCATTGCGTGCTGTCAGTTCGCATCAACACGACCGTAGATACCCCCAACAAGCTTGGCTCAATCCCGCTGAGGAAGCAGATATGGCAAATGGGAGCTTTGGAAATGACCCGTCGTACTCAAGACCTACAGCTGATTTTGTGCCCATCCCCTCTTCCCACCTTCCATCGTTAATCCCTTGAAGCAAAAGTGCATGTCGTACCTAAGAGAAACACAGCAATCGACCGTGTCTGTCACGAGAGTGTGCACACTGCAATAAGTGACCCCGTATCGAAGAAAGTAGAAGAAGCTTGCAATCAGGGACTTTGAACCAGGGCGGAACACAAAAATGCCAGGACAATTACACAACGAACATCAACTGTGAGTTGGTCACTAAGGGCGTGATAAGCTCCATGATTAATTAGTGATTTTGAGGCAAGTAGAGGTGAAAAATAACAGAAAATTAAATTTCTGAGGGAGACTATACCTCTTTTAGTATGAATTTTGTATTATATAATAAGTACCTACTCTAGCTAGAATTATATATAGTTACACCCCCTAGAAGTAAAGTATCCCCCTTAATAAGGGGGTAAAATAGGGCTTTTTTAGTAGAAATTAACTGATTTTTCCTATTATTAAGAGGGCTAGTGTACTATAGTTTAAACAAAATTAAGTAATAATTAGCTAATATAAGTAATAGATTATTAGACTTAAAACCTAATATTAATAGCTACTTTATTAATTAATAAGGCCTTCTAAGTAAATAATAAGAGGGTTAATAAGTATATAAAGCTAAGGAGGCATATACTAGCCTTATATTATAATAATCTATAAGAAGTAGCTAAAATTATAAGAAAAACTCTTAATAAGACTAATATTAAGTTCTAAGATCTTTTATACTTAATAAAAGTAAAGTTCTTCTCACTTATAGACTAACTATAATACTAAAACCTTCTTTTTAATATAAAATACTAAATAGTTAAACTAAAGTTAATAATCTTTCTATATATTATAAAGTAGTTAGTAACCTAATATAATATAGCTAATTAGTTTAGTATATCTTAAGTAGCTATTAGCTATACTTTTAATATTATACTTAATATAATAGGTGTTATATATAAGAACTTTATTAAGTTACTTAACTAATTATATATCTTAGTAGAGGTTAAGCTTAATAATAAAATAGTATAATTTAATAGCTATATTAGAGTAATTAATAGAATATATATCCTTATATTTATTAAAGTAAAAGATTAAAAAAGGTTCTATAATTAGAAGGGCTAATTAGTATAAAACATACTTATAGTAGTTAACTTTAACTATTAATTTATATATATATTAGCTAGTACTAAGGGGTTAATAAATAACTCTACCCTACTCAACTAAGTATTAGTGTAATCTTTTATAGTACTATAAGGAAAGTATTACCTTATAGATTCTAAGTTTATATAAGACTTCTAAAGAATTATAATACTATTTAATAGTAAGAGATACTACTTAAAAAACTTTAGGTTAAAGCTATAGCTAGAAACCCTAAAAGAATTATATAACTTATAATATATATACCTAAAGACTAAAGTTAAGAAGGTATTTAGTATATTAAAGAGGGTTTTTATAATTTTAAGGGGTAGCCTACTAAAGTATAGCTTTAAAATATAGATTAGGATTATATATAAGGTAATAGGCCTATATAACTTTATTAAAATTATAAAAAAAAAGCAGTAAGAAGTAGAGGAAGAGGAGGATAAACCTAATAAGGCTAATAAAGCTAAAATCTTAATAGTAGTAGTAGTAAAAATAGATAAAGTGATTAGAGATAAAAAAGGGCTAGAGATTTACTACTAATTATTAATTTAGCATTAATAATAATAGTTAGAGGTAGAGGAGTAGTAATAATAATAGTTAGTAAGTTAATATAGTTAACTTAAGTAAAAAAAGTTAATATTTAATATAATATTTAATATAATATTTAGCCTACTTTTTAACCTTTCTACCCCTCTAAAAAACCTAATAAGAAACTCTTATTACTCTTATTAGTGTTATTAGTAGATTTTTTTAACACTAAAAAGAGAATTTATAGGTCTAAATATTAAATCCTCACCCTTTTATTAGCTATATAGGAAATAAGGTTTTACTAGCATTAAAGTCTATTATAACTATCCTCTTTATTACCCTCTATTAATATATTAATATTACTACCTTCTATAGCTACCACCTTATTATTAACTTTATTAACCCTCTCTTAACTACTTAAAATATTAAATTTTTCTAAGAATAATAACTTTACTACCTCTAATAATATATTAAATATAGAGGTACCTAAAAAGTCCTCTTTAAAGTATAAGCTAACCCTCAAAATACCTTTAATACTAAGCTAATACTTAAAATTAATACTATAAGTCTTAATCTTATAGGTAATTATTACCTCACCTATTAACGCTACTAAGTTATTAAAACCACCTCAAATTACCTAAACAGCCTCACTTTTAGCCTCCTTCCTTATTTTTACTACTACTACCTTCTTATTAATAGTTAAGCTACTTTAATATATCATTAATATATTATTAATAGGGATTAAGCTTAAAGTATTAGTAATAAGGTCCTAATTAGTAGCCTACTACTGCTATAATAACTAGGTTAACATAACCTCTAGAGGGTTATTATTATTATTATTATTATAATGCCTCTACTTACTAACCTCAGTAATATTATCACCTATCAGCTTAGTACTAATCTATAACGCATTATAGAGGCTATATATATATAGGAAGCCTTACTATCTAACGCTAGTATACCTTAAGTTTTTTACAATCTAGTCTTCCTATATAAGCTTAGTAATACTAATTATACCACTCTTATTATTATACTTAGCACTAAACTTATTAACTAACTGAAGTATTTAGTAATATATTTAGTATATATTATTATACTTATTATTTAGGTTAGCTATAATAAACTAACTAACTATATTAAGAAAGGCTACTCTCATCAGAAAGAGGGTCTCTAGTAATATAGAGTATAAAGCTATCTTTTTATTACTTATAGTAAAGAGTCTTCCCCTCTTATATAAGTTAAAGCATAACTTAAAAAACTTCTTAATATACTTTAGCTCCTATATAAGGTAGTATTAAGTACTCTAAATAGCTTAAGTACTAAGAACTATATCAGCCTAAGTATTATTAACCTAGCTATTAGTTTATATATTATTAAGGTTATTATTAAGCTAAGTTTTATTAACTAGCATATTATCAATAAATATATCAATTAACTAAGCGTTAAAGCTAAGATCTAACTCCTAAGCCTCTATATTACCCTTAATATTAGATTTAGATATATACTAATTAAGTATATTATTATTAAGTAAGCTACTAATAGCTACTTATTAACTATAAGGCACCTCTATAATACTATCAATATATATAATAAGTAAAAGATATATAGGAGGAATATAAAATTAATAATAGGAATATCTTTCTAATAGTATAAGGCTTATAGTAAGCTCTACCGCCCTCAATAAGGGTAATCCCCCTCATCTCGCTTATATATAGTATATTAACGCTAACCCACGCTATAGATCCACTACCTAGAGTCACTTAAGTACTGCTAAAGTGCGATTTTTGTTAATTAATTATGGAGCTTATCACGCCCTAAAACACAATTACTTACCAATTAATTTCGTTGCTTTCGTAAGCTCTTCAGCATCGGTCTCCGAAGTTTTCCTTTTTCTCTCTGGGTGTGGCTTATGTTTAGTACATAAGGGGCAGATGCAGCGCAGCGCTCTGTGATGGTAAAAGTCAAGGATTTGAGTTATTGACCTGCCACAACAAAAGAAAATAGGAAAGAAAAACTAACCGAAAGTATGGGATGAACATCCAGAGGTACTAAAAAGTCAAATTAAATTCATGTGAGTCTCATGGAAATTAGGACGAGTAGAAGATGTATTAAAAGTTCAGTAGGAAGGTGTCGAGGTTGCGAACGGCTCAACTGTGGGACTGATAATTTTGCTGACACAGTGTAATCCACGGAAGTTATCGCGAGACTAGATCGTAATTACAGTAGTCCAAACCCTCTTGCTATCCCCTGAATAGTTATTAATAGCACGTCAGCTGTTCAGTAAGCCTGCCAGTTTGACTACTCTTGGCGACAGCATCACACCTTCTGGTGGAACTGAAGACATAAGTAGACCGCGCCTCGACTCCGGCCTGGTAAGATCAGACCTCCATTTAACCTCGGTCTGACTACACAATGATGCTCCAAAACTTTCCGCTTCTTGGGTATCTGCTCCTTTCGAGCTGTGTGGCATCGTCTGTATTACCACGTGCTGGCGACGATGCCGGTGGTCACAACTGGATCGACCACGACAAGGTTGTGCCTTTCACACAAAATGCCTCCCCTGGATTCGATGGCCAGCTTGAACTTCGTTTCAACCCCAATCTCTACGTCTCGGGAGGCTGCGACCCTTACGCAGCTGTAGATAGTAGCGGAAATCTTGGGTAAGCACCGCACTACTGTTTTTTCAAATGGTTTAGTAGAAGCTAATCTAGGAGAAAAGTGCCGGCTTGAGACCGACCGGGGGTGGAAGAGACGGCTGTGGCGATGGCAAAGGCGGTCAAGTGTACGTCCGACGCGGTGTCAGCCAGGACCGAGTGGGCATAATGTACAGCTACTATTTTCCCAAAGTTCGGTGGGCAAAAGGTGACAACAACGGCCACAAACATTATTGGGCTAGTATTGTTGTTTGGATCAACCGCTGGGGATGCGATGTTGACGATGCGACCTCGGCCTGGCCAGTTGGAGTCTCATTCACCACTGACCACCTGAAATGGGGCGTTGCAAAAGCTGGCGATATCACATTCAAGTCTTCTGGCGTTGGCGTTGATATGCCCACCCGTCCCCAGATACAAATTCACGACAATGCCATGGCACCTTTCACAGGCGCCGATGGGGACAAGGTTTATGGGAGGGACGTCATTGGGTGGAAATCCCTTCCCGATAGCGCTCTTCAAGCGCTATCTGACGTTAAGTACGAAAAGACTGAGGTGCCGTTTGTCGACGCCAACTTCCAACGCCAGCTAGACGCCGCATACCAAGAAAGCTTCTACGGCGGGCTTTCCGATCAGCAAGGTTGTGTTGAGGAGGCCACACCAGCAGAGGAGTCACCGTCTCTGCCAACGGCGCAGGCTACAAACCCTGTGAGATTGTAAAGCATATGTGGAGTACATAGGAGAAATTGTAAGCAGGAATATTACTACAAGAAGAACGAGCAGAAGACAAGTATATCATCTAATATATTCATAAGGGTTAACTCACATGCGGGACATTTTCCGTTGAAGCATCATTTGGTGAATTCTGGGATGAAGAGCTGGGTCAGAGTTTTGTCAAACCTGTATTTAGTCGCTTCTATCCCAAGAAACCAATGAAGATTTTCCCTGCGTAAAAGCCCGATTCGATTTGCTTGACTTATTACTAGCGGATTTCCTCACGCCGCAACGTCGCACTCACCTGCAGCGGCACTGGCCGAACTTCTCATTTGATCCCAACCTTCGGACTAATCCGCAAATGGACGGATCTATCCTTGGAGCACCTCTTGCTAGTTCACAAACTGCCCTCTATCCTTTCATGACACCCTGGCAACGAGGGACTGCACACTGATCCGGACAACATTAAACTACTTTGGGAAGGAGGAAGACTGGTCATGTTCTTGGTCGAGCGTCAATAAGCTACCTCCTCTATGGAAACGAACCAGTCCTATGTTAACTACCAAGATTGCAGAAGCTAGAGTATGATCCAGTAGACCAAAAGCTTAAGACACAGAGATAGGGACGTAGGTAGATATGGAATGAGATGCATCAGCCCTGCAATAACATCAAACAGAAAAAACCACTTTGACCACAGCAGACACCCTCACCACAAAGAAGCTGAGCAGCCGGCTTCTCCAAGATTGAACTTTGACTCCACATTGAAAACATTCGGAGTGGAGAGCCCTCTTGGAACCCGAAGAGCGTAAAGCTTCTCAATAGCCTTTACCAAGTGCTTGGCGCACCTCATCGAATGGCAAATGGATGGTCGGAAACCTTGATCCGTTGGGCAGATCTCACCGTCCCGTGAATGACAAGTTTCATCAACCCACACCCGGTGGAAGATGGTGTGGCTCGCAGAAGTCCCAATAGCGAAGCCGAACAAAGCCCGTGGGACTTTTATCTCGGCCGAAAGAGAGCAATGTTTATTATAAAGTGTCCTTGCGTAGCATACGAAGACCTCGCGATAAATGCAATGTGTCAATAAGATCTGTGACGCAAAGGCAGGAACTCGCCGAGCAGGGCTATTCCTCGATGGAAACATGCAAGATCTACGCCGCTCAGACACTGCGCCATCAATCCCCTCGTTAGCACAGGCACCATGGCGCTCCTAGATCCGTCCGAAGGATCACAAAGCGATCCCGAGACGGACCGTTGGCCTAATTGATACAGGCGATGGGATATTCGAATGACTCGTTACCCCAAAACCTTATGCAGTGTTCGGAAGGGAACAACTTCCAACGTGGGAAGCACGCATGGCAGCTGAAACCCGCGTGCCCGTCAGTGCGGTCCGACCTCGTTCTTAAATGTATACCTCTTTGGCCCCGCCGTCCCAGTTTCGGAGATTATGTTCGTCTGGGGCAGATAATCGACTCTCTTTCGATCGCGAACGTCGAAACAAAACGAAGATACGAACAGACGGGGGGCCCGACGCACCCCACGGAAGCTCGCCGAGAGAAAGGATCCACAACGGCCGTCGCGCGCCGTCCCGTACGATTGGGAATGCCCCATCGCCACGCGACCTTCGAATCATGGCGCAGGTTCAGGGAGCCATCGGAGACAAGCTTTCAGAGGCCGACCGCATCGCCATCACGGCCTTGGCGACCGCGGGCATGTACAACGCGATTGAGATTTACGTCCTCATCTTCACGACGTTCCGACGACGACGCGGCCGGTATTTTTGGAGCATGCTGGTCGCCAACACGGGGATTCTGTTCCACGCGTGTGGGGGCCTGGGCCGATTCCTCCAACCACAAAAGACGCCGATACCAGGGTCGTTTGCGCATATTGGGTGGTACATGATGGTTACAGGGCAGTCGGTCGTGATGTGGTCACGGCTGCATTTGGTGGTCTACAACCGATTGACGATAAAGCTGGTCCTGGCAATGATTATCACGACGGTTTGTTTGGTACACATACCGCAAACCGTATTATTTTCGTTGGTTTGGTCAGGGATTGATACACCGGCGTGGACGAAGCGATTCAGCGTCTTCGAAAAAGTGTCGCTCATGATTTTCACCGTACAAGAGACCATCATCACCGCGATCTTCGTGCGAATGGGCTTCCACAACTTCAAATCGTTGTTCGAATTCAAGGGTCGAGAAGCGAAAGTTCTGCTTGGCTATCTGATTGGCATGTTCGTCCTCGTTTTTCTTCTCGACACCGCACTCTGTGTGCTGGAGTACATGGACTTTTTCGTGTTCCAGACCACAAGCAAGCCGCTTGTTTATAGCATCAAGCTGAAAGTGGAATTCGCCGTCCTCAACAAGCTTCTTGCCTTCACCAGGATGTCTTCCTGCAACAACTGCCATGGGCTGGAAGACCTCGCCGTCGCAAATCAGCCGAAATCTTCAACATTAAATACGAGCCTAGTAACGGATGCGGCGACTACAACAGCAGTTGAGCGACCCCATGAATAACGTAAAGATATGGTCAACTGCTATGTGTGCTATGGAGCAACATCGGGCATCACGCAATACATGCTAGCAGTGTCAGTTGGTCCATAGACTGCGTTTGTCTTGGCGAGGTCAGCAATTGCAATGCCTTTGACGAGCTCAAGGTCAAGCCGCTAACAGTTGTGCAGATGGTTGGCCAAAATCCAACGAAGCGTTTCAGACATGCGTCAGGATTGTCTTCATGCTTAACCAGACGGTGCACTTGTTATGAGACGGGCGAACACTTATTGATGAATGATTGAATGACAACAAGATACCCAAATTAGAAATTAGGACACAGTTAAGGAGACGCTGCAGAGTATTAGCGTAGTAATGGAAGACATCAGCTCTGTTCGTAGTCTGACTGTTGTGAACTCTGCGTGCTGCTATTACAGCTAATGCTAAAGATTCCTGTCTATGAGGCTTGCCAATTCTATTTGCCTCTGACCTTGCACTGTCGACATCTACATGTAAATTTACCCGCCCAACCCAGCTTCATTCTTCTCTACGCCTTTTGCTCTGCCTTTCCCCTTCGGACCTGTCTCCGTTCTCATTATCCTCGAACCTGTTTCCGTAATCCCTACCCCCAGATCTCTCAACAACGGACTTGATGCACTTTGAAATGCAGTTCGCAATTGCTCTTGCCACCGGTGGAGGCTGGGCCCCTATGACATCCTCAAACTGCTTGAGAGGTGAACCGTAGAACACAAAGTCGTCTTTGAAATATTGGATTCTCGCGATCTCGCGAACGGTCAAGCAGTTCTGACGTTGAGAATCGCCTGCATCTTTGGGGGATAAGTGGCTGAGATTGAAGGACGGAAATGTGCGAAGGTTTTCGATCTCCGAACGCCTGATAATGGTGTTGTGGTTGTAGATGTAGCTTGGTGACACGTTCGTTCTCCCCGATCCCCCGGACGGGGAGCATATGAACTGACCTCTCAACCCATCTGAAGATCCCGTCTGCCTCGTGTTGAGGAAGCTCAGGTCTTTGATAAGATCAGTTATCAGCGTGAACTCGCCATCCTCAGTTCGATGGGCTGCGAGCTTGATGGGTACAACGGCCAAGCCAGGAAATCGTGAGGCAACGGTATTCACCAGGTACCGCTGACGGGCGCAGCCGAAACTTTGCAGCGATGAGATGTTGACACGTACGGTCTCACCCTTTTTGAGAAGTTGGAAGATTGTGGACGAGAACCGTTCGACAACATTTGGGTGAAATACCCCAGGTGGCATTTGAAGCACCTTAAAGTCCGGGTCAAAGTTTGATTGTGTGATGGAGTCCATGATGTCAAGTGGATCGAGAAAGCTCTCCTTCAGCTCGGGTTCAATCCTGGGCTTTGAGCATTGGTCAGCGTTCCGTCCTGCCACTAAGGAAACTTTGATCGGGTCCCCTGCCAGCAAGTGGGGGGTATTCAGAGTTCCCGAGCTCAAGTCATTGAAGAGCTGCTGAGGAGAACCATCAAAGACAGGGCAATTTGGATAGCGCACCTAAAGTGACAAGTCAGCCGGAGCTTTTCCACATATAGAAATGAAACTGTACGCACTTTCCAACTGATGCTGTGCTCTGGATCAAATCCAACAGCTGCGAATGAATTAAATCCCGCCTCGGCAAACCCTTCCAAGGGGCCAAAAACGTTCGGCGTGAAATCGAAGACACTAACAGAGGATAATCTTGAGAATCCTTTTCGCTCTGGCCGTTCCTCTCGGGCTAGGTGCTTCGGGATGATGGGTGTGAACGTGACGGTCTCATCGCTCACTGACCTAGCAAAGCGGCACGACAACTCCTTCTCGGCGCCTTCTTCTGTCGTCGAGGATCCGTCCACGTTGGCCGGGACGCATGGATGTGTGTGAGAAACAGGGCGATACCTGACTCTGAATCTCGTGCTGAGGGCCTTGGCAAAGGTGATGTCCTTGATCATGACAACCTCGGCGTCGCTCTGTTCTCCCATATGTTGTACAGACGAGAAGTGCAGCATCAAATCACCAATCTCGGCGCTCTCGTTCAGTTTCCTTCCGCCCCGGAAAAGGTGCTCTTGCCGAAGAATCGAAAACCTGGTGACGCTCAGATGACGTTCTTGGATACATCCTGCGCTCCCGTGGTGAACGTCGTGAACCCAAGCGATATAATCGGGATAGCATTGAGAACTATCTCGGATCTCATAGTATCGGTCTTTTTCGAACTCAACGCCCAGACGACTGTCGTAAAGACTAGATTCCAGAAACATATCCATGTCATTCCCCTAGGCCCGATTAGACAAGCCACCAAATTTGTTTCCTCTGCTTGTACTCACCTCGCAGTGGCACAATGTTCGTGGGGTGAGAACAATTGACCGAAGCTGAGGAAAGTCTTCATTCTGCCAGATAAGCTCGGAGATCGCCTCTTCACGAGCGTCCACTTCTCTATCCAAGCCATCTTCCACCGGCGGGTCGTCACGAGCCTGTGGTGTAGCAGAGTAAATGCCTCGCTCTGAGTAAACGTCTCGTTCTGAGTAAATCTCTACCCCTGACGATTCATAGTTGTATGCAGAGTCCGTTTCCATCAATACATCAATGTCAGACTCCGTCTCCACGCTCACGGACTGGGAGCGACCGCTTGGAGCCGTAATTGGCTTGGATCTATCCAGGGGACGTACACATTGAGGAGGAAACGCTGTGAACGCCGTCTCTCCTTCACGCCAAACTACCGGAAAGTAGTCCTCATTTGGGTCGAGATTTGCAAAGAGGGCGCAACTTTGCGACAGCGGGACTGTCTTCGAAGGGCATTGGCATCTGGCACTAGACAGGTGTTCTATATGCGGCTTATCATTAGCTGTCGAGGCAAGAATAATGTGCAACGTACCCGTGTCCATTATGAGGTCTTCACGTCTTGTCTCACAAGTACTGAGACTATGGAGTGTGACGTTGCAGACGTTCTTCTCGAGGTAGCTTCTGGACACCAGCTCGTATTTGTTTCGGAGCCAGTGGACGTGAAGCTCGCCAGCCTTGGAGGTCGTTGAAACTTGGACACCTCTGGGGGTCTGCCGAATGTACTCCCGAGTCCGGCGCCGTAGCTCGACGGCTTTGGAAGGGGAAATGTCGACATATTCCCGTATATGGTTCACTGCTAGCTCAAGCAAATCTTCTACCACATGGTCGCAATAGAACATCTCGCCAACGTCATCATGCTTCGCGATCTCGAAGAACTCGCATGGAGTTTCGATATGAACGGCTTCGAAATTGAGCCATTTATGATTGATCTGAAGCACTCCACGTTTCGGGTCGAAGTGCAGGTCGATGGTGGTATCAGCACCTTGTACGAATTGGAGCTGAATTCCAGAAAGTGCTGTGTCCATTGCCAGAACTGACTTCAGTGTACGGGAGATATTAAGACCGAAGTAGCCATCCATGTTCTCAACAGGCTGGGATGCCGAGAACAGACGGATTCGTTCCTGCTGGGGGGTTCGGGCACAGTCGTACTTTACAAGAAGTCGCCACAGCTCTTTGGCCAGCTTTCGAGGCTGCTTCTTGATATCGCTCAGAATGATGTCGACCTATGATGAATTATTCATCAGCAATCTGCTTGCATTTCGCTCTTGCATCAAGACCTTCTTACCTGATGACCACCGTCATGCCTAGAATCAGAAGCTTCCGAATAATAAAAGGCGCCCGGTTGACTACTTCTCAGCCAGGTCCAGATGCGTCGGGCCAAGATTCTGGACGCCTTTTCAGCAGAGATGATATCGACACAGTCTTCATTGAAAAGGTCGACGTAACGCTGTACGAGGTTGCCCTGGTCGCCTGCCACCGCTGTCTCCCAGATACTGGCCAGCGCTTCTGCCTCTTTGTCGTGAGACGTCATTCTCTCCCGGTCGCGGCCAAGCTTTCCAGTCGCAAAGTTGTAGCAGAACCTGTAGGATTTACCACCCAGAGTAGGGGCGCTCACTTCGAATCCCTTCAAGTAGATTTGTCCTGCAAACCTCTCATCAAGGACTAGGTCTCCGTGCTGCGTTCGGATCATTTTGTCGGGATCGGGGTTGCTCAAGTCAATCGAGACGGTCGTCCAACTGCGGAACTCTTCTGCGGTGATGGGCCTGCGGTAGCCTCTGCCCGTTGCTGGATGGGAGAGCTGGATTGTCACGTCCCTGGAAGAGTACGACACCAGATCGGATCGCAGCGTTCCTGACATTGTCTGCTGTGTAAGTGAGGCCGTCTCAGAATCGACTTTCGATGTGTTAGGCTTGGAAATTTTGCAATAGAATCGATCTTTGTTGACTCCGTTAAATCCGAAGTTCCAGTTTGCAGATGTGGATTGGATGCGCACTGGGATCCCAGATCTGACCATGACGAGGGCTGCAACCTTGAATCCTTCACCGTGAACGCCAGCGAACTTATCATTGTTCCTCTTAGATGAGCCGCCGATACTCAAATTGTTCATAGAAAGGTTGGCGTTGAAGTTGGCTATCTCGACTGTTCCTGTCTTGGCTTTATGAACGATGAAGCCGACGAGCTCTCGTTGACCTTCGACGTCGCGGTGCACTGTGATGCGGATTACTCCAGGCGTTGTTTCGTCCCAGACAGGCAAGAAAGATCGGGGATCGATGTCAAAGGCCGCGATGATACCGTCCTTCCTATGTGGATATCAGCATTCGCGTCGAGCAGGCAAGTACGTCAGATCAGAATCTCTGACCAATTTTGGATGAACTCGCGAAACGCGTGCAGTCGTCTCCAAGACAAGACATAATTTTTGTTCAGCCCCAGCGAGTGCGTGCCTGCCATCTGAGGACTCTGGTGGTCATCCTCCTCATCGGAGGAAGTCTCGAATGAATCTGATGCGGATGACATCGGATCGGTTGTGGGTTGTTGACTGTCATCGGAAACAGATTCGTAGGGAGATGACATTATCTGGACACTTCTGAACAAGATCTCTGCACGGCTTTTTGGAATACGGGAAGCGCAAGATGGAATTCGTTGTGAAATCGAAATGCTGTTCTGGGTCGGGAGATTTGTTTGTCTTTGAAAGATTAGAGAGGAGGAGCTGTGTTAAACTCGAGGTGAGAAGAAAAGTGGACCAGGTTGACGCTGCGGTCAACCGACGAGAGCAAACACTAACAAACATGGTGAGCAAACACCGTGACCCACTAAGGTCCCTGATGAATTGGATGCCGCCTTTGAAGGAACGGTGTCTTGTTGCGAGGCATGAAGGGAGAGGTGCAGCGATTGAATATACACGCACCTAGGAAGGAGAAAAGCATGAAGTACGACAAGGGATTCGGGAGATTCAAGAAGCTTGTTTGCTGTCTGGTGACAGAAAATTCAATGTCGCCACACAATCATGAATCAGGAAGCCGAAATACCTATCTTAACTCTATTTGCAGTTCTATCATTGATTCAATGCTTCTTGTGATCACTTTTACTTAGGATTTCGAAGACACGAAAGGTGGAGGCTATTAGTCGGCGATGGCAACTGAAACACGAAGGTTTTGGTTAGCTGAGCTGTACATGAAAACAAGTGCAACATGAAAACTGTTTTTGCTATGTTCAGAAAGCTTTGAGGCTCATGGCATTTTCTTTCAGTAGCTGACAACCTGTGATTCGGCGGGTCATGGGTTTGAAGAAAAGGCGTTCTTTAAATCACATGCCCAATCTTCGGCGGCCCTGTACATCCATGCATGGTTCTGGTTGGAAACGCTAACACGCAGGTATTTACGGCTTCAAGGTTAATAGGGCGAGTGGGAATGCTTATCAAAAGCTGATTATCTGCGTGTTTCTAGGTCTCAAGATTTATTTAACGGAAATTCGAGACTATGGCCCTGACACCACTAGCGGCTTCTTCGGCTTCGGCTTGATAAAACAAGCAGCAACGATCATGCACCCAGCAACACCAGTGAAGAAAGCCCACATGATATGCAAAGCAGCGACATAATCTTCCTTCCCCGTGCCTTCCGTCGGCGCAGATGTTTCCTCCGAGTGAAGCGCCGTCAACCCTCCTCCTCCCAAGTTCCGCTGCAGCAGCACCGTCCCAATGACCACCGACATGGACGAGAAGAGCGACCTGAAGAACGTGAAGGCCAACATGGCAGCCGCCATGTCTTTCTGGTGAGTGTGTGTCTGGATAGCGATCATCGGGCTCTGGAAGAGCACACCCGCGCCGATGCCGGTTATGATCTGGAAGCAGACAATCTTGGCCCAGTCCGGGGTCGTGCCGAAGGTGATGAAGAGTCCGTTTCCGAGCGTCATGAGCGTGGCGCCGAGAAAGATGGGGACCACATAGTTGCCCGTCTTTCGTGTGAATAGGCCACCGAGCATCGTCATGACGGTGAGCGGGATCAAGAGCGGAAAGAGCGAGACACCGGCAATAATTGGGGGGAAACCCAGGACGACCTGGAAGTACAGCGGGAGGAAGTAGTCGTAGGAGATGAAGACGAAGCTGTGGATGCACGAGAACGTAAAAGCCGCGACATTGGTGATCTTTTGGAAGATGCGGAACGGGATGATTGGGCTCGAGGCAAAGCGTGCTTCCCAAACCATGAAGAGGGCGAGGATCAATACGCCAAAGAGGATGAGGCAGATTACCTGCGCCGAGTCCCATGGCAGCAGCCCGCCCGCGCCTGTCTCGAGGCCGTACAAAAAGCAGATCGTCCCACCAATGATGAGAGCGAAGCCAGTCCAGTCGAGTTCGCGTAGTCCGGTCATGAAAGGTTCTTTCGGAGTTTCAACTTTGAGGACGAAGAAGAGGACGATGAGGGCGATTCCGTCGAAAGGGAGATTGATGTAGACTGTACTCGGTTAGCAACATGCCCCAAGAAAGCAGATGAAATCAGGAAACACTCACAACACCATCTCCAACCAATGGTTTGAGTAAACACTCCGCCCAGCACTGGCCCGACAGCGCTCGCGATGCCATACACGATGCCCGTCATGCCATAATACTTCGCCCTGTCCTCCAACTTGAACAAATCTCCAATCACAATCGTGACAAGCACCAGCGAGCCTCCACCTCCTAGCCCTTGGATCGTCCTCCCGGCAATCAAGACAGAGATCGAGCCAGCCAAGGCCGCAACAAGACTTCCTGCCATGAACGTCGCCGCCGCAGCCATGATGGTCCCCTTCCGCCCGAAAATGTCCGACATCTTAGCCCATACTGGTGTAGAGGCCGTACTCGAGAGCGTGTAAGAGCTACCTACCCAGGCATATTGAGCGGCCGAGGCATGCAGTGTCGATGCGATCGTTGGCAGGGCGGTGGCGATGATCGTGATGTCAAGAGCGGAGAGGAGAAGTGTTAGGCAAAGGGCGAGCATGATTGCTTTGCGACGCCATGGTGGCAGTGGCGGGGGGACGTAGGATGCCGTTGTCGTAGCGGGTGCCAGGGGTGGAAGAGGTCCCTCGTCATTTTCAATTGCGGTCTGTGACGGCGACTCGGATCGTTGGTGCTTTTCGTCGAGTTGATCCACGGGTGGAGCGGTCGTATTCATCATTGCGGCCGAGAGGCTAAAGCTGGAGCGAAGAACGAGAACGATGGTGTTCGCTCGAGGTGAAAGGAAACAAGATCACAGGCGAGAATGATTTCACGGCGCGTTCGATTTTCTTGAAAAAATAAAAAAAATAAAAAAAAAAAACTGATCACTATCGCGTCTGGCTCAACGATTGATGAGAACTAGGTGTGGACACCCCGGTTCATTCGGTTCGGTTCGGGTCCGCGACCGAGCCCCGCGTAACCGGGTCCCCACAAGATGGATGGTGAACCGCGGACTGGGCTATTTTCTAAACATGAAATAATACTAAAAAGCCATTTGAAAGAAACGCAACATCGAAATCTCTGATAATCACGGGTCCATCTTCTCTCCCATCATAGAAGCAAATCAGATGATTCCTCTGTCCTCTCTGCAACACCCATCCCTACTCCTCGTCATCCTGTCTGCGTCGCTTGTTCTTCTGCGTACTCCTCCTGTCATCTACAAGCTTTACTTCCTTCGATCGCAAAATGACAGCCTTGATACACTCTGCAGCTGCTCTTGCCACTGGCGGTGGCTGTGCGCTGGTGACTTGGTCATATTGCTGTTGCGCGGAGCCGTAGAACACGAAGTCGTCTGGAAAGCCTTGGATCCGCGCGAACTCGCGAACTGTAAGACCATCGTTGCGAACTGCAAAAACAATAAGCATATCGCGTTTCTAGTCTTGGAGATGGGAAATATACTTGCCTGGATGAATAAGATTGTGGGTGCAATGTGTATCAAAACTGATGTCATTGGACTCCAGATCAACTACTTGAGCTTGGTTGTCAGGAAGCTTGGAACCGGTGTTGTGGTTATAGACTGGTGTACCAGCAGGAATCCCGAATTGCGGCAGGTCTGGAGGAACGGAGCACAGAAACCCAGTTCCTGATGTTCGAGGGTTTTTGAAAGACAGCTCCGCGATGCTGTGGCTCGCTGATAGATTTTCCTGGTGTCCAGGCAAGTTGCTTTGCAGATGAAATTGACTTAATGGCAAAACTGCCAATCCGTGATATGGTGATGCGATCATCGTCAAAAGCCTGCGGCTTTGCGGGATGTGAAATTTCTGCACCGAGGCCAAGTCGATCTGAACTGCATTTCCACTTTTGAGTAAGCGGAAAATGCTCCTACAGAACCGATCGACGGCTGAGAGATGTAATATTGTGGGAGGCAGTTGTATGACAACGAAGTCAGGCGATTGGAAGTCCAAGGCATGATCCGCCATGTCTAGCGGGTGAAACACGTCTTTCAACGAGGGCATCAACGTGTTTCCCTCAGTTAACGCAAAGTTCGTATTCCCTCCGGTTGCCAGCACTGTAGTGGGTAAGTTGCCCGGAGGCCACAAACGACCAGGAAGCCTGTCTTCCTTGAAGTCCTCCCGAAGGTTCGGAAAACAACCGTCGAACACAGCACTGGTCGGATATCGAATCTGATGCCGTCAGTAGAACGCTTGTTGGGCATCGGAGGTGTGGGATCTCAATCATACCTTCCAAGTCGCATCTACTCTCTCACTGAAACCGAAGGCAGCGAAAGGATGGTATCCTGCAGAGGAGAAGCCCTCCATCGGGCCAAGGACTCCGGGCGTAAGGTCGATAACATGACCAGGGGATGCGTCGGGGAACCCGCGGTTCTTCCGTCGATCATGCGGTGCCAAGAGATGCGGTGAGATTGGCAGCAGGGTGAGAGAATCATCCTGAACAGATCGAGCAAACCGGCAGAAGAACTCGTCAGCATCAAGTTTCTCTAGTAAAAGACGTCAGCACGACATTCGTAGATGGGAATGAGGAAGAGGGTCTAACCTGGGCGTTCAGCACAGTGTGTGAGGTAGAAATCGAAGCCTACGGGCCCCACCCAGTTGATGTCGTCAATTGCAACAATTTCATTGTCGGAAAAGGTCCCCATTTTCTTGGCTGTTCTGCAATGCAACAGCAGTTCTCTGTGGTCGTTCTTGTTGTGGCCATTTAGTGACGATTCCAAATCCCACAACAACTTTGTATGATTGAAAAAGGAGTACTTCGTGATGATCAGGTGCGGCGTGTTCACGCAGTCAGCACTGCCAGGCGAGACATCATGTACCAGAGCGATGTATACCTCAAAATTACCGGAAGTGTCTTTTATCCTGACGTACTGGTCTTTCTCAAACATGAAATCGAGGCGTCGGCTCTCAAAGCTGGTTGCGACAAGGTGGTCTGTAGCCTGCATTTGACATCAGCTTCCAACTACAATCGATGTCGATCACATCACTCACATCGCATTTGCATGCATTGCGCGTGGCAAACATGTGAGAGATCTTGGTTGGAAGATCTTCGGCATGCCACTTGCGCCACGTCTCCTGATCTGCGATCCACTCCTTGGAGCCCGACATCGCCTCAGCGGGCCCTGCATTGGCACCAGCATCGTGCTCCTGCATTGTTTCTGTCTCGCCATCTCGACCTGGTCGGTCCAGAGGCGCCATTGAAGGTGGAGCAAGTCCAAAAAAAGCTCCTTCTTGGTCGCGAGCAACCATTGGAAAATACTTCTGCCGGGTATCAAGGCCTTCGAAGACAACAGAGCACGCAGATAGTGGAACCTTCAACATAGGGCAACGGCATGAACGTCGAAGAGAAGACGGGAATCCTCGGTTGGCTTGTTGTGACAGTCAGTATCCAATCAAACAGTTTCGGGGACAGAACTTACCTAGGTCGAGCAGCAGAGTATCATCCTTAGATCTGCATAAAATATGTCGATGAAGGCGAACGTGAAAGTTAATGTCGTCCCCATGATGCTTCGCAATAATACCCGGATCGTTGCACGTCCAGCTAACCCGAAGCTGGCCAGATGCAGGACCAGCAGTCACCTGCACGTCCCTTGGGGTCTGGCGGAAGAGGCGCTTTGCTGTTGATCGAAGTTTGGCGATTTTCAACGCATCAGAATTCGTTGCGCCCATGACCGTCCCGAGAATGATGTCAAAGAGATCCTCCACAATGTGATCACAAGCAAACACATCTGTCTCCTTCCGTTGGGCTTGGCTCATGTCGGAAATGTCGCAAGAAGCGTCCTGATGTGCTGTATCAAAACGCAGCCACTTCTCATGAACGAAGAGGCGTGAACCGGAGACATCTCGACGCACGTCAATGCTAGTATGATGACTTTTCACGTACGTAATACGGGATAACCTGAGTCTGTGCTCCAGCTGCATGGCTGCCCGGAGCATACGGTCAACCGAGATTGCAAACAAGTCGTCCGGTAGAGTGATCGCTTCAGACGACAAGAACTTGTGATCAATGTGTTCTTCGGGGGTGCGTGCAAGTTTGAACTTTCTCAAGGTCTTCCAAAGCTCTCTTGGAAGAATGCTTGCCTTCTTCTTCAGGTCTCTGTTGATCAGATGGGCCTACTCGCTCTCGTTAGCTGACTGTGAATGCAAGGTGGGATGGAAGAAATGTCAACCTGGTGTGCTACATCTGACCGGGAGTCTGGGTCTTCGGCGTAAAAGAAGCAGTCTGGTGCGCTATTGAGAAGATATTGCCAGACATGCTCGGCCATATTCTTCGACACCACAGTATCCGCGAAAGCAACATCTGGGCTGCGAACGACATCAAACAACCTGACGTACTCTTTGGTCAACTCCGGCCGCTCAGCTACAGCCAGCTCCCAGATGCTGGCGACAATTCTCGCCTCCTCTCTCTGCTTCATCATGCGCTCTCGATCACGATTGATGCGCCCGCTGGCAAAGTCGTAACCGTAAGAATAAGTGACGCCGTCGAGTCCATGTCCAGAAACTCGGAGACCTTTAAGGTAGATGCGTCCTGCGAATTGGGGGCCTATGAGTAAATCGCCATGCTCGGTTCGAATGATCTTCTCCGGAGATGGACAATGAAGGTCGATTGCGACTGAACTCCAATCCCAGAACTGTTGTTCTTTAATGCTTTCGTGACCCTTGGACGTGGAAATCCTGACAATGACGTCTCGGTGAACATAAGAGGTAAGGTTTTTTCTAGCTCGTCCGTTTTTAGTCTCGGACAAGAGAGAATCATGGTGTTTCTTGATTGTTGACGTCGCAGGCTTCGTAATCTGACAGGCAAGTTTGTCCTTGTTGTCGCCTCGGAACCCAAATCTCCAGTACACAGAAGACGCCTCAATATGAACTACACGATTGTTTCGTGTCATCACTAGAGCGGCGACTTTGAAACCCTCCCCATGGGTCCCGGCAGTCTTGGAGCCATCTCGCTTGGTGGTTCCTCCGAGGCTCAGGTGGCGCGGGTCCAGCGCAGCGCTGAAGTTGGCGAGCTCCAAAGTGCCGGTCTGTTTGATGAACTTGATGTAGCCAAGGAGCTCCTTCTGAGACCGATCTGCTCCTATCTGGATTTTGCGGTGGATGGTAATCTGGATATCTGAGTCTGTCGTGTTCTGCTCCAGGATGAAAGGTCTGGGATTGAGATTGAATGTCTGAATGATGGAGTCCTTCCTGCACTCGTTTCAGCAAAATTGCGTCGGAAAACATTTGACTGCAAGTATCCGGACTCACCAGTTTTGGTACCATTCCCGAAATGCATCACCTTCAGTCCAGGACGGGACGTAATCTTGGCTCAAGCCAAGCATGTGAATACCCGGCGCAACATTTTCGTGGTGATCGCCTTTGTCGCTCTCCACTCCGTACTCCGATCCGCCGGAGTCTGAAGGGTCTGGCTCTTCCTTCACTCGCTGACGCTTGGAGGGCGGCATTGCCTGTGAGGGCGCACCCACGACTGGGGATTGGGAGCAAGATTGAAGAGGCAGAAAATGGTGCAAGAGCTTCCGCAATCAAATGAAAATGTAATAGAACAGGGTTGCAAAAGAAATTTGTTGCGGGAGATCGACGAGAGCCGTGGCGGGATGGAAGAAACTGGATGGGGAGAAGTTGAAGTTGAAAAGTTGAAGTCGGCACCGAGCGTTGTAGGAACCCAGACGCGAGGGGAAGGTGGTGTGACGTTCTCTCTTGAGTGAAGGAGCAGATGTTGCAGTCTGGACGCTCCTTCCCGGAAGATTGAGGTGATTTTCTACCTACTTACCCACATAAAGGCAGCCACACCGTCTTTCCTCCAGTCCGGATGTTCCTTCCCATCCCGAACCTTAGGGCAACAAAAGAGAAGCGAACGGGAAATAGAGCGCGGGTACTCAAAGTAATCTACAAGGACACAAACCATGCTGGCAGAGAAGATTGCCAGCTTTTGCGGGAAGCGAACAAAAAGCAAAGATTATCTAGTCTGTGACAAGCTGGAAGGAACTAGCTTAAGGTGATGCCGTCCTCGTCCATTGCCAGAAAATGAATTCAACCTACACCTTCTGGCACAAGCAGATTTTCTCGCAGGCTGTGGAGCTTTCCTTAAAGCATACTATCAAATGAAGAAGATATTCCACAGTGTATTGATAGTAAAGACTAGAAGGATAGCCAAGACTTGTGATGCCGTGGTCTGGTTAATCACTCAATACCCACATACAGCTTGCTCAGACAGTATTTTTGGCGCAATTCAACCAGATATAGCTGGTGTAGCAGCCCTCGGTGTATCGATCCGCTCAAATCCCAATTACCCGCAGCAAAGACGTCTGCCCAATGGCCTCCAAATCCTCTGGTCTTCCCTAGACTCATGGTTCATATCATCATGTCACGACGCGTTATCTGAGTCACGTTGGGTTGTGGAAACTCACTGTCCAGGTTCAGCGAATGAAATATCACAACTCGAATGTGAGAGCTCATATCAGCCTTATCACCCGCTTCCATCCACATTGATATGTGAAGTCATAGTAATTACCTCCACCACGCAAAGAGATGGAGAGTTATCACCAGCGCGATCGACCATGAACGGAATCGGCTGAAGCTGGTGCAGAGCGGTTTGATACAAAAGTTGCCCACACGAATTGAACAATGCGTGCCCTCTATCAGTCTTGTCATCTACACAGCATCAGAGCCCAAATTCCAGCCCTCCATCTTGTCAGTGTCCCAATCAACACTACCAAGACTGCCAATCTGCTTGTTGGATTCTGTCTCTCGTTCAGCACACTGAGACATGTAGACCACTCCAGTGTCAACGATCGCTGGCGGAATCAGAGCTTGAATCTTTTCCTCATGACCCAACACCTTGGAGAAGAGAATCGTATTCTCTTCCGTGAAAGAGGAGTCCAAGCTGGTCAAGAAGCGTTTTCGATTGGCCTCTTTAGGCACTATGTTAGTGACGGAACGTATGGTCAACGGTGGTGTCAGGTACTCACTCCATCTCGGGGTCCAAAGGTTGAGTGGTTTGCACTTGTCCGGGTTCTTCTCCTTGTCTTCCGGGAACTCATAGAATTTCGGAATCCATGCCTTCTTCAGTCCGCTCCAGGTATCGGCGTCCATGGTCACGACACAGTCCCACGGTATTCCCTTGGAAGGATCGTACTCTGGGAAGTCCTGGAACGCTGGGGAGATGTAGGTGCCGGTTCCCAACTGTCTACCCGAGGTTCCGAGCGACTGCACTGCCTTTCCATCATTGGCGTTGATGGCGTCGGCTTCGGCCTATTGTCAACATGTCAGCACTTAAAGATCAACAAACGTCATGTCTTTTCGGATAACAGTTGGTGGGATCGGGGAATTCGAACTACCTTGGAGACAATCCGATATCCAATATGGCTTCTTGCTCCGGCACGTTTGTGCAAAGAGACACCCTCGAATGGGACAGCCGCAACGGCCGCTGCAAGAGCGAGAACAGCCCAAAACTTCATCCTGAAATTGTTGGCGAGAAATGAATGACTATGGTGAGATGGTAATGAAAGTTGAAGGACCGACTGCTATGGCAGATGGAAAAGAGTGGGAAAGAGGCGAAACTACACCATCTCCCGACCCAAGTAATAAGGTAGTCGGGCGATACCAGAGGGAGCAATCAGGCTACAGGCCTCGGTCATCATACAGTAGCAACCAAGGTGGAAACCTCAGCAATACAAGTCAGCGAGCTAAGTTCTGCAACGCGGGGACTTGGCACGCAGACTATTAGCGGACGCTATCATCAGTTAGTTACTCGGAATATCCGATCATAGTCCGATATCCATTCCAAGGGCTAAAATCTGACTTGTCTGGCTTGATGGCCTCACGATGTGCGTGAAATATTGACACGAGAGGTCAGTTGGTTCAGATGCCAGCAAGGGTGTACGCGTCGATACTGCAACTCAAGTGCGTGCCAACCAATGGCATTTCACTCAGAGCAAAGCGATTCCAAAATGGGGTTTTCGAATCGCACCACTACTCGGCCAGGATTCAGATCCATGGCGTTCTCCCTGCGTCCCTGGGAAATGAAGTTGCTTTAGGCAGAGAATTGTCTGGAGAGTAGCCATAAACGTGCAGAACAGGGGTCGGCCCGTCCCCGATGAATTCTAGGCACCGATTAGCAGGGGTCGCGAACTGCTCCATCTCTTCGTAGGGCCAGGCCAGGCGATAGTGACTGGTATCGCATCACCTCCACAATTGACGACTAACTCGCTAGCACAATCGCGATTTCCTGACCCTTGCGGGATGTTTCTGCTAGCGACTAGACGAACCAAAAGATATCGTTCGTGCAAGACAATCAACAGCCAAGACTTCTAGACCTGGCGTCCGATAGCCCACGCCTGAAGCAGATTCACGCCCGAGGACGTAAGGAAACAAGATGTGACTTTTGGTGGGACGGGACGGACAAGAAGGCAAAGACACATAAGCATATATGCGAGACTCAGGCGCAGCGGAGTCGGGAACCAGCGTTAACCCATGTCTAGCGCGGCAGTTCGCTGACCAGGATTATGGCAGTTGACCAGGCACTTGAACTGCCTCGGAACCATTCGCCAGCCTGCCTTTTCTATGGTCTGAGAAGACCGTCTTGATAAGTATTCTATCGCGGCTCAAACACAATCCCTCCTGTTGCTCTTGTCCTCGGCATCACGTTCTTTTCAGTCTTTTACTGCATTCCCTTTCCTGTCATCCACGCTCCTTGCCCCCATCAACAATGAGATTCTTACCACGGTCTATCACGGCTGGGGTGGTGGCCATCACCCTCATGCTGTCCCATCCAGCCACAGCGATTGAGAATGGCTCGGAGAAGCTCGCCTCTTACTTGGCCGCACATCCAGTTGCAACCACTTCGGCTGCTCCGGCAGCCATCAGCAACAACACGCTCGCTCCAGAACTCGTCGATTTGGTTCTGAGTCGTTGTCCCGCCGGATGCAATGAGTCCGGCTGGAATTCAGGCAACTGGACTCTGTATCCCAGACTTGGACGATTGTCAATGTGCAACGAGACTATGCTTCTCGATTTCAACCCCTCCAACTCTTTGCGCAAGGACGAGACTGTTCGCGCTTGTACCGCCAGCTTCGCAGTGGGCGCAAGCAACGTCACTGGCAATAACACCACCCAAGGCCCGTCTTGTTTGCCGAAATGCAGCGTTACCAAGGTCCAAGAGTCACTGCAGCTGGCTTTCAACGTGACCAAAACGCCAGCAGAGTTGAAGGACTTTGAAGCTGCGTCAGAACAGCTTTCCGCCTCCTTGTCTCAACGGGAGTCGAATAGCACAGACATCATCTCCTTTGCATACTCCAACACGGTCGCTCTAGGTCTCTTCGCGGGATCCGGAGTCCGCGATATCCCGCCATCGGTGCTGCGTCAATTCATCACCAAGATCAAGACCACTGGTTTCTCTGACAGTGTCGTTGCGCAAGTATGTGCCAAGGACGGCCGCAGCTCCAGATACAGCCTCGGTATTGCTGTGAGCGGAGATCGCGATCTGAAGTTCGTACAGGATGCCGTGGCGACCTGGGCATCCGGCGAGTGCATCACTTTTTTCGACAAGGTGGAAGACTGGCAGGACATCACGTTGTCGATCCCAACCGTTTCCAACAACAGCACTGCTAGCTTTGGCAACAGTACCCGTGCCAACAGCACCGCCGGTACCGCCTCATTGGTGTCTAGCAGGTCGAACATGCTGCAACGACGAGCTGAATGTTCAACTGTTCAGGTCGTGTCCGGTGATAGCTGTGAGTATTTCACATGGGGGACTGCCCGCCAAATCACAGACGACTAATCCATTATTTAGGCGCGAGCTTGGCAGCTGAGTGTGGTATTTCCGCCAGCGACTTCACCACTTATAACCCGGACTCGACACTCTGCTCGACTTTGCAAGTGGGACAGCACGTCTGCTGCTCCGCCGGAGATCTCCCCGACTTCCGCCCGCAGCCCAACTCGGATGGGACCTGTTTCTCTTACTACGTCGTGCCTGGCGACAGCTGCTCTTCCTTGGGAGCAGCCAACAGTCTGACCAATGACGAGATTGAGAGCTTCAACACCCAGACTTGGGGCTGGCAGGGGTGCTCGAACGTGCAAGCCTACCAGTACATCTGCCTTAGTTCTGGTGCACCTCCGATGCCGGCTCCCATTGCCAACGCCGTGTGTGGCCCGCAGAAGCCCGGGACCACCCAACCTGGAGCAGGTGTCGATCTAGCGAGCCTGAATCCTTGCCCCCTGAATGCCTGCTGTGTACGTATCATACCTCCATTTCCATCAACTCTTCCCGCCAGCTAACCTGTTTCCCTCCTCCAGAACAAGCACGGCCAATGCGGTATCAACAAGGATTTTTGCACTATTTCTCAGTCGGAGACTGGTGCGCCCGGAACATCGGCCGAGGGCGAGAATGGCTGCATCTCCAACTGCGGAACTGAAATCGTCGTGGGATCAGCTCCGGCCGAGCCCATCAGCATCGGCTACTTTGAAGCCTACAACCTGGACCGCCCGTGCTTGAACATGAAGATCACCGCGATGGATGTGACTCCGTATACGCACATCCATTTGGCATTCGGCGTTGTCACGACGGGGACATATGCCATCGACGTCAGCCATATCCAGGAGCAATGGGAGTTGTTTCAGCAAATGTCTGGTTTTAAGAAGATTCTTTCTCTCGGCGGCTGGGCTTTCTCGGCCGAGCCCGCAACGTATTTCATTTTCCGAGACGCCGTCAACCCCGCCAACCAGGACACCTTTGTCGCCAATATCGTTGCGTTCGTGCAAGATAATGACCTAGATGGCATTGACATCGACTGGGAATGTGAGTCACAGATGGTTCATCCATCACCTAACCATGGCTAACCAAGAACTCCCAGATCCCGCCGCCCCAGACATCCCCGATATCCCAGCCGGCACGGCCGAGGACGCCGCGAACTATCTCACCTTCTTCACAAAGCTGAGGGCCGCGATGCCTTCCGACAAGTCCGTCTCCTTCTGCGCGCCCGCTTCTTTCTGGTACCTCAAGGGCTACCATATTGAGGAAATGGCAGAGTTAGCCGACTACATCGTCTACATGACATATGATCTTCACGGCCAGTGGGACTACTCTAACCAATACGCGATCGATGGCTGCCCAGAGGGCAACTGTCTGCGTTCTCACACCAACATCACCGAGACTCTCCTCGCTCTGTCCATGATCACAAAGGCCGGCGTGCCATCGAGCAAACTCGCCGTAGGCGTCTCGAGCTATGGACGCTCGTTCCAAATGACAACGCCTGGCTGCACCGGTCCCATGTGCACGTACACAGGCGACGGCTCTGGGGCGTATCCCGGACCATGCACCGGAACCGCAGGATACATCGCCAACGCCGAGATCAATGCCATCCTGGCGGGAACTGGAACCTGGATGACGTCGTCCGGATCTCTGCAGTCAATCGAGTCGTACTCGTCGTACTTTGACGAAGACAGCCAGTCGAACATTGCCGTGTACGACTCTACACAATGGGTCGCCCACATGGACGACGACCTCAAGGCAGACCGGAAGGCTCTCTACGAAAGTCTCAACTTTGCGGGAATCATCGACTGGGCGATTGATCTGCAAGGCTTCGGTGGGGACAGCATCGATTACGGCTCCTCTTCCAACATCGTGTATCCTCCACCGAGCATCTGGGACTCCGATGATCCACTGGTAGGCTGCGAACCGCCTTGTATCGTCGTCTTCCCTCCGTACCCTCTTAGTTCTACGCATACCGTCACGAGCTGGCCAGCTCTGACGACAACTCTCTTGTCTTCTGGAGCCGGCGGTGTGTACGTCGTGACTACAACGATTCCTGTCCCGTCCTTCACCATGACCGACGTCAGCCTCCAACCCCTGACACTTCAATCGACGGATACAGCGCACTACAGTATCAATCCTGTACAAAGCATCACACCGTCTTCTTTCGTGTATACTCTTCCTCCGAACCACGCCACCTTTCCCGTCACCACCCCAACACCGGCCACTTCCTCCGACACGGACGTGCCTCTGGTCATCATTCCCCCGGCCACATTCTACCCGACTTCATTTCCCGTGACTATTCAGCCTCAACCGACCTACTCCGTAGACTACCCCGACCCGACTGTCCCAATCCCTCCCGTTGCTGTTACACCGACGCCAACCTCTTCTTCCACAGGTTGCACTGGATCAGGCTGCGGAACCCGCGATTGCGGCATTTTCGGCTGCGACGGCGGCTGTGGTCTGTTCGGCTGCGATGGCGGATGTGGAATTTTCGGCTGCGGTGGAGGATGCGGCGTCTTCGGTTGCGTGCCAACCTGTCCTCTATTATCCTGCGGTGGCGTGGGTTGTCTGATCCCGGGCGGGTGCGGAAACACGCAGGGCACCGACGGCGGCGACAGCAGCGAGAACTGTGAGGAGCCTGTGACCGCGTCGGCTTGCACTTATCTCGTCACCAGCTATAGCGCGTGGTACATGGAGTCGTCCACACGGACAACGGAGGTGAGTTTGAAAATTGAGTATTTCTTGGTATGATACCAAGGAGCTAACTTTCGGAACAGACCAGCTGTGTGACGAGTACGGCTTGCAACGGCCAAGATACTGCGACAACCACGACACCCGGTAGTCCTGAATGCTCCATGGATCCAGACATTGCCGCGGCTTTGTCTGCCGAGCAAGCAGCCGATCAGACCATGATCGACGGGAAGCAGATCCCGTTGGAGTTCGCTCCAGCCAACCCATCTGACTACGACGGATCAACCTTCACCGCTAAGCAGTTCGGTCTGACGGAGACCATCACTGTTATCGCAACCTCAACGAAGACGACCACACCAACCACCACGGTCACTGTCGTGGTTGAGCCAACCGCAAAGGCCGACTGCGCTTACTGGTAAGTTAGAACAAGCTGTTTTCGTTTTTCCACCAGTGAACATTCATCTGACTTGACTTCACGCACAGGATCACGGCGTTTGGTTGGTACACGTTTGAAGTATACAACATCGACGGCTGGAGCACCGACGGCGGCTCCCGTCTCAAGTCGGAGGAAAAGGGCTGCGGCGCCCTGACCGGCTGGGACTGGCGTGAGCGCACCTCCTCCAAGTACGCGGGCGCCTACTTCAACCTGCCTTTCTTCATGAAAGACGGCTGCGTCGAGCGAGCTATTGTGTCAGCCGGCGGTCCCAAGCTCTCATGCGAATTCACCGGCTACGACATTGGCGTTGCGTTCCTCCCAGCCAAAAAGCGGTCCACCTCAGAGGACAACTTGCCGGAGCTGCGTCGACGACAGTACGTCAGCGACACACCTAGCTTGCCAAGTCGATCAACAACACAGAGAACGACGTACTCGCAAGAGCCGACTTACGCGCCTGAGCCTTGGGGTCCCGGGGACACAGTCACTTTCACGACCACCATTGAGTCCGTGACTAAGTCAACGTACACGACGGAGGTTGTGCTGGCTTCCATGGGGACTTCTTCGTCGTCGGCCTCGTCGGCCTCGTTATCATTGACTTCCAGCAGTACGACGTCATCTTCGAGCTCTGCAGCCCCGTCAGCTTCGTCGAATCCCTCAGGCGACGGCCGCTGCGGTGCCGACTTTGGAGGAACAACCTGCGCTGGATCTGGGTATGGCGGCTGCTGTTCGGAGTATGGCTACTGCGGCGACACGACGGCGCACTGCAGTACAGGCTGCCAGTCGGCATTCGGTTCATGTACCGAGTCGGGGCCGGTGGTTTCGACGGATGGCACATGTAGTTCGACCAGTGATCCCGAAGGCGCGACCTGTCTTGGGTCTGCTTTCGGCGATTGTTGCTCAGAGTGGGGTTACTGTGGAAGCACGAATGCCTACTGCGGAACGGGATGTCAGCTGGCATTTGGTTCTTGTACAGAATAACAGTTTATAGTATACGTAGTAGCCATGCTATTCATGTCTGCGTGGTATGATATCAACATAGTACATAATGTCAAAAAGAAAGTCAAGAATTGTTCATCTTGGTATCGTCATGTTCCTATCTTAATCTGGTTCTATATTCTTGGTTTCAGCTCGAAGTTGAATTCTCTAGAAGACTCCGAGAGGCTCCATCTTGCAAAAAGCTGTCCATTCTCCACCAAAATCTGCCGCAGCAATGCACCCCGATCCTCTTCAGAGTCAGGCCATCCGTCCTTTTTGCGCACGTATGGCTCCATGAGCATCAGCGCCTCTCGAATCCACTGCTCGGCCCTGGTCTCGTCAATCCTTCCTCCATCAACCATCCGCTGCTTTACCTCCTCCACCTGCTGTCCCTGCTCGGCCCCGAAAGCGGCACCCATCAATCCAAGGAGAATGTGCGACCGCATCCCACAGTCCAAATCTCTCATTTCGACGCCCTCTGCCTCCTTCACTGCAACAGCCGCGAGGAAAGCAACCTCCTCCTCGCTCCCCATCTCCGGCTCCCATCCCCGGTTCCGCGCCAGCTCACCCACCCCGCCATCAGGCAACCCGCACCAGACAACCTCACTCTCACGCGTGCCATCCAGGTCCGGCTCAAGACGCGGCGCGTCGACGGCCTCCCATCGTTCCCGTGAGTAGTACGCTTCCCAAGCCCACACGTCGAAGGCTCCCTGCGCAACAGAAATGCCGAAGTAGTTGGGGTTCCACGCCTCCTTCGACGGCAGGCCGGGAGAGTCTATCTTCATGTACTTGAGCCAGAAGCGCGCTTGGGTCTCCGAGTACGGCTGGACGCTGGGATAGTCCTCTCGCAAGCGTGCGGTGGTCTTCTCGAGGGTGTCCAGGGCTATCTGAGTGACGGCCTCGACGGGGAGGGATGGCTGTCGTCGACAGGTGCGCACAACGTTATGTGCCCAGCGCGGAAGCTTTGTTAGGTGACCTTTTCCTTTGTGGCGTGGCTGCGCGAGCGGGTCACTCGAGTCTGGGAGATCTTGCAAGTCGGGGAGGCGGTAGAAACGAGCTGAGGTTGGCTGTGCGAGAAGAGCAGACGAGTAGTACTCTTGCCACGCATCCTCCTTGAGTAGCTCGTGATGCTCGATGTAGAATTCGTCAAAGTCATCTGGTGACGCAAATACACCCTCGTCCTGGTCAGAGGAGCGGTACATGGCGGCTGCGAGTTGAGCGAGATAGAAAATGTCCAGAGTGCTTGTTGTCGTCAGCTCATTACTTCTCACCCATAAAGCTCCTTCTACTCAAGAATCTTACCGATTAAATTTTAGGTCTCCCTCGCCAAATGACCATCCACGTGTGTGAAGTCGATCAACAATATCAAAGACGCCTCTGCCATCCCACACCGATTCGTCCAAGTATATGAATGCTATTCGCAACAGTCGATCATGGCTGTCGACTGGCGTCTCGCCACTCTCGACACTGTCGCGGAACTTGTCGGCACTCATAACTCACGATTCTCACCACGCCACCTTGTATGCTTGAGATGTGATTGTGATCGATTCTAGGCAGCGATCTAGTTACTGTGGGGGTTTAGAAGCTGCATTGCGACCCGCCTTACGTAAGTTCGCGCCAGGCTTAGAAGAGGACAACCCATGTCGACCTTTCTCCCTTTGAACCATCGACAGTTCTGACAGAGTCTCTATCAGTGTTACGATGGACTTCAATCATTTGATTTCAAGTCTCGCAAGAGAGAACGAATTATTTTTCCCGAAGAAGACATGGGATCTATTGTGGACATAAATATGTACTCAACTAAGTCGGGGTTATCATCATTCCTCTCGTCTGATACTCACGTATAACACAGGTACGTGCCAGGAAACCCTTTCCTCACAGCTCATATCTGAACTCTTTGTTCTCAAGATCCGTCAAATCCCAGAATTCGTGATTTTCTTCCACCTTGTAAGCATCCCCGAGAGCCGCCTTCTCGGCATCCCGCTTCTTGTTCCTCCTGTCCAGCACCCAACGCATCACAAAGAGGTCGACAGTAACCAAGAAGTAGATGATGCAGATGGAGATCTTGGCAGGGAGATACCGCGGCGCATCCCGTGCCTGAAAAGTCTGCGGCGAGATAATATTACCCACGGTGTACGCGATTGTACCAATGCATGCCACGGTAACCTTCTTAGTGGATCCCGCAACATTGGTAGACTGAAGACCCAGGATCGTCGTCCACCCGATCGGGATACCTCCTGAAGTGTAGTAGCCGATCAGCGCGGGAACCTTCGACGTCGTGGCCATGAGAATGGCACCCACGATCGCGGGGATGTGGCCCGCAATGCACCAGTAGAGTCGCTGCCGTGTCTTCATGGCAAGCCATGTCAGACCCACCAGGGCGACAATCTCGTAGGCGCCAAGAGGTGTGACCAGAAGCAATGACTCTTCGCTGGAGTAGCCCATACCCTTGACGAGGATGTTTCCGAAGCTTGTCGCGATCGAGTTTGGAATGTTGGCGGCGAAGATCCAGAATGCGTAGAGCCAAGTCATTGTGTCCGTCAGCGCCTCCTTGACATGCGACCATTTGAATTCTTGAGATCCAATGCCTTGCTCATTGTCGCGGATACGTTCCAAATGCGCGGCTTTTTCTTCTTGTGAAAGGAAGGCAGCTGATGCTGGCGAGTCAGGCATGATGAACCAGAAGGCAATGCCCACAACGGCAGTCAAAAGGCCGAGGAAGAGGAAGATGACCTGCCATCCATGCAAGAGAGCATTCGGGTCTTTGCCAACATGGACCGCCACGCCGTAAGCAAAGAAGCCGCCGAACATTTGTGCCGCTCCACAGACTGAGAACCAGATACCAACGCGAAAAGCCTGTTCTTGTTTGGTGTACCATTGCGAGGTAAAGAGGACCCACGCAGGCACGACAGCGGCTTCAAAAACCCCGAGCAGGAACCGACAGACGAGCAGGCCGGCGTAGCTCTTGCACGCAGCAAGGCACGCGAGAACCAGACCCCAAAGCATGATGTTGATTGATGTGTATTTGGCCAGAGGAAACATTTGAATGAGACGAATTGTCGGGAACTCGAAAGCCAATTGACCGAAGAAGAAGATGGATGCGACCCAGTTGAACTGGTTGCCGTGAAGGCCGGTGTCTTGTTGAATGCCAGTGACGCTGGCGTAGGAGATGGCGGTCTTGTCGATGTACTGCAGGAAGTACACAATGCAGATGAGCGGCATGATGTGAGTGTCGATGCGGCGTTTGAGCCTGCGATTGAGCTCGGGATCGACGGCGTGGCCCAGAGGGCCGGTCTCGTTGAGAAGCTCCAGAGCGGCATCAGCGCCAGATTTGGGCTGCCTTTTCGGTAGGTGGTCCGGCGACATTTCCGTCGGAGCGGAGGTAATGGAGGCAGGCCGCTTGTCGGCGTCGGTGGGGAGCTCGGTGGCGGGGCCATCCGCCGGCCCCTTTCCGTTGATGTCGGCCATGTTGTAACGGTGCCGAAGGTTCAAGTGTGGGAAACGGGAATCTAGAAAGGAGGTAAGATCCCAGACACGATCCATAGTCATGCAGCGACGGACGATCGCTATTTATCAGCCATGCAGGAAGCCCTGTTTGAGCACCTCATCGCCGCCGAGAGCGAACGATTGCGGTGGCTGGCGATATTTTCCAGAACGATGCGCCAAGGTGCAGAGATCAAGAGATTTTTCAATTGGAGCATCCACACATTTCCGATAAGAGACTGAAGCTCCGCTGGTGGCGGACGTATCAAGAGCTTGAATCTGACCATTATCATCCTTCGATCAAGCACGTCATTGTCAAGTCGATGGTGCAAGTCAACTAAAGTGTTGCATTTTGCTACTCGGCCCCACTCTCTCGGTCTGTGGCCGACATGTTCCGGACGACGGCCCCGGGTTCTTGAATCATGCGCAATTCACTGTCACAACTATCATCGAGACTTGGTAATGCTGTCAATGAGCAACCTAGATCATAAGTCGGAAAATTCTTGTACATATGCCCTCTTTATGAAATGAGCCTACTTCGTTCATGTCACTTGGTCATGGTCTTGTCTTTGACAAACTTTGAGATACAGGCCTCAGCATCACGGAAAAATGTAGCCTCAAAATAATATAAGATTTTAACAACAGAATTAGTTCATCATATCTAGCCCGCCGATGAACAGGAAACGGGGCAAACACGAAGGCCTAGCCCCGTCTCGGTGTCAACTTAACCCACAGTCCCGGTTTCATCCAGTTATTGTACACCGTTAGTCCGGGATAGTCCTTTTCAGGATCCCACGCATCGTTGCTTCCATGAAAGTGGACGTCGTTGTGCCACAACAGCTTCCCGATGATTAGACGCATCTCCATGTATGAAAGGCTTCGGCTTGATTAGTAAAAGACATCGATCAGAGGATTCAAAGACTAGCTCACTTGCGTCCAATGCAGCCTCGTGGCCCGAGAGAGAAGGCATTCGATGCCCCAAACTTGTCGGTGCTATTTTTTTTGTCTAGCCAGCGCTCGGGCAGGAAATTGTAGGGCTCTTTGAAGTTCCGTTCGCTATGCGTGGCACCCCACATTGGCACAGAAACAGTTGTCTGCCCGGACGACGTTAGCCATGAGATCAGGTAGTGAGTTCCAGCGCAAGCTTTGGCAATCACATACGCCTTCTGGTACAAACTCTCCGTCAACAGTATCACCTCCCTGTGGCACTGTTCTCACAAACCCAATGGGTGCAGATGGAAAGACTCGTAGGCCTTCATCAATCACCGCACTCAGATAAGGCAATTTGACCAAAGCCTCGAAATTAATGTCGGTGTCGGATTGAAAATTCGACCGTATCTCGTCCGTCAACTTCTGTAAAACTCTAGGATGCCGCAGAAGCTGGTTGAAAAGCCCCGCAAGGAATCCTGCCGTTGTTTCTGTTCCCGCGATTCTTCGAGGAAATTAGTGCCTGGTTCACAAAACTGGGCATATCTGGTCTTGCGGCATCAGTTGTCTTACATGAAGAGTGCGCCGTTGACAATAACCTCGTTCTCGTTGATGGTCCCACTTTCCTGTTGCTTAAGCAGGTAGTAGAGAAAGTCCTTGTGATCTGACTCAGACTGAGCCATGCGTCTAATAATGAAGCTATCAGCATTCTGTTGTGGTAGGTCGCAGAAACTGTACCTACTTCAAGATCTTTTCCCTGCTATACTCTAGATGTTGTATTCTGGTAGTTCGGATGCGCCCAGGTATCAGCTTCAGAAGTTGCCTTTGGAAGTAGCCATCTGCTTCGGCGATTCGTCTCGTAGCCTGTTCAAAGGCACCCGCTTTGATGGATGAGCTAATGAGCGGTACCCAGAAATGAAAATCCTCTATACCATGCACCGTTAGAAGCAAGCCATAAAAAAGGTTGGTCGATTTACGACCCACCGCTTGTCAAGTAACCAAATGGCTCTCCTAAAGCCATGTCTCCGATAATATCGAACGTTGTGTAAGCGAACCAATCAACGACGTTCACGGGCTTTCCCAGCCTTGCAAACTCCCTCATCTTCAGCGAGAACACGTCGATGTACGACTTTACAATGTACTCCTGCTCCAACAAAGCCTTGGTGGAGAATGCATGCGAAAGCGCCCTACGCTGCCGCGCATGGTCCGCGTCGTTGGCCATGGTGATGGTGGACACCCCAGGCACCGATTGGATACTTCCCACGTGTATGGGGTCCTTGTGGAAATTGTTGTGGCCAGGCCGGCTTCCGTAAATATCCTTCCATGCAGCTTCATTGTCGAAGGAGAGCTCGTTGGGCGAGACGCGGACGACGGGGCCATATTTGTCGTGGCATGCCTTCACCCAGAACGGGATGCGTCCACGGAGCAGGGCAATGACATACGGCAGCGGTGATATTCGAGCGAGAATGGGCCCTGGAAAACGGGCAAGCGGGTGGAAATATAGGTTGTGGACGACGCTCCACAACGTCCACGCTGAAGCCTAGGTTCGGAAGTCAACATGAGGCTCGGATTTATGACAAAACACGGAGTTTACTTTCCCCAAGAATGAACGCAAGCAATCCTAAGCACGATAGCGGAGTGTCGGCAGTGTTATCTGAGGCTAACACAGCCATTGTGGATGATCCAAAAGGCGATGCTTGGTGCACGAGTTAGAAGTATTCAACTAGCCTGAATAATATGACAATGCTATATTTTGGGGGACCATCAGCTCTGTAGGACTCACTTCAGCAATTATTCTGTGGACGAGGCGTTTTCGGGATTTCTATAACGACAGATTCTTTCATCCGCATCTGCATATCCGGAACGAGTGGTTCAGGGCCACAAGCCAACTCTCTCGGTAAACCTTTTCCTCACCTTGATTCCATAAACATCAGCCACACCGAGAATCCGTTCGAGCGACATTCCGCTACGCCTACAACTTAGTTCTCCAGGCCTGAAACCAATCCCGGCACATCATTGGCCCAAATGCATAGCTTCGGTGCATCACCCGTATTCCCGGCCAGCACGCCCTAGGGCGGGGCGGATCCGATCATTGTGGGGCATTATTTTCGCCGAAACTTCGGAAAGCTCTCCACTTCCGGCTGGATGGTTCGGCTCCGGTTGGCCCGAAGCTTACTTCTCAACCCCGCCGGTGCGGGGATCGTCGGCAGCGAGTCTGGTGACGTTCAAGATAAGGTGGATTCATCGTGAGATTCGACAGACTATTAAATGCATTGCATTTGACCCTGATGGCCTGTTGTCTCTTCAGGCTTCTTCATCTATGATCTCACAGCAATATGGTATCAACATTGAGCATTTCTTGCCTTTGCGGGGGAAGCGCGCAACAAGTCAAGGCGCGGCGTTCTGACACAGGACACGTGAAGCTCTCAATCAACCATAGCGATGTTGATCGCCACGTCAGCGGTGTACTATGCACGTCTTACTACCCGATTGAGCAGCCTGATATCTCCAAAGGTCTCACAAAGCATGAAGGTGCGGAGGGATGGACGAGGTACTTCTGCTCGACCTGCGGCTGCCAAGTCTTTCGAAGTCGTGTTGGTGTCATAGCTGTCATATGGGAAGCTGCTACGGGTGTCATCAACGATGTCGCCGGGAACGGTGCCGGCGGAGACGCGATCTTTGTCCGGCATAACTCGGTACCCGACACAAAGGACGGTGGCATCTCGGTATGGCTATCGGAGATCGACGGTCAAACAGTGGAGGTACTTCAACAAAACGGCGATAACGGCTCGAAGGAGATGCTGCCATCGGGGCCGTCCCTTCTAACCCCAGAATCAATGCCAGCCTCATGCGCTTGTGGCACGGTCAGCTTCCACATCACTCGCCCCGACGAAAAGAGCTATATTCCTCACTCCGGCTACCCCGACCTGCAATACGCCGCCTGTTTGCACTCTGCTGAGTTCATGGGCAACGCCAAGAAGGACAAGTGGTGGATCCGAGCCGACGGGACGAAATACCTCGCAGGAACCTGCGCATGCCGCTCCTGCCGCCTCATCACCGGTTTCGAGATCCAGACGTGGGCCTTTGTCCCGCGCAGCAACATCTTCTTCCACGTCCCCGGCCCCGACGGACGGCAAGTCGTCATGCCTCTCGACTTCAACGCGCTGCCTCCAGGCATCCTGCAAACGTACAGCTCCTCCCCCGGCGTCCTCCGCGAGTTCTGTGGAAAATGCGGCGCGACGGTCTTCTGGCACGACAAATGGCGTCCCGACGTCATCGACATCAGCGTCGGCCTCTTCCGGGCGAAAGAAGGCGCAAGGGCGGAGACATGGTTGGACTGGTGGACCGAGCGGTGCAGCTTCGAGGAGGAGGCTGAGAGGGGTCGAGCAGGAGAAGCCGCGCGCCTCGCACGAAGGCTTGTTGACGGTCTGGAACGTGGCCTGCGCTCAGGGGCAGGGGAAAGTTGAAGGGAGAAGAGGAAAAAGGAAACAAGTGATATTTGTAAAACAAGTCCCAAGAGCCGATGATTCAATCGGTAACAAAGGTCTGCAATGCCATTTCTTCAAGATCCAAGAATTCCTCAATGACAAATCGTGGCTAAGTGTGTCTTGGCAAATGTCTATTTACGGGCAAAAGATGCGATCATCAATATTATTGAGAATAAGGCTGGAAATACGCCCCCTGAAAAGCGTGGGCCAAGAGACTGGGTGGCGGCGAGTCATCCCATGTGCAACTCTGCCCTGTTTTAGAATGATTATAGCCGCTATTCAATTCGGATGAAACATGTTGGTTGTTATTATTAAGAAAGAAGACATAAACGACGTTTGTTGCATTGTTTAAGGGGCTGCTGCGGCCCGCTTTGTTGGTTTCCACCAGCCACATGACTCGGGACAGGTGGGATCTAGCGTCGGCCTGCCCAGCGCCCCGGGCCGGTGGACGACGGACGGACGGACGGACTCTCCTTTGGTGTGTTTTATCGGCTCCGGGGCGATGTGGGGCCTGAGGTATTACGGTGGGCAGTCGGAGCTATGGATTCTCAACATGCTCTAGGCAGTCGGTGATTTTGGTGCGGAAGAGACGGCACCGGCAGTTGGTGTTGCGGTGATTTCGTAAAGCTGAGCTCAGCTTTAAGCTGTCGCGCTAGTCTCGCTTGGCAAGCTGAGTGAGAGAAGCGCGCGGGACGCAGCCGAACCCCGCAATCCATTTATTGACTGCCTAGACTATCTGCGTCTTGCATGGAAGAGTAAATAAAGGTGGGTGGGTTGCGCTAGTTGAAGAAGGATGAACGAAGTTGTAGGGAGTTCGAAGAGGGTCTTGCTTTTGCATCCACGTGGGTGGCTTTGGGGTGACATTGTGAGTTGGATGATAGACACAACGATGATAACACATGGACATGAGCAAATTAACAACAAAAGAGTACTGCATTAGAAAGTATCAACGAAAAGATGAAAATTGCTCAGTCGGCTTGCTGATACCTAGCTCCGTCTTACTGAGAATATTTGAAAATAACAACTTGAGTAATATGTGTCTGCGTCTGCATCGCCATTTTGGCTTACACCAAGGACGTCACGCTTCCGAGCTGATTCCAAAACGTTCGCTATGACAAATTCATTCGCTGCGATTGGTTTTCTGGAAAAAGCAGAACCAAAGCTCTTCCTTTGAAGCGGAGTATTGTGGCTTAACGCCTCGGCGGAGTCTTACACGTGAGACCTGCATCCATTGCTTTCCGACCTGACAAACTGACATGTCGATATGAGCAGATGCAACAAGTCTCCAGTTTCGTAGGCTACCTTGATTCCAACGCTAACGACTAACCGGATTCTGCGCCTCAATGCCGGTAATTAGCTGCGCCAGCGGCAATCCAACGGCGCGGCCGCCCACCGGTTAGAGGCGAGCTCCTGAACGAGGCCTACAACGGTAGCCAATGGGAAATTTCTCATGACACCACAAACATCCGCTTGGGGAAATAGGGATGAATGAACACTAAGACCAATCCAAAACCGTTTTGAATGCCCAATGATTGAACCCTCAACCTCTGACTCGCTGGGTGGTTTTAGTTCGCGACAGTCTCGGACTGGAGAGTGAAGACTCACTCAACAATGAATGAGGGTGGTAGAAGTTCAACAAACTAGATCTGAGGCGTTACAATAATGCAAACTGAATGGTTCGACTGACTAGTGCAGTGGTTCTGCTGATAAGACTAATATCACGTGTCGCAAAGCCACGAGAATCTCGATGCACTGCAGCTGAAACCGTACACCTCTTCTCATAGCCTTTGGGCTGCGACTCACCGCAAGTATCACGAACTCGTACACGAACTCATGTTCAGAGTCCAACGCTGCATGCTTGCCGTCTCACTTCACTACGCTGAGGTCGTCGTTTCATGGCCGTCTTGATGGAATGTGTGCCCCCAAGTCGCGGTCCTCACATCACGGACCAGACGCTCCTCGGAACCCGCCCAACATCCCCGTCGGGGTCCGAGACGGATGCGGACGCGACCGGTTCATGTCAACGAACGGCTTGCCCCTTCCGATCCAAAGTGTATCTCGCGCGACCGCATGAAAGAGCAAATATCATCCCCGGAGGCATTGTACTTCCAGAGTACCATCGCGTTGCCCCCTCGGTTCCAGACTATCAGCACAGAGTTTCGGAGCCGAAATAAAGTACACGAGAACGAATAACGCTATGCTACCTACCAAACCCGTCACATGGAGGCAACCACCTTAACCGGATCAAGCTCAGCCCGCCTCGGTTGCCTACAACTCAGAACCGCGATTATGTGCCTGCCCTCTCAAAGTCAATTGCCAGAGTGGTGGCTTGATTCGATTCATTTCCGTCGGAGAGCACGGCATGCAGCAGCTGGAAGCGGCCAGTAGGATTGTTATGGTTTATAATCGGGTGTCGTCTGAAGGTTTGCGTTAACGATAGTGAAAGAGGGGCGGTCCTGTATGATTCATCATTGGGTAAGTTTGGGCATGTGAGGGTGTGAGATGAAATGGCGAAATTGGCCCAAACGCTGGATTGAAATTTCTCCCCTCACGCGCATTGCACCAGAATCCCATGCTTTGCAACACAGCAGAAAGTCTGCCATCAACACCGGACCACCCACGCGCACCCACGCCGCCAGAGAAGTTGAGACTTGGGGGGCGCTTGTCTGTCAACCATCTCTTGACGGGCATGCCCAGGGCAACGACGGGCGGCTCTAACGAACCAATTCGGACATATTTCCCGTCGTTGGCGTTGGGATTCAGTGAATGTTTAGATGCCGAGACCAAGATGGTCCGATGCCAATGGGAACATTGGCAAGTGGGCTGGTCTGGTGTCGGCCGAGACCACATCACCCACGTTGGCCCAAGATGACGGTCGCAGGGATGCACGTTGCATATTCCAAAGATTCAACTTGCCCAGAGAAATAGTGCTGCGCGACGGAGAGCAAAGCCAGGCGGCAACACGCAAGCACAGCAGCACACACATGCGCTTCGCAAGTCATCACATCCCGTCGCCAGCCAGTCACCAACGTCAGATTTGCAGTCGCGCAGCGTTTCTGAGCTGACCTTATTTGCGTCCACCAGCAGGGGACAGCGCAAGTGACAAGTCTGCATGTGATGAGCAGCCACCATGCCAAGGCTCTTGGCGGGCTATAGCTGTCGTGGCTGTACGGACTATTACTCGCGGGCTATGTACTCTGTATCTTGCGCTCCTTTGCTTTGTAATATTGTAATTATTATCTTGTCTGTTTCTTTTCTGCTTACTGCAACGTGCTATTCGGCGACTGCGCAATCAGCCCGCTCACAGCATGCAGTGCTGCGCTCAGGGTCTGGTCGCCGGTCTGTCGCCCATCTACCATCCATAACCGGGCATACCCGAGGTCGCAGGATTTTCGGCCGACAGGTCTAGCTGCATGGAAACAAGGCAACTTCCATTTGGGGGATGGTTTGGGGTGGCCTGCGGGCAGAAACCCAAGAAGGAGGGAAACCTACGCATATCCCACGCCGTTTCGCAAACCTGTCAAAACCGTCCAAGTCCGGCAGCGGATGGACGGTCGGCGGCGGCTCGCCCGCGCGCGGGGATGCTCCTCCAAGCCACAGGGCCTCCAACCTTCTCCAACTACAGGTGATGGATATAGGGCTGAGTCAATGCACGATTGATGAAAAAGCTTCCTTCGTCCCATGTGTCTATCTTGAGTGTGTGTGCTACGGTTGCGTGTGTGTGTGCGCAATTTGAGTGTGTCGGCCGCGGCCAGCTGCCCTCCCTCTCCGTCTTTCGATCCTCGATCAGGGGAGAAACCTAACCTTATTGCTGCTAGTGTACAGCAAACAGTAGCATGCGTGATTGAGCCCTTGGGACGCCAGAGGCCCGGGCAGGCTGGCAGGTACTTGTTTGTACCTACTTGTAAATCAGCGTGGCCAGCAGGGTTCTCCTCTTGAAGTCCTCTTCGCGGTAGGGGGCCCTTACAGCTTATTTGCCAAGATGCATCTGTAGTCGAGGATGACGGAGGTTTCAATTACGCCGCTGCGCGCGGGTTCCTCCGCACAGCTGGGTAATGATCCGACAACGGGGGCCTTCTATTCGTCTTTACAAGGCAACGATGTGAATTCCCAAGGACCAAACGGCCTAATGGCCCAATGGCACGAGTCGGTATAGGGGCCCCAAACTTTATTATATTCAGGAGTGGACTCTTCAACTGGAGTCGCTTAGGAGTCACCCAGTCGCCCAGCCAAGAAGAGAGTGGACGAAGAGTGCCCGCTTGGAAACTGTCATGTCATAATTGGTCGCCATTGGCCCAGCTACCACCTTACTCTTCCAGTGACTTGGCACCGGCCCGCATCGCACAGGTCACGATAGCTCCCCGGATTTGTGACGTTATGCCTGTTACGGACGGGTGGACGGCCTCATCCCAGCTCATTCCCGGCCCTGCCATGGCCACCCCGGCGCACACTCGTCCAACTCCATAGGCAATCGGCGTAGGTTTCATCCAGATGGCCCTTCGGCTAGCGACAATCCCCTCCCAAAAAGTGTGTAAAGCGGGGGCTCCAAAACCGGGGCGTTCCTGTGTAGCACATAGCATTCGCTGGCGAGTGTCGCCCATCCCAATCAAAGGAGATTGTACAATGCGGTACACTGGTCAAGCGCTTATTTTGGATCGAAACCCTGCATGTCCCTGCCACGCCCATGTCACTTGTGTATACTGGTAACTATGCAGCGCCTTTCGTAGGGATTACACAGGGGTTCCTTTCGACTACTTGGCAAAGACCCGTCTAGCACCTGCTGAAAGGATATCCGCTAAACAACTTTTTGTGGTTTTGCCAGGTCTTGGTCCTTTTTTGTGACTGGGGTTGCAGCCTTGGGAGAGGGCAATACCGACATGACTGCCGTTGTAGGAAGCTTATTACCAAGCCCCCGTCAGACTGGGTACTCACGCTCTGCGCAACTAGGCCTTGGGGGAGGACAAGACATCGCGGCTCAG